ATGTGCAACATAATTTTGCCATCATTTTTTCTAAATTAGTTTTCTCAGTAAATGTCTATTGGCCAACTGATAAACTCCCCCTTTTTACCCAGGTGCAACTCAAGGTAGGGTAACATGTCTTATCAAGGACATGTTTTACATACATTACATAGTACCCATCTGTAGACCATAGCCACAACAACTGCAGAATTCCAAGCATCTGACCAAAAGGTCAGAAACCTCTGAGGAATGTACTGTGATAAACAGATACTATTGTGAGCATAGAATATACAGATGTCCACAGATGTCTTTGTTTATATTGCAAATTCTGTCCTATTAATATTCTTATATACTGTAAAATCACATATTTCGTGGGGTCAAATTTTCGTAGTTTGAGGAAAAACTTTTGGTTCGTGGGGATTTGAATTTGTGGATGAAGAATTGTTGAGTAGATATGTATGTAACATTTTACATTTCGTGGTGGACATGAATTCGTGGGTTTCTTCATACCTCGAAAACAACGAAAATTAAACCCCCATGAAAATTTGTGATTTCACAGTATTTCTTTTAGTCTTAACATTGGTAGTTAGATTTACTAGGCTTAATGTAAGTGCATGACTATGTGCACCCACTTGGTCATTTCAATGTAATTTATTCAATCCTTTTGTAACTAGGATTTAGTTTTAGTTGAATATGGATGTGGGGACCATTCATTCGTATAAGACCGTATAAACAGAGGTTACATGTTGCAGTAGGTGCTGGCACAAAAAAGATCCCTCCCTGCTCAATGGCCTCGTGTGCTCAAGTCAAAATTTGCACAGGCAAGTGGTGGTGTCTCCGCATCTAACATGGCACAAAGGAGTCTCAATAAGTATTTTTTTTTTACAATCCTTTGCTCTGTTAATCATGGAAAACCTACTTTAATTGTGACAAAGCTTTATTAATTCTTTCAGTTTTCCCAAATATTTAGAATTTTTTGACGTCAAAATATGTCTGGACTTTCCTTCCATGTACAATATATCAAATGTAAATAAAACAAATGCATACTAGGTAGTCTTCTATCAAGTTTCCACCCTATTTAGCATCATACTTTCTTCCATAATAGAAAATAATACAATAGGAAAAACAGTTGGGCAAGCACTTTACTATTATAATAATAGAAACAAATCTATCTTCTGGATGGCATTCCATGTATTTACATGTTGATTGATAACTGTGTCTCAGCAAATTCTAAATTTCACACAAGATTGTTTTTATCTAATAGATAAATGGACTGTTAAAATTATTCACTTTCCAAGAAAATCGAAAATCTAGGATTTCCTTGTTCATGATTTTTTTTTCATCCATTTTTTTTTTTACAATTTGAATTTCATTCAGATCAATAAAATATGAATCAACTGCTTAGTGATCTTCAATGCAACATCTTGTAGGATTTCTCTGATTCATACACCCCTCAGGAAAATACTAACCAACTTTATTGGTGCAGCACTTTGCATAAATAAGATAAAAATTCCCATTCAATGAAAGATAAACAGGTACTTTTAACCTTCACGATAGCAATCACACAATTTACTGTAGACTTGATAATTCTCTTAAATTTACATTTTAGAAATTAGTGAATTGAAAAGAAGTTATTTTATATAAGCTATATTTAAAAAAAATCTATGGAAAGTTTACGTCTTATAAAGTGTCCGTAAAATAAAGTAGGAAAAATACATCTTGTTTACCAACAACTGCTTTCTGTCAGTTCATCTTCAGACAAAAAAAATTTGCTAACACACACAAAAATGCAAGGTCATCTGACCGCAGAGTGGCCAGGGGTCATTATGTCCAGTATTTATTGATCCCGTCCACCACAACAAAAATCAAAGTACTGAAAGTACTGGGAAGCGCTAAGCATGGCTTGAATTTGAAAGTCATCGGAATTGAAATTCCTTATTGCATTGGAATAAGTACATGTAATATTTTGACGATGCAGCTGTAAAGGGGAGGGGGGGGGGGGGGGGGGGGCCCTCAGTTGTTTAACTGAAATAAACTCAGCTCTTGATTGCCTTGACTGTTACTTTAAATAACATCGAATGTAAATTGTATTACTACAACAAAGTCTTTAAATATGCTAAAAAATTAAATGAAAGATAATCTAATTTACCATCTCTGTGCAATTTTTTTAAAGCAAGTGGGTTACTTTTATAATCTCTCTTTGTTTTTTGCACCATAGGGCAGTAACACAGTTACCCGTCCAGAGAACAAGATTACTTGCATTGCATTGTGGGTCCAGGTTTCTGCGATAAAATTAAATTTATATCAATTTTACAGTACAATTTTTTCCCTTCTTTTAACTCATCTCATTTCAGATTATGTTTATAGCTCTACATTAGCTGGAAAGCTGGTTTTTTAGACAAATTTTGGATACCTAAGATGTTGCTGATATCCTTATCTTGAATGTAAAGTGGAGAACACAAAACCTTCTAGTGAAATTTTGAACAATAAATCATTCTACTCTCAAGAATATTATTCGTACTTACTAAAATTCAAAATTGACTGTCGGCGACCGTGCCTGTCTTTGTTATTATCGGCCGCATAGGTGATCGATCTATTGGCAGTTGCGTTTGAAAGTGCACAGGGAGAAATTAGATATTATTTTTTATTTGTTCCATTTAAAACATCCTTAATCATGTTAATGATAACATGTAATTAGGATTATGAATAAAAGATTTTTAAAATGCCTTAATATTTTGTTTGAACTGTTTTTATTTAGTCATAGATATTTATAAAGTTATAATAATTTTTATATAAACGATTTTACAAAAAAAAATCCCTAGCATGGGAACTTGTAAATATATACAGGCAATCAATAAAAGTTACTGGGTATACAAATAATGAATAGAAATTGAACTTTTAAATTTTGTATTGAATATACTATAGTTGAATAAAATAACAATATTTTTGTCAATATTTCTATTAAATTTAATTTATTAAATTTCTATTTATGAAATTCTAGTATACTTTCCTATTTAGAAATAAAAATATAGCATATTAAAATTCGTGAGTATTTTCCTTTGACTCATTTTGGCGGAATTACTTTAAAATGCTTCCTTTTTTTCTTCGCTATGTAAAATATGCTGACAAGAATGAAATAGCCAAAACACCCAAGCGTTCAGTCTAAAGGAATTTTTTGCATCAAAATATTTTATTACAGATAAAGACTATATATAGAACCTAGTTAAACATTTATTTTAATGGAATCGTACATGTACTACTAATAGATTTGATTCCAATTTGATTTTTAAATACTTATTGAAACTTTTAAATACACGTGCGCATTAAATCTTTTTACGGTACTTGTATTAACTTTTTCAAATTACATTGCAGAAATAGGATTTGTGACATAATTGTTGTTTGCCAGTACTTATTGATATGCACCATATTGTTCAGAGATAAGATTCGCCATTATCCACAAACACAGGATTTCCGTACATACGAAAGTTAATATCGACTGTACTAATGAACACCTATTATGCTAGCTCCTACAATAAAGTAGCCGACAGAGGGTCGGGGATTTCCAGTTGTATATTTTTAGACGACTTGGTAGAGTTACATAACTTGCTCAGTGGCGCTGTATTTCGTAAGCTTAGCGTGATCACTCCTCGAAATTGAGTTCGTCATTTTGAAATCGAACATATAATACAACATTTATTTTAAAAAGGATAATCACCTTTAAAAAGAACCATATATATTACACCACGGAGATAAGTTAGGTCAACAATAGGAGGCCACGCAAAGGCATTATAGAACTCCATTTGTTTACATAATTATATCATTATTCATAGAGGGCGCGCTATGGGCGCGTTCAAGATCTTAGTGGTAGACGGAATTTAAGTACAGATAAGAATTTCGAACAAGAATTTTGCTAGCCTAGCAGCCACGTAAAGAATTTGTATTATAAGTATTTATGGTAAGTTTAAAATCCTGCAATCCTACTTGGATTACACTTTGCATCACGCGACATGCTGTATATACCGGTATTCTAAATGAAGGAATTTTCTTTATCTAACCGTAAAATCTCACACATTTAATTTTGGCATTCTTTTTTTCACATATAGTTATAAATAAAATGCATATGATTGTATAATAGAATTAACAATTTACAGGTAGACGAGCTGTGTTTTCAAAACGATTGAGTATGTAGCATTAGTTTACTAGCACCTATGGTACTGAGCGCAGCCGTATATATGGCCGGTAGAGGTCGTTGATTAAAAGATCATGCAAATCATCATGGAATCTGAAGACACCCTAGTAAGCGCTTGCGCATGCGCGCTTAGCGCTTAATTAGATGAAAAATTAGCTTATTTACCACTCCAGAAAAGACAGTCTTGTATAATTATTTTGTGATGGGACAGGGAAACAATCAATGCAAAGGACTACATCTAGATATTTCTTTGAAAAAGAAACTTCACTTTCCAATACAAATGATCAATTTTGTTTAATCGAGTGAAAACCACATATGAATCCTACCATCACCAAAAAATTGAAGAGTGATAAATTACTGACAGCAACATTATTTCTTTTCATTTAATCCCGTTGTATAAGAATTACCTAAGTAATTCCTTGTTTCAATATATTTTCTGTTCTCCAATTCATCAACATATTCAATTCTTTTTATTGCATGTGTCATTTGGATATGTCATCTTAATTGCAACCATATTTCAAGCCCGCATTTGTAAAAATTCATAAATCGGAAGAAACAGTCAGTGGAACGGGAGACTTGATCAATAGGTTCTGCTTTAACCTTAGCTTGTACGATCAGACTACAAAAGGTTTATCATGCATAATGCATGACAAAAGCAATTCATTTTTCGCTGTCTTTTTTTCACACCGTTTTGAAGGAGATATGTCAATTTTCTAGTAGTTGTGGTTCTCCAAATGTGTTCCGCTCAATTAATATATGGATAGACGGATTGTTTTAGCTTGATCCTGTAAAAGCTAGAAGGTGCCGTGTAGCTGAGATTTTTTGTACCTACCTCAATGGTTTCCGGAGAAAAATACTTGTTCTGTTCCCAGAGGTTCAATAGCTAGAGGAAAAGCAAAAAAATAAAATCATATTTCATGACATCCTTGAAGACACAATTTAAAGGAAGATAATTTTTTCTGTAGTTGAGACTGATATTTTTTTTTATATGAAGCTAAGACTTGCATTAATGAAGTAGATGCCAAGAAATTTCCTAAGAGATAAACTGCTACACAATCAAGGCAAAATTGAGAAAAATATGATTTTGAAACATATATGTTCCCAATGTGGAAATATAAATAAGGGCAAAATAAAAGCCCCCTCCCCTTTTATTCAATGGGGAACATTAAATGTTCTAATTGTTTTTTTTACATTCATTGATTATAAACTTTGATAATTAATCTTTATGCATTTATTTTTCAAATTGGCTTCCAAAAATTCACCTATCCTTTACATGAAATCAGGTGACTGTGACAGAACAAACAAATTTGTAAGTTTTAATTGTTAATCCCACAATGGTACTAAGTCTGTGTGTGGTCAAAAAATGCACTTGTTAAATGTCAAAATCTATACTCAACAAATTTATTTTGTTAAGTAAATCATTGGGTGGACAGGACAGAATATTCTATAAGTTCTGTATATATCACTGCATGCATAAAATATTACACACTCATTTACCCAAAATAAAGGCTTGTTTCTTTAACAAAAGCAGAAATCCACAAAAATAACACAATCTCTAAGATTCCTTTGTTTATATGCAGACTCATGTGATGTTGACTTCATAGATATTCCATTTCTTGTAGCGGTGACGTTAACACTGAACTTTGCTGTTATGTAATTGTACATCATTCACCGCGACAGGCCCATGTCAAAGAATTATTCTTTCTGCCTTCATTAAAGTCGTACTAGGATCTAACCACACCAGAGCTTAAACGAACATCTTTCTAAATTCTTAAGATCTCTCAGAATCCATTAATATCATTTTCATACATTACAACTTATGCAAAAGAGCATTTATTTTCTTACAACATAAATGTCAACTTAAACGTAACCACCCAAATTTGCATATCTGTACTAGATGAAGTTGATTTCAAATTTCAGCCAAATGCAAAACTGCACAAATGTACAATATAAAAATAAGGGGAGGGGGGGGGGGGGGGGGAGTTTCAAATTTGGGGGGGGGGGGGGGGGTAATTGCATTTATGTAGTATCAGGTAACTGAACAATTTCTTTTGATAGTTATTTTTTAAATCATATATTCATGAACTTTTTCTATTTACCTTATTAAGTTTTTGTTTCTTGTCTTCCTCTATCCCTGAACTTGCTGTACAGAATATCGGAACCACTACTTTCTCCAAACTGACCTTCAACTCACCAGCATTTTTTCTTATGCTGCAATGTGCATGAGATAAAAAAAAATGTACGTCATAATCAGTATGAAAATGGTGAATAAAACTACAGCATTCCATAAAAGCAGAAACTGTATACAGGGTTATTTTCATCCCATGTTAATTTTGCCCTTTCACACTTGCAAATAATTTTTGCACTAATTTATTTCACCAAGTCACTATTCTGTTTGAAATTGTACTGTCTTAAATTCGCCCACTTGTGTATAGGACAAAAATAAAAAGGAGGCAAAAATTTCAGTATTGGAAGAAACAGGTGGTGTGCAGATTTCGGACTTACCAGTGGTGAAGTAAATCATTAATAAGGTAAATCAGGTGTAAGCGCATCTCAAATAATGCATCCTTGGATGTGATCCTGTAAAAAGAAGACACACAAAAACATTTAATAAACTTGTAATGTAAAACCTTAATTCAAAAGGACTACAAGTACTTTCAATTAGTTGCAGAAGAACTTGCTTAATCTTAAAACATCAGTATGTCAATGTTCATACATGCAGAAGGGATATGCTTAAACTAAAGTAAGTTGTTATTCCCAATTGAATCATAAATGCCCAACATTAACATCCTCAATATCTCAATTTAAAATTTCAAAGCTTTTAGATACTTGTACAGTAAAACTTGGTTATACAGAACTCGCTTACAAGGATTTATTGGTTATAAGGAATTTCTACAATTTCTATAAAATACTTTTCACTTTCCTAATATAAAGGAATCTCCATTTATTACAAAAGACAATATATTCAAGGTCTCAGTGACTTCCTTATACCTACATTTTATTATATCATGTTGAGATGTCAAGATTTTGACAGTGTAAACAAACAGGCGAAGTACACAACACCCACCTCAATCACCCTTCTCTTCTCATTAAATATACATTTAAATGAATATTAACTCCTAACAGTGAACAACAAATAAGAGTTAATGATTACAAAAACTATATTCATAAAGGTTTGATATCAATTAATTTTACAAATTGAAGCCTTTTACCAGGTAATAAACCTCTGGCAAAATACACCCCCCATTCCACCCCATCAGTGCAACAACAACCTTGACCTTGCTGAGCATGCTTTGAATAATGTCTTGAATATTCACAAGGACCAACCTAGGGGGCGACTGAGGCGAAATAGTCGCTTTTGGGCTCCAAACTTCACCGTAATTTATCTTGAAAGCGAAGTTTAAGTCGCCTTAACATTTGCAACCCCTTTATTAAAAATCTATTAAAAAACCTGGTAGAATCGTCAGTAATTGATAAATCTTGTTTTATTACTGCTGAAATAAACCAAAACAGCAGGACACTTGCACATGTTTCGCTGCTAATGACCAATGGATCGAATACTCCGTTGGAACTCCTCTAGATTTTACACTTCCTGGTATGAAAAAGTCCAATTGTTACAAGTTATGCACAACCAGACGCAAAAACAGCTGGTCAGCTATCGATGTTGAAGATGATTTTAGATATTTTTATTGCCAAATAATTAATTCATGCTGTGAATACAGACATACTTTCACTGTTAATTGTGGAGTTATTGACTATCCAAGAAATTACACGTCCGATATACATGCCCACAGAGTTCAATTAGTACATCAAAACTTTTTTCATTAATATTGAAAACAAATTTTGAAGAGAAAATAACATAATTATGACTATGCAATGAGCCTAAAAATTTAAAATGAAAAGATAGAATTTAAAAGTTAACTGTGCATATGCTATGCTACACATATTATGCAATAAATGAAAACAAATGTCATTGTTTTGTTTGTTTGTTTGTTTGTTTTTTTGCTAGATACATTTAATACCTTGTAATTGGAAAAAAAAAATCAGATTCTTTTTCTCTTTTTTATATCATTTTTACTAGCATGTTAATACAGAAAAAAATATTGAAATGTTTTTCAAGTTTTTAACAATGAAATAGTTCCATTTTTTTTTTATTTTAAAGATTTATAATGATCAGTGAGCGCCGCGCGCGCCAAGAAGTCTCCCTAAATTTCAAAACTTCTCCCTAAATTTCTCTAAGGGAGAAGTGAAGTCTCCCTAAATTTTGGGTCTAGGATGGTCCCTGTATTCATTACCAACCAGTACATGGAAGTGCTTTTATGCATTTTTTTTTTATTAAATTGTCTTGAGATAATTTTTCTTAGTACATATCCTGTAACTATATATATGCCATAGTTAAAATAAACATCCACTGTGGCTCCATCATCATCTTAGCCCCAGTGGCTATTACCAGTATATTTATGCACTACATGTTTCACATTTTCTCATTTCTACCCCTAGGATTCTGAGAAGACTTTTTTTCCAGACCCTACAATATTTTTACTATTTCTGAATCATTTCCCCTTGAAAGAGGGCAGAGTTGACCATTCTTCACTGAAACAAATTGGAGTGTCCTTGACCTGAGGATGATTTGTGACAGTTTTATTGGAGTTGGCCCCAGTTGTTATTCTAAAGGAGTTTAAAATCTGAAGAGTTTACAGAAGAGAAACAATAGACAGACTGACAGACAAAAGACAAGTTTCAATCAAAATTTGACCTCTTAGGGCTAGAAAGCCTCAATCTTTGTCAATCTAACATTGATGTAAAAACTATGATATATATGAAAGCACAGTTAACAAAAAAATTATGAGAAAATTACAATGTTTTTCCTATATCTACAAAATCATAATTGGGTCATAGGTACAATACTGAAATGGAGATTGTGGACAAGGAACTCAACAAAAACTTGTGGTTTTCCATAGAATAAATTTATGTTACACATTATAAATTAGACTGTCACTGAGTTTCAGGGACTCTTTGTATATCAAGCATAATACTTCTTTACAATCGTAGATACTTCTGTATAAATTACACCCTTTAGAGACTGGACTCCTTGCATTGTTTTGAGAAGACTGCTTTACAACTCTTTTGCTTTACAAGACAATGCAACCAAAATATATTAGATATTTTCTGAAAAACAAAGATACAAAGCTTGTTTTGGTTTTTTAACAAAACTATGTCCTCCGATTTACAACTCTTTGCTTGAGGGTAAATAAAGATAAAGATATACGGTTTATATTAGACAACTGACACATTTAGAGCATCCATATCTCATATGATAAAACCTCACAGGTAATGAAGCAGCACCGTTATTACCCGCTCCGTTAATAAATAAGTGCTAGGCCAAAAGTTAGCCTTGTATGTGTAATGTTTTTGCACTATTTTTTTTCCTCACTATGGACATGATGGACAACAAAAAAAATGTGAGTTTCTTGTTGTTGTTCTATTTTCAAGCTCAAGGTAGCAAAAAAAATTACAACGCAGTTGCACTGTAAAATGTGAATAAAAAATAAATGCCCTTATGGATATTATGATATTATAAGGTAAACACAGAAATATGAACTCCCCGCACCTATTAGTCTGCAGTGAAGATTAGAATATTGTGATTAGTAAAATTCAGTTATAGGAATGTCTACACCACCACTACCTATAATAAGGCATGCAAACTTTAGAATTACACTAAACTCTACCCATCTACATGACATAAACCAAAAGCATCAAGGGGCAAGAAGAACACAGCTACACATGTAAGCCACTTTAGTATTTAAAACACCAAAAACTTCAGGTTCACTCGGATTAAGACCAAAAAGCCAAAACTGAAATTGACTTGCATTGGGATTAATTTAATAAGCTAATTCAGTATTCTAAGCAGTTAAAAAAACATAGAGTTTTTTAAAATAATTAAATTATAAAGACTTGAATCGTCAATAATGAAAGTTAATAAAAGTACGATCTTTATACTGTTTAGATGATCGTCTAAACTCTTAAATATTGTAAAACAAATTTTATTCCTTATTTGAAAAAGCGTGGAATTATGTCACGTGGATGAAGTCTGTGTTAGTCACAACACTAGGACAACTACCTCTCTTTCTGATATCACCTACCTATTCAGGCCAACATTGGCTTGTACCAACCTTTTTTGCAAATATTTCGCAACAAGGTCGCAGTGCTTTTCTGTGGCAGTGCAATGCTGAAATATCCAGCTTTTTCCATTCTAGAAATAAAAAAAAATTATGTCACATCAGTGAAGAATTCAGAGAAAGAAAAAGGTATAGTTTGAGCTTTATTGTGCCCTAAAAATTTAGTGTTCTTAAAAAGTTATGAAATTGGCTTTAACAATAGTTGAGTAGATGAATATGATAAATCATTAAAGAATATGGCATTTAGGAGGACCTTTCTGGAAATGTGACGTCATTAATTTGGGACATTTCTAATTTTAATGCAGAAAAGCCTCAAAATAACTCATTTCTGTGCTAATTTTCCTTTAGAAAATAGTGACTGCCACTGTCACCCACTTTAATTTTTGGATATATTATGTAAACTGCTATGAAAAATCACATATCTCAAAATCTTTCTGGGCGATGGTGGCAGAGTATGTTTTCAGAAAAAAATTTCCACTGAAAATTGATGTCTTTTGCAACTCTTTAAGAAAATACGGGAAAATGCACAAGTTAATGACATCACAATTAGCATTTAGGAGGTCATTTGAGAAAAACAAATTGTGTATTCTTACTGCAGGGAATTCCTATGATTCAGAAAGAATGAATTTTGATTTCTTATATCACTTTCATATTTTAGAAAAATATAGGACTTAATTTGTATTGAAACTGTACCCTGTTCTTTTTGTATTGTCTGCAGCTTGTTCCTGGTAGGAATATGTACTTTTATACATTTATTGCATGATAGTGAGGGAAATATGAAGACTTATTCAGCCAAGAAAAATCATATTCCCCGAGGGGAATATGGTATTTCTTGGCTGAATATGTCTTCATGTTTCTCGAATATTCATGCAATGAATTGTTTATTATACCGAAACAAGCAAAACTTTCATTTTTTACGTAAAGTTACTATAAAACCCTTTGGTAAACACATTATCATCAATTTTATGATGTAAACCAGGTCATTGTGACGTCTACTATACTCTCGGGAGTTTTCTTTAAACGAACAATAATTTTTGCGGGAAAATGCACTAAGTATCCGAAGAGGTGGAATATGATGAAAAGCGTGCCGACGGCCGGGAAATATGAAGTTTTATGGCCCGATCACGTGATATCTTAGAACCAATCAGATAACGCGTTGTTTAGAATATTTATAATGAGGTATAATAATATCTTTTGTAATTTTGTTTTCAATATTTGCCACATGCTGTACAGTCTGAGAATATGACTAGGGCAACTTTCTCTGTTCTAAAACCTTGATAAATCAAAAGGCTTTCAGTTTCATTTTTTTCAAGACTTCTTTAAATCGAAAAAACATCTGGGTCTTGCTTCCATAACATCATGATCAACAAAAGGATTTTTATTCTGTATGTGATAAAAGTCCTAAAAATTATCAAGAAGTCTGCCTGCACTTCATCTGATCATATCCGTTATTGAGTGATTTTTCACCTTGAAAAATCATCCAATCAAATTGTAAAGTTGTCAGGTAAAAACATTAAATTCACAACACTTATTAAATCATAATTACATGTATTATATGCTGTATTTGAATATATTTCCTACTTATTGTTATGAAGCCAATACATCAAGTCAGTTAATAAAATTCATACTTATTAAGTAGAAGAGTCCTACTTTTCTTGACATAATGTATTCAAGACTATCATATTAAAAAAAAAAATTAAGCTGACATTTTTGCGGTGAAATTTACCGATATACTAGAATAATAACTACAACACTAGATTAGAGATGGTACAGATTTGACAGATTCTACTGAAGTTTATATTATAGTAGTACTGTGTTACATCTCCAAATCTGTTTAAATCCTTTGGACAAGAGATAGTCCTTCTTATACAGAATTTTACCGGTACATGTAATTAGTCCTAACTCTGTGGTTATCATCTACAGACTATTGGTCCATACCCAAAAAGTATTTACTGAAGGTTTGATTGTCATTAGATATTCTTAAAACAGCTTTCAATTGCCCCATTTCATATTCCCCTCCCTATAAACTTACATTATCTGAGTATTATGTAATATTGTAATATAATGTAATAATATTATATTACAAAAATAAACCAGCATTATAAGGGAAAGGGGTTTAAAAGAAGGAAAACATTGATTCACCTGCTTTTTTTTTTGGGGGGGGGGGGGGGGGGGGCTGGTATACCACCTGTTCTGATCCTAAATCACTAGGTGGGAGTAAATTACTCCAGCACGTTTCATAAAATCACACTAAACGGGCCATCACAGACCTTCACCCCTTACATGGAAGAAGCCTTATTTTTGTCTTTATAGACTTGTTGACAACTCGCAGGAGGCGATTTATGGCCAGTTTGTGGTTAACACTAATAGTTTCTGCTGGACACCAGAGTGTGTCTGATGGTCACATGGCGGCCATCTAATGGACAACTCCTACACTACTCCAGGAAGTAAAAAATAAAGATGGTAAGACTCCATAAAGGTCACTTTTTTTTACGTCTCTGGGGTTTTGTGGTTATGTAGTACTAAATGGCACTATATCCAAAAAAGGAAATCTCGAAGATATACATATATCATTTAGTATGCATAATTCCATTTCATCTGAACTCAGCAAAATATTTTCAAAGACAGTATCATTCAAATTCATTAGAAAGTCTAATCATTTTATGAACAAAATCGGGATTTTACAGGTAAATCAGGTTGCTAGTGGACTATTGAATAGAGACTTATATATATGTATCAGCACACTTTGAGCATCAAGAGCTTGCATATAAGTAAAATTGGTATAAAGCACTGCATGTACAATTTACCATGCAAATACCGTATAAGTAGAATTTTTAGCGAGGATTTAATTTTGGCATTATTAGCGAGGGTGCTGACGTCGCTAAAATTAAATATCGCTTAAAAATAATTGCGTATTATTTGTAATAGCTTCTTTAGTTAGCATTTTAAAATCGCTAAAATTACTTCTTGCTAAAAATAAAATACCATATTTTAAGTAGAAATCACTAAATTTGCGTCTCGCTAAAATTTCCACTTATACGGTATTTTTTGAGAGACAATAGGAAAAAGGTGTGAACATTACATGGTCTAAAATTTTGTTTGACTGTATCTCTCATTTTATTTATATGACTTTTAAAAATCCCTCTGAGGGCCTCATGGCAAAAGATTGACCTTTGATTTAAAATTGCCTTTTTTTTTTTTTTATAATTAAGGCTATCTAAATTTAATGCCCTGGTTCTCTGGCCAATTTTCTCCAAAACAGATGCGGAGGGCGGCATTTTATTTTTCATTTTATTGGCAATAAAGTAGATGAGGGAGGTTTTTTTTTTAATTTGAATTTCCGAATTTTCTTTAACATAAAGATAATTTTTTAATCACAGATATACTTTCCATTTCTGATCAAAATTTCTGCTTTATCCATTGCTTAACGGCGTGTAACATCGTAGGTAATGTCCTCGAATGTATTTTCAAACGAAGTAGCCAAAATCTCATTGTAAAATGGCTACCGGAAGTGATATTTGAATACTAAACTAAAAACAAATGAGGTGCCCTTTTTTTTTTATTTTATCAAAAATACAATAAACAATGCGGCTCCTAAAGTGCGCGCGGGCCTGAGAACCAAGATTTCAATTTTATATGGCCTAAACATTCTAAAGTGCAAGCAACCTGATCATTGACACAGACCTTAGGAGCAGACAAGATCCAAAATCAATATTACCGCAGAGCTACAGAGGAAAAAGAAAGAAAAGCCAGAGGTCTTTTACCAGAATTGCATCCTTGGTGCAGGAGTCAATGATTGGTTGAACTGTGCCGTCCAAATCCTCCATTTTGATGTCACATTCGGCACACAGTTTCTCCAGCTGTTCATTTCTAGACTTCACTATGGCCTCCTCAATCTGAATCTGTTAAAGAGAAATTTTTTTGAAACAAATTGTGCATATAGAAATTTTTGTCAACTATTGTACCAAGTTAAAATCAAATTAAAAAAAAAAACAACCAGATGTTGTTTTTAGACCATTAAATTTACAAAGAAAATAAATTCTATAATTATGCAAAATATGTACAATCTAAAAATGTGCACTTTGTTTAGTCACTTTTTGAGAGCATCTCTGGATTCTAAAGATTTTTTTTCCAAGAAGTTAATTATAAAGGGAAAGGGGAAAATTACAAGGACCTTGACCCTACAGGTACCGGTATAACCTTGAAATGAATTCATTATATGTATTACTATCTGCAAATATCGGTTGTACATTTACTGGTAGACAAGATTCAAAGATCTTAGCCTAGACAGACAGACAGATGGATGAAATACTGTTATTTTCAAGAATAAATAGTTTTCCTTTCCTTTATATGAACCTTTGGCCTTACATGTACCCCACCGAGCATTTGTGTGATGATAGCCATCCGTATAAAGACCTTTTGTAATGGGATTTATCACAGCATCAGGCATTTTTCTCTAACAAACATGTCTTTAAGTCGAGGCATGCTGATAAATCCTGCAAAACCTCATGAGGATTTTCGAAAAGAAGGCCAATGCACATGATTTGCTCAGTAAGTAAATGCTCTATAATTCCCTGATTTTTTTTATTTCATAAGTTCATTAAGTAAACTTTCAGGACATTACCTCAATGATTTTAACAAATCAACTCATTTTGTGAACTCTAATCATGTGCAAAAATTACCCCCCTCCCCCATGTAAATGCTTTGTAACAAAGAAGTCACAAATTTTACTCCTTAAAATTTCCAAGTTTACAGTATCTTCATCAAGAGGTATTATTGATATTGTCTCATACATCTCAATCCTTTCTTTCCATATAGTTTTTGTAGAACTCTCTAATTTCTAAACTTTTTAATTTGCTTTTAAAATTTTCATCAAAAGTCAAACTGTATGGAGTCTGGAGTTTACATATATACAGATAATTTTTCAGATGCTAGAATGGGGGTCAAAATCTGGTAAATTTGACACCAGCATTACCATATTTTACTTGCCTGCAAAATGCACATATGATGCTTGAATATATATTTTTCTTTTTTAAACTAAAAAGATTTTCTGAATCTTCATGTTCATAAAAAATGCAGAAAGTTTGTACTCAAACAGTAGTCATACTTCAATTCTAAGAGATTCGATCATTTTAAATTACATGGTCACATCATGCCTGATAAATTTCTTTAATCAAAATTATTGGATTATTTATTTCATCTAAAACTGTACACGGTACACATTTCCCCTGACCCCTCCCTGAGAGAAAAATGTCTATTTGTGGAACAAATAAATACTGTCCATGAAGTATTACTGGTAATTAGAGGAACTGGGTGCTTATCACAAACATGAACCATTTTAAAAGTTTCATTTACTTACATCCTATAAATTAGAATTTGTCTGTTCATGACAACAATGACACTTTGTCAAACTGTCTAATAGTATTAGCAAATAAAGTCCACGTGATAAAACCACCTCTGCAGTGATCAAGAACTTAATCATATTTTGTTTTTAGCAAAGTGCTGTGCAAAGTGCAAAGCACAAATATACCGAGATGGGTAATACAAATGTAATGGATCAGCACTGACCAATTTATTTTCATTTAGTGGTTTTCTTATGGCATTGCACACCATACAACAATGGGTTAAGTAGAAAAACACATTCAATATCATGCTATTCTCATAATATTGATATAGCATGCAATATTGATACCCACCCACACCAACTATGTCTTCACGTCATTATCATAAAACGTAAATAAATTTGCCATAAATTCAAATTTTTGTCTCTTTAAGTTATCAATTGATTGTCAGCTCTTTTTTTTAAGAACGTCATTCATTCTTAAGATATTTCCAAAAACATATCGAATTAATATTCAACACAGGTTTCTGAAAATGTTATGCATTAATCAGCGGCAAAAACAAAAGGACAGAATCTATAGGTATCATATGATAAAATCAATAAATATTAAATCAAGACTTCTAAAAAATGGTCTACATATTCATCCAGTTGGGCTTTTAAAAAGGTTAAGAAACAGGTGATACATGTACTTTTACAAAAACGGGAGGTAGAAAGTGGAAATGCTTTTAATTTTTCCCCCAATCAAATATTTTGGTCCATACAATTGTGATTTCAGCCAAGTAAAATCACTAGCCACCTGCAATTTTGAAAAGTCTGTTCATCTCCATGTAGAGCAGTGATAAAACGTAACTTTTCTTTAAAATTCACCACAAAAAATATTTTTAGCAATGACAAATATTATTCAAGGTTATTTTGCAAATAAAAACCCTGCATTGCAATTAATTCTAAAAGCATGTGCAATTAAACAGTAACTAAGAGGAATCTTACATGAAATCTCAATCAAAATGCAAATGCATCTTCCTGCAGTACCTTGACATTTTTGGTGAATGTAAATTTTTAAAATTCATTAAAACAATTTAAAGGTCAATAAAATATTGTGGAATTAAATTAGTTTATTTTTAGACCTGTTGTTGCTGTATGAAGCTCTGGTACTGTGCAGCTAAGTTCTGTTCGCTTTGCTGTATCTGTTGATCCATCATCACTTGATGCTGAGCAATCTGTTGCTGCAGGTTCTGAATTTGCTGGTTGGCCTGTGGAGGTTGCTGCCATGGTGCTGTCTGAAGGGCTTGTTGTGTCATCACTTGTTGCACCATTTGCTGTTGTTGCACTAATTGTTGCTGCTGCTTTTTGGCCACTAAAAAATAAAATTCTTAATATTGAAATCAGTTAACTCAGTAACTTGAACATCATTTCTGATCAAAGACTTCTTTGATAATTATTTTAAAGAAATAAAATTCAAGGTTACCTGCTTGCTCTGTGGTTACTTTATATTGATAGTAATTAAAGAACTCTCCACCAAAGAGAAAGGAAAACTTTGGATTATCTTTTTGTTTTTGTTTTGTCATGTGTTCAAATTCTGGTCCATTTCTGGCAACAAACTGAGCCAGTTTATCAATGATGTTCTTCAGGTCATGATCTGGAAAATAGGTGATAGTGATATAATTAATTGATAACAAACAGGGCTGTGTCAAACTATTGAAACTACAGTTTCATTTCTTGCAAGTCTGAAACCTCAAAAAACATTGAATTTTTATTAAGTTTATGAAGCAGCCAGAACCATATTTTTTTCTGTTAGTCTAATGGGTATGGACAATTATAAGGTTATTCAGGGATGAAAGAGACTAGTAGACTAATCACTTGGACCTTTTCAATCACTTATTGAAAAGATCAAAACGTTATTTTAAATATTCAATCACATTTTGATCCATTTTAATCGATTATAAAATATACATATTTAGATGTTGTGTGTTCAAATTCATGAAAAACACTGCAAAAGTTAAGGCTAGTAGTATTTAATCGGGATAATTCCAATTCAAGGAGAGAATTTATAAATTGATGTGTTGGTAGTCAAAGCTAACAATAATTACTTAATTAGATGGCAGTTTTATAATTAGTGTGGTGTTAAATAAACATAATTTTAATATGTATAAAACACCGACATTAGAACTGTAAATGTCTCTGCTAGTAATATAATATTCAAAGTTATCTAAATTTACATATATAGGTACTTCATTCTTGTCATATTTATGCTGATATGAATAAGTTAAGACACTTGATTTCTTACAGGTGTATTAGTTAGTTTCTTCACTGCATATATAATTTGCAAATTTGTCTTTTTCATTAAAGATTTGTTTTTTTCTAATCAATATTGACAATTTTACCTTCTGGCGGCTTGGGAAGATCCATCCTCTCACTATTTGGCTGTTTAAATTCTTTGTTGATATAGCTCTTGTAAAAATAGCCATAAAACCTTCACTTAAAACGTTTAAGAGACTTCAGGAATATGGTAGCAAAAATACAAAGGATACGAAAATAATTTTTTAACTCATTTTTTAAATAACAATAAGCTTAATTAAGACGAATAAATTTTAGTTTGATTTTTTAAAACAACTTTCAGAGGATTGACGGAATTATCCGATCATTGCCGAATGAATGTTGTGAAAAAGATGGTGGATTTCGCGGGAGAACTTCTAGAAACATTGCTCACAAAAATATCGATATTGCACTATGAAAGAGGTAAGTTTCATTGTTAAGTTTATCTAATTATTTATACAGTTGGTGTAGTGGTCTTATTCAATGATTGAAAACTGTAAATGATTGCGCAAGTTTTGCACACAGTGCAGTGTTTTCTTTTTTTTTTGTCTATGACCTTCACGGTCTTTCTATAAACATGGCGGATGTAAACAATCGTACGAACGTGTAACCTACTACGTCAACAGTGTCGGCTGATTGATTGCGCCACACTCCGTTGAGTCAGCCAGTCATCGGAGAGGCCACGTAGTCTAGATATAAATAGCTTGAGGCAGTCGGATGATCTTCAGTTGAACGTTTGTTGTTGGAGAGTGAATATGTGCGAGTGATTACCATCGGAAAGTAGGTCTCTAGACCTTAATGAATATAGACAAGGGTCTTAAAGGTTTCATTTTGGATATATTGGTCTCATATTGAGCGACAGTTTAAAGGCAGCCAAATCTTTGTGCAATATTTTTTACTCGGATAGATCGACTACAAAGCATCAATGCCTGGAATAATGATTGACGTAAGTAGAGTGTAGCAACAAAGAAATGGACTGACAGCTTAATTGTGTGTTTATACTGTTTGTGTGTTGTTGATTGTTTAACTATTGTTTGACAATTTAGCCATTTGCGGGTGTCAAACAAGGTAATTAGTCAATTAACAAAGTAAACATCATATTTTGGCAAATAAACAACACACACATATATATAAATATTCAGAGAATTTATCGTGGTGACACTTTCATGCAATGCAAGTTCCAGTGTTATCATTGTATGGTACAAGGGTATAGATATGTAAAAATAAAAACACTTGAAAAATGTTTTTGAGAAAATTTCACAGTATTAAGCCATTATTGGCCTTTTTTCATAAGTGTATATTTTACCTTCATAAACCTTTATGAACAGTTTATTGAGCTAAAATCAATTTTGCAACTTTATAATTTGTATTTCATATTCTGGTTTAATTTAATAATACATATGCTGAAATTTCTAATTTCAAGCTCCTTTGGAATTTGGCAACCCCCCAAAACTAAACAAAGAATGACAAAATGATACTGTGAAATAAGTAACGCCATTGGTAGGGTATAAATAAAACGAGAGATTTAAATGATCAATGTCTGGCCATTGATATGTAAATCTTTACATAGAACCATCCGGAATAGTCTGAGTTCTATAAATAGATTGTTTCGTCAGTAGTTTCACATATCTGATGCAACTAGAATTCTTGAGGAGGAGTATATAAGCCAATGTGTTTCATAGGCTCCCCCTCTTTCTGGGAACTAAGTTCTATATAGTGTTCACTGGGAAATCATAGATATGTGGAGGAGATTAATTACAAATTTTGATTGTGGTGCCAATTATAGAATTATTTATTCAATTATAAGTAAGTATTTTTTTTTTAAATGTATATCATACAACTTTCAGTTTTATAAAAATTCTGTTTGGTTTTATAATTTTTTTTTCTTACATTATTTTTTTAAAATTGATTTGAAATGTCAGAAAAATGACTAAAATGTACTTACAGTATTTGAAGTAATTAGATTTTGAAAACTGGTCTGTTAATTAAATCACAAAATGAAACATTGACATATGTAATATTACTCAATGCAATGAATTAAAAAGGTTGTCTGAATGTGAAATGAGTTAATGTAATTTACTGTACAGGTGTATTAACATTTTGCTAATTATCCCTGCTGTGCAGCCAATGGCTGAAAAAACAGAGAAATAGATTGAGACACTGTGATTATAACACATTTTCAATTTTAAATGTCTATAATACTGTTTGTTCAGCATTAATTTGAGCTATTGAAATTATTGCCATCTATATAAGGTGCCAGCCCCTGTGAAATCAATCACTTGGGGTCTTGTACATTTAGCTGTCTGTCTTGAACTAAGAACTCTGAAATCTATCACTCTGTGTTCTGAACCATGCCTTTGAATATTCAGGTGGATTCTCAGTATTGTCCCTCCCCAAGACGACCCAACAGCCTGGAGTTGACCAGCTGCTTGACCCTGGAAATGGACAACGACCTGGAGAATAACAACAATTCCATCAACGACAACAACAACACCAGTCCATTTAACAGGAATCACAGGAATAAGAAGAAAAGGAGGAGGGCAGCTGACATACCAGAAAAGCAATTTAATGGTAAATATAACTTTCAGTTCAATGTACAGTAAAAGAGGTTTTTAAATCCAAAGCTCCAAGAGATAAATTGTGAAAATTTTCAGGTGTGTGGGCAGATTTTTTTTTTAGGTTCAATGACTGTTCTTTTTTTAGTATCAAATTTTATCATTTAAAGGGGAAGTAAAATTCACCAAAAACCTCAATTTATTTTTAGAATTGCATCATCAGTGTGACATCAGGAATTTTTTCCCCTAAAAATAGAATCGTGTAATTTTACTTCCTATAATTTGAATTAAGTGGAAATTTGCCAGAAGTATCATTTTTGATCTAAGTTTATATATAGGATGTGGTAAATATAGGTCAATGGGATGATGTGTATGATGTGTCAATGCCTCGTGACTTTTCCATGTCAATAGTTATAGACTTATGGCAGCATCTGGCTAGGGATGAATCATTGCTTCATATGTTGGCTTTTTCCCTTCGGTAACAATAATGAACTCTAAATAACATCGCACAACTCATAAAATAAAGATGGGCTGCCAAAGATATATTTGATGTTGGCACTAGAGCAGAAAGGAAAGACTGGTACTGTTTTATGTTTCACTGAACACAAGTTCACACGAGAGAGACGAGAGGGTGCTTGCCTGAAGAGAGTAATCTATGCAAGATGTGCATAATTACATTTTTTATCCTGCAGGAAAATGTGTATTGCATCAGTGTCAATTTATATTTACAGACCTTTACAGACCAACTGGGGAAATGCTTGGGAATGGATCTTATGCATCTGTACAAACTTACAAAAATATCCACTCAAACAAGGAGTATGCAGTAAAGGTAATTATAGATTAGATATTAGTGAAATTGTTTAGAAAGGTTCAAAAAGGAAATACTTTTATAATCTTCCAAGGAAAAAAAATAGGCTGGTACATATAATGAAGGTAATTTATGACTATTTTTATTTGCAGATCATAGAAAAAAATAATGGAAGATCAAGAAGCAAAGTTTTTAAAGAAATTGAGATATTCCATTTGTGCCAAGGACACGATAACATCTTGCAGCTGTATGAATATTTTGAAGAGGCTGAGCGGTTCTACCTTGTCTTTGATAAGATGCAAGGAGGTAAGAGGAATTCACCAGGTTATTTTCTCTGTCTTTGTTAAATGGTTAACCGCAATTTTTAAAATCACAGATCTGCACAAACCGTTGCAAATGAAAAGATCTTGTTATTGATAGGAAATCTAGGCCAGTGGTGTTTATTTTGTGCCTGAGGTCACACAGGTGCTTTGTTTGTGTTTACCTCGGGGATATTTAAATTTATGATAATGAGTTCGGCTTTTGTAAAGGTTTTTGTGCGATTATGATAACCAGGGTGTTATTTTTGTGTTCTCAGGTACCTTACTCGCCAACATCGAACGAAGAGGTCACTTGACCGAGAGCGAAGCAAGTTTGGTTGTTCGTGACATTGCAAGAGCTTTAGATTTTCTTCATCGAAAAGGAATTGCTCACCGGGATTTAAAACCTGAAAACATTTTATGTGAGAAAACTGATGAGGTAGGCATAGCATACTATTTTTGTGTTGTAAAAAAAAAATTGAGATTTTGTCAAATTTGTCCAAGTTTATAAAGTTTTTGAGACATTTAGAACTAAAATTTTTTTTTTAATTTAGGTGGTACCTATTCGTATCTGTGACTTTGACCTTGCCAGTGGAGTTCCAGTCAGTCAGAATGACAACTGCACCACCCCTGAACTACTCACCCCTGTTGGTTCAGCCGAGTACATGGCACCCGAAGTTGTTGATGCCTGGGTGGGGGAGTCCTTTAAATATGACAAAAAATGTGATCTGTGGAGTCTTGGAACTATATTGTAAGTATTAGAAGATATTTTTTCTCAAGATGATTAAAGATTTTATTAAAGCAACATTCACTGGTGTAAGAATTTACAGAACAATAATATGTGTGATTGTGGATTTTCAGGTACATCATGCTGTGTGGGTGCCCCCCGTTTTATGGTCAGTGTGGGGAGGACTGTGGCTGGGAGAGGGGGGAGACTTGCCAGGACTGTCAGGACAGTCTCTTCACCAGGATCCAGGATGGCATCTTCGAGTTTCCCGAAAACGAGTGGAGCGACATCTCCGAGGAAGCTAAGGATTTGATCCGTAAGCTGCTAGTGAGGGAACCCAGGAAGAGGCTGACCGCTGTGGAGGTCCTGCACCACCCCTGGGTCCAGTCCCCTCCTGCGGCCACCCCCTTGGCCACCCCCAGAGTGCTTACCAGGTATGTATTACTCAGCTTTGGCACAATCTTGAGTCAACTTATGAGGATGTCTTTCCTAGACAGTACATTGAGATTAACATGTATGATAATTGTGACTAATGATTTATTATCTTTTACAGAAACAACAGCACCAAAGACCTGGAGTGCTTCGCCAGCGAGGCGATATCTATCAACCGCATGATGCAGCAACACTTGTTAATATCAGAACCGGCCTCGTTTTTCATCGGCAACAGAGACGGGGATTTGCTGGAGGAATCGGATGAGACAGACTCTGGGGACGACCTCTTTGTACCCTCCATCAAACTTTCCCCTCCCTGTTCGGGACTTGCCAAACGACGCACATGTACTACAATGCATAATCTGAACACTTCAGGCGAGCAGAGCGACAGTGTTGACTCTTTCCCCAGCTCACATTCCTCAACCTATGGCTTGAGTGTGTAGTCATTTTTTTTTTCATCATTTCCATTCTAAGACATTCTGTCATAGAAACACTTATTCAGGGATCTTGTGTTATTATCAAAGTATATTTAGCTATGTTAAAATCAATTGAATAGCAGAAAAAGAAAAGATATCCAATGTCTTTCAAGTCTTTATAGAAAAAAAATAATTTGAGACATATTGTCTTCACTGTGAGAGAGAAGAATTGATTAGAGATAGATGGAAGATTGAAAACAACTGAAGAGTGCTCTTAAAAGAAAAATTAAGCAATCAAAGAAATCAATGTGTGAAAGTTTGTGTGTGTATGATTTTATGATTTATGAATGCAGAGAGTTGTATGGAAGTGAAAAGAGTACTTAATGGTTGTGAAAATGAGATTAGTATTTTTTCAAGTACATTTCTGTTCTGAAATGTTTGTTATATTTTTTAGTGTCCATGTGTTCGATTTTATCTGTTTATTTTTCCATGTTTCCATTTTGTATTTTTACAGTTATTGCGTAGAAATGATTTTAAATTGAAGCAGTCTTACTTCTAGGACTTAGCAGTTTGTAAATTTCGAAATTATCTCCCACACTCTTGTTTAAGAGGATTTTTTTTGTACATAAAACCGGTAATAATTTTCCAACTTTCTAAATATGAACAAAACCATGTTTTTGATATTACAAAACTTTCAAAAAAAGTCAGAAGTGTTTAAATTTTAAATATATGTCATATTGGTGCCATTATAACTTGTGCATAGAGAATTGTTCATGTTAGAAGAAAAGACACAATGTATGTCTGAAGAGCTAAGGCCTGGAAAAAGTTGAAATCCGTCATTGTTATACAATATTATACCTCTTGTCTTTGTCAATGTCCATGTGCTAAAAATAGTCAAAAAAAAAAAGAGAAGAATTCCTGAATGGCAACAGGATATTCATGTGATATTTAACTCTCGTGATTGTGATGTTAAGAGAAAGCTGCCTTGTATTTGAGCTTGTTGTTGCCAGTTCTTGTTTGAAGAAAAAAAAATATTGTTTAAAAAATGTGCATTTTATATGCGAGATTGTTATTCATGTTTTAGTTACAATTTTTTCTCAAACCTGAACATTTTGTTTTATATAGAAAATTTCAACAGATATTAGTATCATTTTTCATGTAAAAAAAAAAAAAAAGGTACTTGATTTTACAAAATGTCCTTTAAAATGGATCCCTTGTAATGTAGTAGGGTGGGTGGGGGTGAAAGGAAGAATTTTAAAATAGATAGAAGGACTGTTACCATCAGGCTAAGTGTCAAAGTCAGGGTGTGGTAATTAAGTACACCTCTGAAAACGAACAGACTGGCATGCTAAGATCTGGAATTTTTATGTATATGTTGGCCATGTTCATGGAGGTCCTTGCAAGCCTTGGATCTCAAAGTATGGTTATTGTTAGAAGGTTTGCATGGAATCCCTGGGCATGGTATCTTGTAATTTTTTTTTCTCTTTTGGATGCTGAACGGGTTTTATATTTTGTATGGTGTATAAAGAAAGTGCTGCTGTGCTTGAATCCAAGCCAGCGATGACAAAACACATTGTGCCACTTGATTTAAAAACAAATCTGTATTGAATCAGCTTTGTGCTATATTTTTGTGATTTAAAAAAAAAGATTATTTCTCTTAAAATTTCCTGAGGAAATTTATTGATAACTTTTGCAATGCTCAATATAACCATGTGTTCTGATTTGCATTCCATATGTGATCGATGATGTTCATTAATTATTGGAATAAGCCAAATCAAAGTTCTTTGTATTTTTAACACAGAAATTAAAATTAACCATATTTAGACTAAGAAATTGAAATTCAGCATTTTAATTTGTTTAAGTGCAATTTTATTGTTGAAATTTAGGAAATAAAAAAATGAAGGTATTTCAATTATTTATGTTCATAATTATGGCGAAGAGTTAAGTAAATGATACTGCTTGCTATGTTTCGAATTTTAGCGAAGCCAATGTTTTCAACACTGTGTTTATGGACCAGAATTGTTGATATACTGAAGCTTGTCAAAATGACTTGTAAAACTCAGTCATGATGCATTTCAAAAATAAAGAAAATAAAATTTTACTTCTTTGTTGGGTTTTATATGTGCTTGGCAAACTGCGACTACGATGGATGTTGGCTAGTAGAGAATGTCAAACAAGGGACATGGAATGGAAATATATACTGCGTTTTATATGCATATATTTTTTACTCAGGAGAGCCAATAACTGTAATCTATAGATCATGCATACGTGAGAGATTAATATATATAGGACAATGGTACTACAGCCTTGATGACTTGCCAAGTATGCAAACTAAAAGTGAAGAACAAGATACACAACAGGATTATAAAATTGAACTAAACCTGCAGTGTACATTTTTAAATGCAAAGGTTAACACATAAATTGAAGGAGAATACTTATGTCTTGGTACATGAATTATTTTGCGACCAAGTTTTATCTCGCTGAAATTTTCTCTTGTTGAGAAGATGCATCTACAGCATAACTGACTTTTGCTGTGAGCTGAAATAATTAGTTCAGGAAGTCTTTGAGGTTATGTTGATGTAACAATACTAGTAACTAGTAAATTGGCTTTGACTGCTTGATGACATGAAATGTTGTTCTAGTATTTAGACAGAGTATCTTCTGTACCTTGCTAATACTTGTATAATTAGCAGGTTTAGACAAAAACATTCCCGGTATTTTTAGTTTTTATGCTATCTTAAATGCAATTACTTGTAGCTGCAGTGTACTGTTTACATTGAGCAAAGTCTAATGTATACTGCCCTGGGGCCCATTTTACAAAAGAACTTGCCACTAAACACCACAACCTTTAGTTGATCAGAAAATCTTGTAAAATTAATGTTTTTTGTTGAAAATTGCCGCATAAAAATATCTTGGGAAATTATATTCAGAAAGGTTAAAACTATTTTAGATTAACATAAAAAAAGAAAAAGAGTTAAGTGCAAAATTTACATTTTGGTCTTAATTAGTAGTTATAGTACTAGTTCTTTTGTAAAATGAGGCCCTGGTTCACCTAATTTCATACTTCAGACAACTGATAAATTAATATAACAAAAATTCACAATTCTGCTTTTATTCAACAGTATTGATTAACAAGCCATAACAATAAAATCAAAAGCACCAATGATGCAAAAATAAGTGATTAGATAATTATTTTCACACAGTAACTCCTATCATCCAATGCACTCCCTCCCTGGGGCCCACACTACAAAAAGAGAGGTACAGTTAGTGCTAATGAACCATCTTAACAAACTCCTGGGGCTACATCACTCAGTATCAAAGTCTTTGTATGTTTGGCGAGAAAATTTTCCACTCTTCATGGGACTCTAAACAACTTTCTCAGAGGGCATTCATAAAAGAGGAAGTTATTGGAGTTAATTAACACATTTTCTTTGACTGTACTTCACACTTGGGTGATGGGTAACTGAAGATCAAACACTCATGGCTGGTCAGTATTTTACACCCCTCATGTGGCCAGACTTCAATCAAACAAAAACCCAAACACCAGCTCTCTTCATCAGCCACATAAAAAAGCAGAATAACTGTTGATGAGGTTACGTCATTTACTATTGCTATAGCCCAATTTATGGTGGGGAGATGATCTAAGACCCCCCAATCATAGCACCTGACTCCTCTCCCCATTATCTGGTTAATCTGTACTTAACCTATTTTTGTCAACACACTTGTTTAAAGTAAATGAAATTATGTCAACATAGAAAGATGGCAAAAATCCAAGGACCTCATCACAGTATTATATACAGCTCTTACAAAATCTGAACATGCGATAACCTTGATAAACAAATCTGAATTGTTATTCAGTGGATATCTGTGTGGCAATACTTGACCCGTGGTGACTTGACATAGAAAACTGAGGTCAAGTTTGTTTTTGTACCCTTATCATCAACAAACCTGAGGAGCTCCATTTTATATGTAAATGAACAGTAAAGTACACAATCATTCAAATCAAAATTAAAATAAAAAAAGTATTTTACACACATTAATAAAACATGCTGAGTTCAATAAAAATATTGAATTAAAGTTAAAGAATAATTGTAACACATAAATTATGGCTTTTTAGGGTTTTGTTTAACATATAAACAAAGCTAGATAAAGATTTTAAAAATGCACTAATAAATATACAAAAATATGCATGTATTATGCAAAATGATTACAGTATGTGTTCATCAAAGTATTACAAGCCTTATTTTAGAATAAAGTAAAGCTAATTTAAAATGTCGTTTAATTAAGACTTGTGTGTTGAACACGTCTACGTGATGACTGTGGGTGCATCTCTCCCTGTCAACTGGGGAAGCTGGGATACATCTAGTGCAATTTCAATCAGTGGACGCAATACAACCTGCAAAAAGAAAGCAATAATTAAATCAAGTGAATATTGTGTCGTAATACATGAATCTGCAAGAATAACTCAATAATTAAATCAAGTGAATACTGCATCGCAAATTCACAATGCAACCTGCAAGAACTTAATAATTAAATCAAGAAAATACTGCATCGCAATGTAACCTGCAAGAAAAACGCAATAATCAAGTGAATTTTGCATCGCAATACATTAATCTGCAAGAATAACTCAATATTAATCAAGTGAATATTGCATCGCAATACATTAATCAGCAAGAATAACTCAATACAGTAATAAAATCAAGTGAATATTGCATCGCAATTAAATGCAATCCGCAAGAAATCTATACATGTACATGTGTAATTAACTCAAGCAAATATTGCTATCTGATAAATTTACATCATTTCTCAGACTTTTAAGTCAACAAAGTCATAAGAGTTTTAAGATTATATGCATATAAACTGAAGAACTTTTAAAATCCAAATAGAATTGAGGTATGTTTTCTAAGTATTGATATAAACAGGACATGTACTCCTTTGTATACATATGTATTTACAATCTTTAAGATCTTATGGACAACTTATGAGAAGCAATATAATTGTTAATAGCACTACCTTAAGTGAGTGGAATGATATAAAACCTTGGCAATTTTTCAGTATCTATATTTACCAGCACTTTTATAAAAGAAATAAAAACTTTGAATGCAAATATAATTGATGTTTCTCATTACACAGTTCTTAAATAAATGGAAGAAAAGTGTATATCCAGTTAAAGACAATTTATCTTTGTTTGAAAATTATACTTAATGAATTGAGGATGCCTTTTAGGTTATACATATAGGATTTCAGCTAAAAATGTTTTATTAAAAGGGAAAGACAAATACAAATATTTAATGGTCACCTTATAATTTCACTCAAATACCTTTGCCAGAAAGATGACAGTTTGATAAACAGACTGATTCAAGTGATCTCATTTTTCCGATTGTAAATCTTAATTATAGGTTTTTTACTGCACAGGTATAAAGGCTAGGAATAATTAATAAGGATAATTTAAAACCTTTAGCATTCTGGAATATGGAACCCAGAATTTATTGTATTCATAAATTATGCTTATAGCATGGAGGAGGCAGAAATAAATGATAAACAATATAATAAAATGGCTATAAATTTACACCCCCTTATCTCATTAGTATCTAATTAAATCAAAATGAAAAACAATGCATTATGTTTAACCCAACAGTAATAGCCTTGGCAAAAGTACAATACTTCAATAGATGCTTTATATGTTGTTGTGCTTTATTAATTTGGACACTTGACATATTTCCAAGTATCTCCAGGTTGATCAAGTGTTTAAATTTGTAGATATAAATTTTGTCCGAGATGTAAAGCATCTAGATTAAATGGGCTACTGTATTTATATTTTGAAGTAAACATTCATGTACATCTCACATTTATTTATAATAATAAATGATAGATATATAACTAAACAACTATGTTTGTATTTAAAAAAATACATTTATTAAAATATATATATATTGAAGGTATAATTTATGGTAAAATTACCATTCATTAATCTTTTTACGTACTTTTAACTTAACAATTAAATTACTGTTGATCACTAAAATACCTGAGTTTTACATAACCCAAGTGCAACCTATTTTAAATAGTTCATGATAAAGAAATTAATGTATTTATATAATTTGGTTATTCAGGTTATTAGAAAGGCATGTGCACTTCAATCTTCAATGTTTCAAAAGAGGATTATGAAATTTATGTCAGAACATATGAAATTCTTCCAATATTAAACTTGGCTAACACTGGATATCTGAAGTAGGGAGGATTAAAATAGCTCAATATTTCTAATTTCTTATTTGAAACCATTACACAACCAGCTGCCACCATGATTATTAATTACATCATACATCTGTTCTTGAAGTTAAAAAGACAAGCAAAAGTTCAAAAGAAATGAAATTGTTTTAGATCTCTTAATTTTGTGTAAGACTGTCCAAAGTTGTTTCTACGTTTATCGTCACCCCCCATGCGTAGGTTTCAGAGAAATTGGCACTTTGAAAGAACAAACATTTTTTCAAGTTTCTGTCTCAGTTTGCTTTTACTTTTAGCACCAAAAATATACATCCCATAGAAAGAGACAATATTTGAACCCTCTGAGAGTCTAATTTATCATTTAAAAACAGGTTTGCTGAAAATGATTATTAAACAATAATTTAAGCCTACATAATTACAAGTATTGACAGAATTTTAATTCATCTTGATGAATAAATAATCATTTGTTTGAAGATTTTGTTTGTTTTATTTTTTCCTTCCTCCCTCAGAGGATTTCAAGTTTATAGGTGATGTTAAATGTATAGAATTAATTTTAGCCAGCCTAAGCTTTTGAAATAACTTTATATTCGCAACACTACTACCGATACTAATCTCAGAATATGCCAATTAAGACTTAATTATTTTTTGAAAATTGTCGTATACCTGTGGATCCATTTCGTATTTAGCTGCATCACTCTCGTACCCCTCCAGATACAGCCGAATGGTGGCTCCACTGCTTCCTGTCCCACTGAGGCGGAAAATGATGCGGGAGTCATCGGAAAAGATCAAACGAATACCCTACAGCGAAATCAGGAAGTACAATTACAACACAATTGTCTTCAAATCCAATATAACTGCTGCAAAATTATTGATTGCATTTTGATATTTTGATAAACTGAGTTGCTGGTTTTACAGTACATGTAACTTAATTTAGATTAATCTGAAAAGATAAACTTTCTCCATAATTACGGCACTATAAATTGCATGCAAATCTTTCATAGCCTAGCTATACCCTTATACCATACTGGTATGGCTTAGTTTATTAAACTTACATTTCATTGCCATTAAATTTAATTAACTTTTGATTGTGAAATTTATAAAGATGTTTGGTAATATATGAAAATACTTAAACCTTTGAAAAGGATTTCAGGCTTAGATTTGTTAAAAGTTGTCACATTTGGTCTTTTAATGGTTGTAAAAGTATTCAAAGAAGCTTAAAAAAATCTAAACCTCTAACACTATATTGGCATTTTTCATCTGTATAAAATAAAAATTTCTACAGTTATCTGGGACTTTCACATGAACTTGAAACTTAAAGTGTGACACATGACAAAACAAGAATATCTAAGGATTATTACATGAACTTGAAACTTAAAGTGTGACATGGACGCTTACTAAACTCTGAGGAGACAATATATGAAAAGGTGTGAGTCTATATAGACAAATAATTTCTTTTGCACGCAAGAGATCAAGATTTGACAACACCTAAGGATGTTTTCTTCCTAATATCTCTTGATGCTAATGAAAACTGAGGAAAGTGGGTGGTGAAAGGTGTCACAAACTGGGGAAAGTGGCAGACAATGCCTGATATTACAATCCCATTTATCAGATATCTGAATTATTTATATAATTTTTCCGTAATGAGTATAAGGTTTCTGATGATTTTTACCCCCACTTGCAACCTGATGAATGAATTAATATATATATTATATTAATTGCTTTCCCCCAAATTGGAAAAAAAAATTCAGAGAAGTTTGCATTATAAATAGCTTTAATATTTTAAGTAAATACATGTAAACATCTAGTTCTTAAGGTGTGCGGAAAATACTTATGTACTGCATGTACCAATAAGCAACAGGATATTGTCGTAAGTGGGAGTATGTAAACTCGGTGTACGTGTTCCACATCTCGTGATGCTACGATCTGACCGCAATGAATGATGCAACCTGATTTTCACCGAGTCGTACCACACAATTTCTGATGAAATATCTCAGGAAATGGTGAGAGTGGGTGAAGAAAGAAGTCAAGACGTAAATTGGGACAGTCGCAGGAAACTAAGGTCCTGTTTATACTTGCTTCCAAATAAAGTAAAAATAACGGTGGTCAATTTATAGTAAGAACGAGGGTTATTTTTAGCTCACCTGATTCTTACTGACAGAGTTGTCTACAGGGTCGGTGTAGGAGAAGTTGTCTGCCTTGGCTAGCGTGTAGGATTTGTCCCCGGAACTGAATACCTTTCCGATATTTGATTGATCAGCAACGTACAAATTTAAATTTGCCATCATTTTATTGGCTGGATCAGATTCACAGTTCTCATAGTCATATCTGTGTAATTAAAAGAAAAATTTGTAATGAATTATTCTATCTATTATGATATTCATTTTCAAGTCTTTTAGCAACCAAATCAAATTTCCATAAATGATTTATAATTAATCAGTTTAATATTTTCAGACTTTCAGAATATTCTCATATTTTCAAAAATTCCAAATATCATTAATTGTTTTAAAACAGTATATGAATTTTTACTTAATTTTTTTTTTAACAAGACCAAACTGGTAAAAAAAAACAAAGTTCTTAAAAAGTAATGTACCAGTAATTCAAGATTAATAATTTAACAAGGAAACAGAAATAGTCAAGTTGCATCTGTAAATAGTACAATGTTTGTCAACACTGTAATTTGCTACTTGGCAAACAATGGGTGTCAGGATATAAATTTTACAGAAGTACTTTAGCCTGTGAAGTGGGTCACAGATAAGAAATAGCTCTGGATATGGATGGCATTTGCTATTACCAATTTGACAGTAATGTAACTGTGCATCTCTGACAGTTCCATTATCATAGCATTCCCAGCATGAGGTCACTTCAGAGCACAGCATTCACAGTGTGCAATTACCATAACCTGCTAGTCTCATTATTAAAGGGGGCAGGGGGGAATTAGCTCATTTATTTTGGCAGAGTTGGGTAATTATGAACTTCATTTAAAGTATTCATTTTTCTCTTTCAGTAGAAATATGCTTTATAATTTTTGTTTCTTATGCCTGTATAAAAAAATGCATGTACATGTAATAATCAAATTCTACCTGTGTTGTTCTGAAAACCCTGGAGGCAAACATATATCTGGGTTAATAATTAAAATTCTTCATCATGATAAATGATAATTTTACAACAGAAAAGTTGTACATCAATTATGAAGCTATCTAATGTACTTATAATGGAATGTGAATGGTTGCAGGGTATTTTATACAACTTATCAGATAAATAATAAACATTAACCGTATAATCCCTATTAACCACCCTGGGCACTTAGGAAATTGCGAAAAGGGGGCGGTTATTTTCGTATTGTCTTTATAATATTTAATGTCATACTTAAACTTCAAAAAATCTTTTGAAAAAAAATATAAATACAAGGAACCACTTAAATAATGTCTAACTGTACTTTACGTGAAATAATCCACCCAAATTAGGCTAAATTATTCATTTTCCACTGAGAAATGGATTATAAACAAGTTTCATTTTCACTTTCTTCAAATTTTTGAAACGATTCTATATGATTTTAATTGCTGTAGAGGGGGCCCTTATTTCCTGACAATTGAAAAAGTCCTAAGGGGGCGCTTGTAGGGGCAGGGGCGGTTAATATGGATTATACGGTATACAATCGAGTTTGATTCTTTTCACTGGGATGTCCAAATTTTATTTTCTTGATTTAGATACAAGGTAACATAATGTACTGAGTACAAGAAAATTAAAAGAATTTTAATTCAAAAATCATTGGAATAATTTTGACCATTTAATGATGAATTTACACAGCAGAACACTGTACAAAGTTGCTAAAATGTAGTTGAGGTCCTTCCGACAAATAAGACTTTGTTTGAATAAGAATCGAGATCACGAATTTAAAACTTCCGTAAATTTCCACCTGAATTCCCTGTTTTTCATTAACCTTTATCTTCACCCACATTCTTTGACAAGGAAGTCATTTCAGCACCATCTATTAGATAAGAGCTCTTGCTGTCCCTGAACAAACAATTCTCCCTCAGATATTGACATATGTCATACCAGTTTCTCACAATTACCCTATTTTTTTCTCAATATTATAATAAACATCAGAGAACATTCAATAATGTTTGCTGTTGTATATTGCTTGAATTCAATATTTTTGTTCAAAGAAATCCCATCACAAAACTGTGCCTATGTAAATCTATTCTCTTTAGAGAAGTGGACAGGCTTTCACCTACATTGATGCCTGTTCACTTCTCTAAAGAGAATAATGTAAATGTATTACGTTTTGTGAAACTACTGATCATGGTAGGCTAGTGGTTGGGGCACTCTTTTTTTGATTAGTTCTAGTTTGATTTTCTTCCCTGCTGCTACGAAATATAGGTAGTGATTGTCCATTCAACAAGCACCTGGTATATTAGATGTGAAAGTCATACCTGGGGCAATTCTTTCAAAGGAGACATTAAAAACTAAAATCTTGTGTCACATGGGGCTATGTACAATAAAGAACCCTCACTGCTACAGAAAGAACTTAGAAGTGCCCTGCAATTCAATAGGTAAAAATTTCTGGCATATTACCTAAAACAGATGACATCTCTGCATGAGTGATAAATTCTCAAATGGGGCATTGAGAAATAAAACAACCCCCCACCCCCCCACCCCCAAAAAAATCCTGTCCTGTGATTTAATTTCCATTCTTTTTTTCTATATGTTACACATGATTTTATCTACTAAGTGTATGCTTATTTTGAATATATTTTGGTGAATATTATATAAAAAGCAAGACTTTAAAGTTACCAGACCTTTTTTATTCTCTTCATGAGGAGAAAAAATATTCAAACAACTGAATCATGATTTTTAAACAAGTCTGGCTTGGTTTCTTGTCAACTTTTTTGACTCTTTGACCATTAGAGACACAAATATACATGTCATTTTAAACAGGAACACATAAAAAGAAACAATTTTTAAAAATTTAAATTGCCAAAGTAATTGTTGTTTGATAATTTTCTGCAATTTTTTTTCAAGGACTCTTTTGGAATTTACAGTGGTTAATTTTTCAATTAATGCAGTCGCTATTTTTTTTTTTATTTTTTATTTTTTTTTAATCATACCTGCATGAATTTGGCTCGTATTGACATTCATTTCATAATCTTTTTTGTAAGCGCATGAACACTGATACAAGGCCCTTTTATTCCATTATCACCTCTTAGACTATTACATAGGGATCGTATCACTTTTCATATTGACTCTTGACAATCAAAACATCAAGTTTAAATGTTTATGATTGAAAATTGCATAATTTATCTCCCCTGCTGTGCAGAATATAATGATCTTTAAACAATATACATCAACATACAATTCTGAGGCACCAAGAGCACCAACTAGAACAGCTATGGTATTTACCCTAACTTCAGTAAGAAATGTACAGACTGAGTTATACCAGTACTTGCCTTGTATAAAAATTCCTCCCATAAGTCTGCCAGTGATTCTTTATACACTGTTCCACACTGCAGTTCTGATTGGCTAGGACAGATAACCAGGCCAGAACTGCCCAGAGTCCATCTTTCTCTCGAATGTGGTCTGACCCCGTACCAAAGCTTTCCTCCCCACAAAGGGACAAGCGTCCAGCATCCATCAAATTGCCGAAAAATTTCCATCCAGTAGGGACCTCAAAACAGGTCTGCTTTTTGGCTTTAGCAACTCTGGAAAACGAATTTAGTTATTTATATTTGATTGCATAAACTGGTTAATTATTAGTAAAATTTAATTATCATTAAAAAGTTTTATGTGATAAAATTAATTTCAAAGCTATTAACCTTGGATCTTATATAAATTACATGTACCCAGTTTTTCACACTAGAATTTAAACAACTTCATTGTCACTTTCTGTATCTAGTATTATGTAGTATCATTTCCTGCTCATCCTTTGTATTATGTGTTTATTGTCTTTTCATAAAATAAAGTTAATATGTATTTTTGTTAACAGTTATTTAATTAGAGTTTTTGTTTTGTTGAAAATTTGAGTTTTCACTTTTCTCTTCTTCTCTTTGATCACTCTGAGTGGAAAATTGTTTTGTTGAAAGGAAATTAAACTGGATTAAAGAACAAGTATTTTTGACAGTAATTCAGTTCTAATGAAGCTTCATTACATCTGCACTCATTCAACACTACAGGATCAAAGCTTCCAATGTTAAAAATACTTCAACCACAAAAAAAAGAACAAATTTTCCCAGCAAAACATGGAATGCATAATTTTCTTGCCATAGTTCAGCAGACAAAAAAAAAATTGTCCAAAGTCTTTGCATTATGAATTATATGATATTTCACCATAATGTCCAAATTCTTCTATTAATTTGTTACACTTTTTCTCTATTAATTGTGTCTGCCTTATCGCCAACCTGTCGACTGCTCCACTTGTTGGCATACTTCGGGCGTAACCTTTGACCCCTGTCTTTTTGAAATATGGGATGCATTCCAGATAGTGGGCCAAAACAGCCAAGGAATCTGACGGGGTCACAAAGAAGGCATTCTTTCCCAAAATCATGTTTCTGTCCTGTTAATTTAAATAATTAATTTAAAATAAAAAATCTCTGTTTTGCAAAAAATTGGACAACATATTCAAACCTGTCTGCCGCCAGCATATAAATGAATCTGCACTTTTCAAATTTCAAAATGATTTTTTTTTTAACCTTGCGAGATTATAATTTAATTGTCTTGTACAAGAAAATGATAATAACTTCACTGTAGGCTTCAATTCATTATAAGTGCATTCATAATAATTGGGTTTTACTATGTACTTTGTTTTTAAGATGTAATTTAATAATGATCAGAAGACAACAGGCTGAACAGCTAAACATTTATTTTTACATGGTTTCACATACAACATTTTATTCTTTATAGGCTAAAGTAGAGACAAAATTTCCTAAAATAATTGCATTAGACAAAACACACTTACCCCATCTCCATCAAATGCAGCACCAAAGTCATGTTTCCCTTTGGCCATTTCTGCCACTAAATCTGCAGCATAGGTCAGGTTAGGGTCGGGGTGTTTTCCCCCAAAGTCTTCTAGGGGTACACAGTTGACAACACTTGATTCTGGGGCTCCAAGCTCTTCACAAAATACTTTCTTAGCATATGGACCCATAACTATAATAGAGAGAATGGTACAAATTATGAAGTTGAATTTTTTGTTTTAAAAAAATAAAATAAGTCTAATTCGAATTTGAAGAACTAATTTTTGTGTCTTAGTTACTTATATCAACAAAACTGTGAAATGACCAAACCTTAATAATCAATCTTCTTCTTAGCCAGAGAAATCTTTTGTATTTTGCAAGTGGAATTTTTAACAAGTCACAACTTTAGCAATTAACACCCTTAAAAATTGGATAGGTTTTTAGTGAAAAGTAATGTTTTAAAACAATTCATTAACTTTAAGAAAGATGGCTATAACCATTGATATTGAATGAATTAATTGTTCAATTGTAAATTGTTAGTGATATTCAATTTTAGTGATCTACCCCTTGCTAATGATGCACAGATTGATTCTACCTTTTCAGTATGTCTTATCAGTCTTAACCTAACTATAAATATGACTTTTTAATTTTATTCTTGAAAAATGTGTACTTGAATTTGTTATTCTTAATTGCATACATATTTCTAAATTTCATAGATTAAAAAGCATTCTGTTTAGTTTTAGATAAATCACATCCGAGTTACTGACACGATGTGTTCAAGAATCATTTAACAATATGAGAAAACAGAAGCCCGATCGCAAGGAAACATTCTGATATTTGCATTAATCTTCTTTGGAGATCAATTAAGAAAGAAAAAATGTATGGCTACTTTTAAATTAATGCATTAAATTAATATAAAGATATATGTACTTGTAAAAATGACATTTTTTGTAGAACATTATCATATCAACAGGTCCACAATAATTTATAGAAATTATAAAAAAAGACCAAGACTTGCCTTTTTTTTTGCAACTCTCATTTACAGTGACTTATATGTTGTCCTTATTTGAAGTTTGAAATTTTTTATATATTTCAATGTTAAATAATTAATTCACACATAATAATTATTTTAAATATCAAGAACATTTTAAATGTCTTGAAAATAAATTAAACGTATAACATTGGTTTGTGAAATGTGTCATATTTATGTGGATAATTAAAAAAAAAACCCTTCATGATAGAGATGTTTTTAGCAATCTCATGTACAAATGTACAAGTTAATTGCTGTAATTCCAAAATCTTAATTATCCTTTGTCCTACTCCTGCATGCTAGAGTTAATAGTGAGATACATTTGATTTTGGTACATAAGGAGCCTATATAGATGCATAAACTAAGTCTCTGACTTGTACGAGCTGTTCCTTCCTCCTAATTAAAAAGACATTATATTAAGAGGGCTCCACTGTATAAAAGTTATGCTGATGATTTGTTCAGGCAGGGGTGGGGTAAACTATGGTAGAGAACGATTAACACTGGCAGCATGAGTCTGAAGATAAATATGTTCGTAGGTATGATGACAGTTTCTGGGTTTGTACCCATACTACGCTGTAGTAAAGCATTACGCAACTGACGTGTGTAATTTTCTGTAACCGCCTTGTACCCGTCATCAGATTAATATTATGTGGTTTTTATCAACAGCCAATCAAAAATAAGCAAGATTTCCCTATGGCAATTAGGAAGATATGATAGTCCAATCACTTGGGTGAAAATAAATAAATCAATACACAACTTGATTGACAGCTCAAGGCAATGATTAATTAATGTGATTTTGTAAGGAGATGATCTCTACATTATACATGCTGTTTACTTCTTGGTTTAGCTAATGAACCCAAAGAGTAAAATAAATATCATTCTTTAAAATAATCCAATGTTTTTTTAATCAAATTAAAAAAAAATTAAAACATATACACTGCATTAACAAATTAAGTGGATTTTTTAAAATTTAATTAATTAACACCTATAATTAAGATTTATGCAAGTCAGCTAGTATTACTTCCAGTGTCATAAGATTATGACATCATGATCAAACTAGAAATAATGATGACATCATAATTACATACCAGAGTTTTGAGTAATCTTGACAAAGTAGTAAATAAGATAAAAGTGCAATAATTTTGTATTTTTAGGTAGGGATTTTAGTCTGCTATAGTGTGAGAATCATGAATAATTAAATGCAATCCTTTGGATTTTACTTATCTAGGAAAAACCAATACAATCATGCAGAAAAATTGTATTTTACAGGTGCCGATAAATTAGGTATGACCATTGACCATGCAAGCATTAATATTTTTCTCAAATTATATTACTATGGGAGAGATGTATATGTAGGGAATAGTAACATTTTTCTATAATTTTACTGTCGTAAATAAAATATATTGCAGAGAAAACTACAAGAAAGACTGGATTACAGTAGCCTAATTATTCTGTTTTCACAAAACAATGTGGTATTTGGAATATCAGGCAAAGTCATTTCTTAAAATGAGCAAAGAGAGATAACTCTTTTTACCAACCAGACTGCATTCAGGGAAAATTTTGAAGAAAAAAAAATTAATTAATGTAATGTGTTCCAGTTAAACTGACCTCCATTCATGGAATCAATAAGAACTTGTTTTCCTGAGGAAAGATAACTTTTCAATAATGGAAAGTCAAATATCTCCTTCATGTATTCCACATAATCGCACACTGAGTCTATTATCTGAACTGTGAATTCTCTTCCATCAACTGTGTATGTTGATTGGCCAGTTTTGGATAGGTCAACATTTAGATCAGGGCAGATTTTGTATTGACTTATGCTCTTTGTTCTTTCAAATATTTTATTGGTGACATTTTCTGGAGCAGGACCTGAAAAAAAATACAGAAAATATAGACATGTACTATAGAGTATAGACTATATCATATCTGGAAAAACTTTTAAGTCTTTAGAGTAGATCAATTTAAATGCATTTTTTGTAAATTATTGCAAATTTCATTTATCATCATATTAATTTCAAATCATTTTTACTCTCATATTAAAGTATAATCATAAATAGGATCACTCAAGATTATCTTGAATCACAAAGTTTCATGATCAGCCTGAGTTATTCCCCTTCTCACAGTGCAGGCTTTATATGTGGCACTGCACCCCTTTTTAGCTTGTTTTTCTTTTAAATAAACATTGCCTATGAAAAATTGAATCTGACAATTTAAAGAGATGTCTTTCCATATAGTATTTTACCTCCATTTTCTGTGTTATATTTAATACCAAAATCGGCATCAGGGCCGCCTGGGTTGTGACTGGCCGTCAGTATAATTCCTCCATTAGTTTTATATTTACGAATCACGCAGGACACAGATGGAGTTGACATCAAGGCATTCTGAGCCACTATTACTTTGGATACCTAAAATAAGAAAGAGAATATCATGGGTTTTTTGGTGCATTTAATTTCAAGACAAGAATGATCAAAGACTTAGACTACTGCTTCAGATTTGACAATGATATTTTAAGTCTGGCAGTCAGATGGTTTGACATCCAATTGCCAGAAAGCTCAGTTGGTAAAGCATGTGACTGGAGATTCAAGGGGCCTGGTCTGGTGCGCTGCAATTTTCCCCTCCCTGATAATATTTGGTGTCACCGGTGATGAAAAATCAAGTCTCAACCAGGACTCAAACCCAGTTCCTCTGGCATACCTTGCAAGCACTCTAACCAATGAGCTATTGAGACCTGATATATTGGCTGATTTTCATGCAACTGTGAAACCGGTAACGTATTCCCCCTCTTTGTAGAAATTCGTCCCCATAGGGCCAAATTCTATCAGGTCAGGAAATGCTGTATATCATATTCCAAAGGAATAGTGGGCTAAATGTATCCAACTTTGCTGGTTGCCAAGTGTCACTTGTAGTGAAAAAATCAAAAGTCTCAACTGGGACTCAACCCATGAAGGGCCTCTGGGCTGATGTGCGAGGGCTCTAACCACTGTTGATATCTAGCTGATATATTGACTGACTTTCTTTGGTCATCTTTCAGTACAAATTTTTATCCCCACGAACAATTATTTTATCATTTAATTATTCACTGAGTCTCATATATCTACAACTTAATACAAATTACCCATGAAATATCCATGAGCCAACAAAATTCTGCTTGCCCATGAACATTGACATCAACAAATTAATTTAAAAATGATTCTGAGCGAATCCACAATATTTACCTACTCTGCTAACAATAATGCAGTATTGGGATTATTGCTATTGCTTGCAATATCATTAAATCAAGGTGAGTTTATTCTTTGTGACTCTTTAAAAGCAATTATTGTGAGAATGAAGTTAGTGTTAAGTTGCAGTCTTGCTGCATTTTGAGTCCTGAGGTAACTTCTGAAAAAAAAGATCATTTTGGCCAATGTGTAAAGTCCAAATTTTCTCTTTGCCCAGACATTGTCAATAATTTTCACAGAGTGAGGGGCGAAAATAGAGCAACCTACACAATAAGACCGAAGCTAGGATATGCCTGTTAAAAACATCCAAACCATGCAAACGGATCCTCTGCTAGCTAGCTACATACCCCATTAGCTGCACACATTTTGATAATGAGTGATGCTGCCTCTTTTTCAAAGTAACGACCATCTCCTCCCACTACTAATGTAGATCCTTCTATTTTTCCAAGACCTCCCTCCAAAGTACTTTGCACAAAATTTTCAGTGTAGTTTTTCTGCAAGTACACTTTCACAGCCTTCCTCAGTCCACTTGTCCCTGGCTTCTGACCCTCAAACGGGGAGGTGGACACTGTAGTTGATGAGTATGACATTGCTCCAAGGTATAACGTGCAAAAGCAGAGAAACTGGCCTTGACAGTCACCTCTGCCGCATGTAGGAAATGAGTCATGCAGTGTAAAATTAAAACCTCTCAAATCCAAACATTTTTTCCCGAAAAACCCCATCAATGTTTTCTACAGGCGCGGATCCAGGATTTGGAGTTAGGGGGGGCGCCAAAATTAGGCAAGGGGTCTGGGGGCCGCCTTGAGGCCCCCAGTGGGTCCAGGGCAAAGCTCCTGGATTCTAGAGATTTTGTATGGTTAAAATGAGGTCTACCAAAGCCCTGGTGGGGGCCCAGGGGGCGAAGCCCCCGGAAGCTCCTGGATTCTAGAGATTTTGAAGGGTTAAAATGAGGTCTACCAAGTAGACATATTTGATTTACGCTAACTTTGACAATTTTAGGGGGGGCGCGCGCCGGGTGCGCCCCCCCTTAAATCCGCCACTGTTCTACCTGTGTTAGGTAGGCCTAAAACAAAATATAGTCTGTCATCGTCTTTCTTGTCAACATAAAAAAAATAAATAAATAGGGAAGGGAGGGGGAGCTACGTCATAATCAAAAGTTCAGATGTGACGTCATAGTTAAGTATCATTGTCGTCACAATACATCGCATTAGTTCCAGCGGAAAATGGCTTTATCATGCGACTGTGTACGCGGCGAGATCCGTGTACGCGGCTTGATAAAAATTGAAATGGAATGTGAGTTAAATAATATACCAACGGAAAAATTGGCCCTAGTTGTTACTGGCTCAATCTCCCAGTTAGGGAATTGGAATTCAAATAAGGGCTTAATAGCAGGTATGTGTAGAACGAGGACCTAAATTTGAGGGTGATTTTTTTAAAATTATTATTATTAAAATTATATTGCATATCAATGCATTGGTATTATTCAGTGAATTTATATTACATGTATTTATGTCTACGAAAAAGTATAACATTTTTTTTATTAATGTTTGGTTATGTGTACGCCTGTACGGTAGCATTTTGAATGCCGGCACATTAATGATTCCTTCTTGCAGAATTTCATCGGGGAAAATCGGAAGAAATGCTATACTAGTATGGAATATTCTCCAAGGAATGTTTGCTACATAGTAAAACTTCCCCTCCTGTTTTTATTCTCCAGTATAATGTTTGCAATATTGTATAGATTTGCAATATTGTATAGATCGGCCACGAGTTAAATATTACTAGACATGCTTATTGTGTACATGAAATGTGAAGGAACGAACAACTAGTGACCATTTCAAGAGCCCGCTTAATCTATAAAAATTACGATCGAGCTTCTGAAAACAGAGATTGGATCAGGTGCCATCGAGGTGTAAGCATCCCCTGCCAACGGGTCACAGCCGAATTCTCTATTCGGTTAAGCGGATAATCCGCAAACAATTCAGTGTGAAAATAATGGCCTATTACAATTCGTATTCAAAAAATTTAAGTTAATTTTGAGGAAAATAATCAAAATTATGGGGTTTTTTTTTAACTCTGATTAATTAAATCTCCTCAACGCTTTTCCTGTTTGATTTGGTAAATACTTCGTGTTTCTTATCGGTCGATCAATTTGTTAAAGTGCGATACGTGTATGTGGATTTGTTAAGCAAAAAGCCATGTTTTTCCAAACCGGAACATTACCATTTATAGTTAGGTGGGAATTTTTGCAATCTGGAATTTTTCATACGTTATAAAACTTCAGTATTGCAAGAGGGATTACTACAAAACACTTGGTATCTGGAGGATTGTTATAATAATAGAGTTTCTCCTAGAAGTTTAATCGATATAGCTGCAAATCTGGTTTGTCTATCCAATTTTTTTCAACCAGAGATCTACAGATCTGAAGCTATAATCGATAATAATATACGATCGTTTGGTCAAGTCAAGTTTGTCCTTTTCTAAATTATAACGTCCTTGAAATTCTGTTCCTTTTCTCCAATCTCTCCTTGATACTGTATCCCGTCCCTCTTCTCTGCTCTTCTTAAGGGATTTTTTTTCTTCGTCTTCTTTATTCTCTTCCTCTTCCTTGCCTCTTCATTTCTCCGTCTTCCATCTTCTGCACTCGCTGCTCTTCTATCCTTTCCCCAAACCCACGGACATGTAGATTAATCTACCAGTCAAACTAAACCAAAATCACTCTAACCTTCTTAGTTTTTAGAATTATTTCACATCTGAACGACAAGGTTTTGGGAGAGATAAAAAAAGTTAAAATCACCTCCTGTTAGGGAAATGTCCCCGTGTTTTCATTGGAACCATTTCTGCTTCCCCTGGTCGATCATATGGGGGGGGGGTATGTTTTCTTTTTGAAGTTAATTCTTAAAAAGTCCACGACATTTACGAACCCTCCTCCTCTGTTTTAAATAAATATATCCGATTTATTACAATTATATTAACATGGTAAAAAAAATCACAATCATAAAGCTCTACTTTACGGAAACTGCATTCAAGATCGTGGTGCTCAACAAGCCTAGCTCCTAGCATCCTTTCAACGTCTACACGTTAATTTCCGTTGCACACCTGACAAATTTCATTCGATATCATACGGGCTGGAGAAAGTGCATACTAGTATCTTGATTGTATTTCTCGTCTATCGACCAATGACAGTACACTTACCCTCTTGGTTACAAACAAAAATTTGCGACGAGCATTGAGGTGTCAACTGTCCACTTTCTGTTTATGAAAGCCCCGATCTGCTTGGTGCTTCCTGTGCGAGAAGCAAGCCCGTAGAATATCAATGATATTGTAAGAGGTCCTATGGCAACATGTAGACCCTGGACCGCAGGCGTTGTAAGAATGCTCGCAGCGGCGGATACAGGAAGATCAAAAGGGGGAGGATTGAAGGTATAGGGTCTGAGGCTGCATGATTGAAACCCCCCCAGTGCGTCCAGGGCAAAGTCCTGGTTGGTTTTGGGGGTAAAGCTCCCGGAAAACTGAGGAAATTTGAACAAATAATGTTTTTCCCTTTATATTAGGATACTAGTAGTGCAAACTAAATTTCAAAAAAAAAAAAAAATCAAAGGGAAGTTGGACACACCTGGCGAACTGGACCTATAGCTTGATTCACGGCTATTTCAAGTTTGTAGTGGATACATATTATAGACTAAGAGCTGTGTAACATTTCGATATGAAGTTTCTTACATTTTCGCTCGAACTTTTTAAACCATATTTCAAAGATTCAGATACCCGTGTAATCATGAATTATTTCTGGTCTCGCTGGAAATGTTGCAATGCAACACGTGTTTCTGTTGAATGTTGCGTTTGGTGAAAATGGCATAGTCATGATTACCATTGTCATTTTTTTCAACAATCATTAAATGCTAATTAGAACAATAAAACCCCATTTTTTTGTAGTGATGTTTTAAAAACCATTTTTTATTAATCAGAAGTCCAGAAGTGCACCATTATTCTGCTACTTTATCATATTACCTATTGCAATGTTGTAGAGGAAGTGCCAAAGAATTCTGGGAAATGGGTCGTTGGATTAACTGTTCCATTTGGTATAGAGTTTGAGTGGAAATGTGTTCTGGTTTGGCATGAGACACTCTTTCCCTTTGTATGGGAAGACGGTCCAAACAGAAAAGCACGCATTAAACAAAATGGAAGATTTATTTGTTACTGGAATCATGTTGGAGATTGGTTTCAGCCTATTACTAGAAATTCAGGTATGTTATATGAAATACATTATAAAGTGTGTATGGATTAGTTGCCAATATTGTCCAATATATTTTTCAAGAGTTGATTTCAAAATGAGATAATTTAGTTTGCTTGTTTTCTTTTTTTAGTATATTACTGTATGCCTAAGTCACCCACATGTTGAAGTTTTTTTTTAAAATTGATTCATGTATCATATATACACTAACTAGAATGAGTTGTTTTTTTTGTTTTTTTTTGACTAACTGACTTTTTACCTTTGAGTTTGAACTTTCATATTCTCTGAATAATTCAAATTCTTCTAAACTTTTAAAAATTCTTCATTTTTTTAACCTTTTGTACATGTATTTGTTTAAGGTTTTGTTCTGCCGAAACATCGTACTCAAACACTGGTAAATTTCCTGGAAGAAATTGTTGAACGCTTTAACTGGAGCCATACAGAAAGGCCGCCACAATTCGGCGGCATCCTATACGGAGTATTCCATTTTCTGGCATCCGCCATCACCGCCGCCTCAAGAAGATATGGGAACCTGAGTTTAATTTCTACATTATATGTTATCTACGTAACTTTTTTGCAAGAAAGTTTCTAAGCATATTTGTTGACATGAATCCTATTTTTTATCAATGCAGTTGTACTCGAAATTATTTATTCAAAGTTAGTTATAATTACAGAATTTTTTTTTTGATTATTTTAATTTTATATACCGGTATAAAGTTTTAAAAATTCAGCGAAGTAAAACAAATCAAGTCATACTGGTACATTTATGGAACAACTATCATCTCAATTGATTAAAATTTCGATGATTTAACGGTTTCAAGCAGAGTTTTTTTCAGCACTGAGTGCTTGCTTCTCTGTTCTAGCTTCAATATTTCCCTCTGTATTTTAAATTAATTTTGAGATTTATGAAACATTATCATGATCTTATCTAAGTTCATTTTATCAAAAGAGATGAAAATTCACGAAGAAAATAACTGTCATTGATGTAAGCTGCATATTTCCAATCTTGCCAGTTAATGTTCCGTGGTGTAAGTAATACTAGTAAACAATCTCATAAAGAATCTGTATCTGAAACATCATGTTTCTTTCGTTTTTAATTTGAATCAAAACATATTTAAAAAGTACATTGTAATAAGAACAGGAAAGCGTAGATTTTAAGTCCAGCAAACAATGTTTTTAGACTAAGAGCAAGACGAACACATTACTCGGCATACACTACGTAAACGGTCCCTAAAACAAAGAATTCACCAAGTTCCATTTTAACCGATACATAGTTATCGTTCTTGTGATCCCAAAGACACCGTGACGTCACGATCATGCTTTGGCTTCCCTTCTGTGCTGCTATCACAGAGGCTATGATTTTATAGCGGGTAATGTTCAAGTGCTTTACTCTTTCTTTTATAACATCACAGGCTAATTTGCATTTTCCTCCTAATGTTGCGGAATCGTATGCTTTTAAAGATTTGATATTTTCCTCCAGAACATCAGATATTATTTTCCGTATAGAAGATTCTCTGAATTTGGCGTCAGGCACCATTTTATAGGTGTTCTCATACTTGACATCTATTTGAGGCAATTGATCCCCGGAAGTGGCTATGCTATGGCGATCGTGGTCCTTTGGCGGGTGTTTAGTGTGACCTTTGACGGAAGAGATAGAGTGTGAAGTATCCCGGAAGGAGAAGGATCTCTGACGTGCAGTGTGCGACGCATGCGCAGGGCTCGTATTTGCCCCTTTTCCGTGACCATCGCCGTGGTGTGGTGTCTTGTGGTGGTCCTCGGGATGTGGATGCTTGTCTTTGTGGTGATCTTTTCTGTCTTTTGCTGATTTGTGGTCACCCTTTTCTTTCATGATTGGTGTAGCGCTATCTTCCTACAAAGACGATGCATATCCGAGTTTGATTTACAATATTTAAAATTTACTGATTATATTTTAATTGATAGTTTGATGCACTACATGAGTTTAGTAATTAACCTATCAATGTAAAACATGCAAGTACAAGTAAATCATTTATTGAAAATACAGTTGAAAGTAGTTTGTGAAAGAATGGGTTTTATTAGTTTATTCAATTTATTTCATGGCAACAGAAGTTCTAAGTTTAATTACTCCTCCATGGCACCTGATCCCACCTCAAATGTTTAAAAGGTTTGTGTTTGATTTGCCCCCGTTTCGTTTAATTTCAATCGACTCATTTTGTGTTATCCAAGTAAGAATGCCCATAAAATCTCTCTGTCTCTCTCTCTCTCATCCACGGAAAGACTGATTTTTTCAGGACTTGAAGCATTGTATCTTGGTATCTATAAACTGATGAAACTAGATTTATTATGGGATTATAAGGCATTGTACTTGCAATTCCAGGATAGTTTATGGCTTTACTACATGCGCAGTATATTACTTTCGTGTTCTTATATAATTTCTGGTATTCAGAACTGATTACTTGATTTCAATGATAAAACCAGTCTCTTGGTACTATAGTTAGCAAAAGGAAGAAAAATATCGCGAAATGATTTTTTTTAATTTGCAGACAATGACTGGGGGGGGGGGGGTACCGCTTTGTTTCCTAGGTTTCCTAGAAGCAATGAAAAGATGAACGTCATTAAATCTTTACAGAAAAAAATGGTATGAATTGATGTTCAATATTTTAATATCTCTCAGTGCTAAAACAAATCAAAAGTTAACACATGATTCTATATAAGCACCATTAAGCGATGATCAATCTTTTTAGCATTCCTATCTCTTCCTCGTATATACATGTATACTGTTATCAACAATTATTGATTCAATAGGTACATGACCTTGTAGTTTCATTTTAAATCCTAAAATGTAATAGATCTTCTTGAAAAGAAAATTTTACGCAAAAGTATGGCACGCCAAATTCACAAAAATGAGATAAACCTAGTTTCACAATTGATAAACTAGGTTTATCGACTGTAAACTATAGTTTACATACCGTAAACTATAGTTAACGATTCGTTAAGTATAGTTTTCATCTGTAAAACTATATTTAACGGTTGTAAACTATAGTTTACGAATGATAATCTAAGTTTATCTGTCTGTAATAAGCGTTAACAGTAGATTTTGTTGATAAACATAGATTCACGTTTGTAAACTATAGTTTACAATCGTAAACTATAGTTAAGAGTTGTTAATCATAGTTTCACAAATCGTGAAACTATATTTATCAGATCGTTAACTATAGTTAACGGTTTGTAAACTATAGTTTACAAATCGTGAAACTGTATTTATCAGATAATCTATGTTTTGCAATCGCAAATGATTGTTTTCGGTGTTAAGTATAGTTTACGGTTGTGAAACATAGATTATCGCGTTAACTATGGTTTACAGATGTGAAATATAGATTAACGTTGTTAACTATAGTTTACGGTTTGTAAACTATAGTTTACAACCGATAAACCTAGTTTATCGATTGTGAAACTATGATTATCTCATTTTTGTGAATTTGGCATGCCATACAAAAGACATCCGTTTTTAAACCGCTGTTCTTTAGTTTCCCAATCAGCTGATTGAGTAAGCCAAGGCTAAACAGATTAGTCTGGCGAGAATGATAACTTTATAACAATTGAATGACAGTAAAATTGTTATTCTTTTAAAAAGCCACATATACATTTTAAACGCGATTCATACAAATGTTGGAAGTAACCTATTCAATTCTAAAAGTATTACAAAAACATTCATTTATTCGACTTTTGTGTATACCGTTGTCATAATATCGCTTCTTTTTTAGTGTGTTTAAAGAGATCTTTTAGGTATTCCCGACTATAACAAGACAAAAGGGGACAGGTAATAAAACTGTAATGCGCTTATCTTTGAAAAATGCGAAAGACTTGAAGTGTATTTGGCACTCTCAAAACTGCTCTTCCCATGTAACAAAGCCGGGAGATAGTAATTCTCAGAGGGTTAAATAAACCAATTGTTTTCATCAATTTTCTTTCCATTGATAAAATTGCAAAATCTTATTCATTATATACATAAATTAATCAGCGAACAAAATATTTAGATTTCTAAACTTGTTTAAAACATTTATGATTAAACGTTTGAAATTTTCATCATTTTCGGAAATGAAACCTTTGGTAGTTGTTTTTGAGCAAATCATTTAGTTTTCCTTCGTATTATCTTTTGTTTAATTAGAAAAAAAATTGAGAAAAAATTTCAACTTTTTACCATTTTCAAATTTTAAATATCTACTTTTTGAAAATAAATTTCAAAACTTACTTGCTCATTTTTAATCCTCCTTGTCCTACCCGTTTTCGGGCGAGGAGTCTTAATTCTAGATTTTGTCAAAGACATCGAAATATCTCTCATGTCCAATTTCAATAAATGTCTGAAAACGAAAGGGGAATGCTCGCTATAGGACGTGAAGAACGGTGTGCCCTAAATGTACGAAATCGTCCCTTCTTATTTGCCGATGGATTTATATTCCTTCGGTCCTTTTTGACCAGTTGGTTTTAAACGTGTTTCTGTTGTTAGTTGCTATCTGTCATACTGTGAACTAACACTCGTCAAACTTTACCTACAATGCTTAAACTACCACTATGCCAACATTTATGTTGTGAATTGGTTTTTACTGTACAACCAAGTTCCTGTCTTTTTTTATTATGATGAATCATTTCGATTTAAAATGTTTAGGAGAAGAGACGCTTAAGAGTTGTATAAACAAATACCAAACACCTGTTTGAAAAACTTTCCTTGTAAAATAAAAATCGACCAAAAATCGTTAGAAGAGCTTCTTGACGTTTTGGAGAACGTTTAAATGTAAATAAATTTGACAAATATTTGAATTTACAGATACAAAACTCAACCAAACATAAAGTCCTTGTTCTCTCGTAGACATAGAGACTTTAAAGTGGAAACGTCTATGGCTGGGAAAAACATGCACTTCCGTATAATAACTTTTATCTTCTTTATAATGAAAATTTGCTCGCTTCTTAGCCACAAGGTACTTAGTACATGCATTTCAAATTGCACTTAAAACCTTTATTTTTTAAAAAAAGTCAGCTTTTATAATAAACCTGAGAAAGTAACTTCCAGGCAACAAACTATTATTTAAAAGAACTCTTTCGCTCTTATGGCGATTTCTTTAAAAGTTGTTTGGACTTGTTGATTTTTTTCCCAATAATTTAATGATAGCATACGTCAAGCGTTTGTAAAGACGATTGTCACTTGGCGCAAAACAACCGCATAAAATTTAGACAAACTTCGTCAAGTGGTTCAATATCCTTAAGAAAATAGTGTGAAATCGATACTCAGTAGTTATCCAAAGTGCTCAATATTTTCCATTCTCTTTTGATTAAACTTTAATTGAAGGTCCCCTATTTTAAAGACGTCACGAACTACAAAGTATTCAGAATTCTTGGTACCCGTAAATTTGATATGCTTGTTAGCTGCAAACGATAAGAGCTGTCTAAAAAGTGAATTTAAATTTTATACAAAATCATGTTTAATAAACCCCCTCTCAAGGAATCTTAAAAATTACGTTCACTTTTTAATGAAGTAATAAATTTAAATGGTATTAAATTGTGTAATTGCCGAAATGTAGTTTTGGTAATCTTGGATTTATTACTTCTATTTATTACTTTAAAATCCTGTAAAAGTATGCACAATTTTCAATCGATTTTCAGGATCAAAGACGAGACCACGGAGCCTCTTGTTATCTTAAACGTAGAGTAAACTGTCAAGAAAATATCATTTTGATCAAATACATGTGTATTAATAATAACGAATCATGTGGTATTAGTATCTAGCATGTGTCATCGAAAGAAACATCCCAATTAAAGGTTTTTAACATAAGTTGGATTTCACTTATCATGGTAACCAAACATGCATACAAGTATATATATTAAGTATATTAGGCAAAGGCGGATTGAAGAATTTTTTAAACGGGACAAGATTTCCATACATGAAAGCCCCCCCCCCCCACCGTTTATGAGGGGTCAGTTACTCCCCCTTTTTTTATTGTGTACACAGACTACCAACACTTTTAATATTTTCCTCTTCAGAGAGTGTTTTTTCGCAGGGGGGGGGGGGCTGCTGAACCCCTTTGGGGTCCGCATTTGAAGTGTGTACCTGTTATTTGATTATTACATGAATAATGATACAGATAAAGACTACGTTTTAGAAATTTTATTCTCGGGGGTTTCAAGTTCCTAAAACAGCTAGTCGTTCACAATATGTACTATATTAAGAATCAAACAAGATGTGTTTGTGAAACACTATGCGCCCGGCGGCAACAAAGTTCGAAAAAAGCAATTTTTAGCATATAAGAAGGTCACAAGGTCATTGACCTTGTTGGCATTTGAAAGAAATTCAATAGTGGAGTATGCATACTAAATGTGAAGTCTCTATCTCCTATGGTTAAAAAATAATAGCAAAAGTTTAAAAAGCTATTTTTAACATATAGGTCATAGTCAAGGACACAAGGTCATTGACCTTGGCGTTATTTGAAAGACCTTAATTATTAGAGTATGCATACCAAGTATGAAAACTCTATCTCCTATGGTTCAAAAGATGGCAAAAGTTCGAAAAAGCTATTTTTAGCATATAGATCACAGTCAAAGTCACAAGGTCATTGACCTTTGTGTCAGTTAAAAGTTCTTAATTAGTGGAGTATGCATACCAAATATGAAGTCTCCATTTCCCACGGTTCAAAAGTTATGGCGAAGGTTTAAGTTGACAACAGACAGACAAACAGCTAGACAGACAGGACAAAAACAATGTACGCCCCGAATCTATCGATCCGGGCGCATAAAGTTTAGATAAACCTATTAAGATTATTTTATCCATTAACTACGAAAGCCCATTGAGTTCATTTTCATGGGGTAAAATTTTTTTAAACAAGATGTGTTTGTGAAACACTACGCGCCCAGTGGTAACAAAGTTAAAAAAAAACCCTGTTTTTTGCAGATAAGTCACAGTCAAGGTCACAAGGTCATCGACCTTGGTGTCATTTGAAAGAACTTCATTAGTGGAGTATGCATACCAAATATGAAGTCTCTATCTCTCATGGTTCAAAAGTTATGGCGAAAAGTCTAAAAAGCTATTTTTAGCATATAGGTCACAGTCAAGGTCACAAGGTCATGGCCTTGGTGTCATTTGAAAGAACTTTATTAGTGGAGTATGCATATCAATTATGAAGTCTCTACCTCTCATGGTTAAAAAGTTATGGCAAAAGTTGGGAAAAGCTATTTTTAGCATATAGGTCACAGTCAAGGTCACAAGGTCATTGACCTTGGTGCCATTTGAAAGAGCTTCATTGGTCAAGTATGCATACCAAATATGAAGTCTCTATCTCTCATGGTTCAAAAGTTATGGCGAAGGTTACAGTTGACAACAGACAGAAAGACAAACAGCTAAACAAACAAACAGACAGGACAAAAACGATATACGCCTCGGATCTATCGATCCAGGCGCATAAAAATCGCGTTACAATGCTAAACTTTAGCGAATAAACGTGAAACTTTTGCGATGTCGCGTAGCCTTCGCGTTATAACGCTTAACTTGCGCAAATATACGCGAAACTTTCGCGTTATAACGCGAAGCTTTTGCTGTTTAACCAAGACCATTTGCATAAGTATCTTAACTTTCTTTTGATTTTGTCATCTAGTTTATTCATTACAAAGAAAAGCAAAAGACTATTTTGATCTTGGACCATCACAAGCTACAATTTTAAGTTTTCTTGCTATCCGTCTTACCATACATATTACCGCCAATTTTGTCTTTCTCAACGCTGTTCAAACCATTCAAAGTTAATTCGAGTTTTTCAAAAGTTAAGCTTCATGATAATGAATTTCAACCCTTTCAGCCGTCTTTTTTTTAATACTCTCTCAGGGGAATTTAAACATAAAATTGTAAAGATTAAGATCTCAAAAAATTGACATGTTTTCGTAGGCAATGGAATGACCACGTGGCGCAACCTCAAAATACGTCATATTCATACAGTGAATCTAACAGAGACAAATGAAAATTCGCCATTCAAATTTCACCCATGTGGTGTGTCACATTTGACAGATTTACCTTATTTTGTCAAATTTCTGAGATCTAAATCTTTACAATTTTATTTGAAGTTCTCCTGATAGTGTATAAAAAAACGCCTGAAAGGATTGATTTTTTTTTTCCGAAATTCATTATCATGAAGTTTAACTTTTGAAAAACTCACATTAACTTTGAATGGTTTGAATAGCGTTGAGAAAAATAAAATGTGGCGGTAATATGGATTCAATAGCAAGACAACTTATAATTGTAGCTAGTGATGGTCCAAGATCAAAATAGCCTTTTGCTTTTCTTTGTAATGAATAAACTACATATAGATCACAAAATCAACAGAAAGTTAAAACTTATGCAAATGTTTTGGTTCAACAGTTTATTCGCGAAAATTACGCGTTTATTCGCGAAAGTTATGTGTTATATCGCAAAAGTTTCGCGTTATAACGCGGTATTTTTTTTATGGCCTACGAAAATGAGCTCAAAGGGCTTTCGTATGTATGAATTCAGTAAGAAAGATGAACTTCCCTCCCCCCCCTCCCCCCCCTTTTCCGTCACCAAAGGTCTCTTCAGTTAAAAAATCTAATAAGAGATGCATATTTACCAGATTTTATACAAATCGAACGATCAAATCTAGGAAAATTATATTCTTTTTATTTGCAGCTTTGTTGCCAACTGATGTAATTTTTCAGTTATTTATTTAGTCATATATTTATTATGCACCATGCAGGTAAGTATATAACAAATGTAACTGGCACGGAATTTAAAATGCATTTTGAAAGATTACTATAGAAAGTTGTTTATCTATAATTGATCAGGATGTTTCAAGTGTCATGCAAGGAAACTTGTTCCTTTAATTTTTCTTCAATTTGGAAATGATTGTAGAATATCAATATTTAATTGGTAAACCAAAAGATTTTTTAAAAAGTGATAAGTGGGTTGTAATTGTAATATTTGAAACTAGAGGTACTGTGAGCAATGAGCTCACTAAATGATACCCCCCGCCTCCCATATGACTATATTGGCAGGATTCATGTTTTGCTCTGGAAAATCCAAAATATATGTCAGATCAAAAAGTAAAATAGGAGGTGCACAATGGCAATATGTAATAAAGATTCTGTGAAAGTTTCATTAAATTTCCTTCAGTGGTATGAGAGGAGTTGCGGATAAGAGATGGGTACCCCAAAGCGTAACAGACGGACGGACGGACAGACGGACAGCTTCTCACGACTTCACCACAGACGGACGGACGGACAGACGTACAGACGGACGGAAATACCGAAAAAAAAAATTTTTTCAAAGTGCGTTATATACCCTCCCGCTTTTCAAGCGGGGGGTATAATGAATATCGGAACTGTAATAAAAAAAATAACAAAATAGTAATTTCAAATGAGAAATTAACTTACTTTTTGAAAGAATCACAAATAGCTATACACTAGTAGAAGAACGTTTCTATGGAATATAGAATGTACAAGTTCCGTTCCCAAAAATTCCAATCTGTTCTCCCCGAATCGGAAATCTTCTGCAAAATTGCCCTTAGAACAGGTAATCGTTACTGTTGCTTAAGGAATTAATCAGAATTAATCCTGAAAAGGCCCACTTTAAACAATTTTCAAAGTCCGATAGGAAAGCCCTAAGTCAAGTATTGATCAAATCGTTATCATTTTGTAAATGAAGAAACATTGCATGTGGTTGTTTTCTCAGCGGAGAGAAACCATGGAACATGGCATTATATTCAATGTTTCCAAACAAGCCGTATCGCTTTTGCAGATAAATTCCTTTACAAGCTTGTAGCGAATGTTTATCGGGTTGCCCAACAAAGTAGCTTTTAATAAAAAATGTAAACGTGAGTTTTTAAGTTTGATGGAATTATTGCATTGCAATTCCTGTTTGAATTAATGTGGTTTCAAAGAATTGATCTTTTTAATGCGTTATGCGGAGAAAAATTAATAGCTATAGGGAATTGTTGTAAAATTTGATCGAAATGTTAATGTGGTGTCTTGGTATTTTCCAGCGTTTGTATCTTAAGTGGATTTGTTGAAATATTAAGGCGTCTTTCACTAGTTGAGGGGACTTATATAGTGCATAAGATCCAAAGTCGATTTTTTCCTTTCGTTAACTATAAAAAGATATTTTCTCCACGTTCAATTGTCTCTATATATAGTCTCTTAAATAAATCGTTTGAATCAACACTTAATTAAACAGTGTTAAACAGGGATCATCTCGTATTAAATTAAATTATTCTGACCTTTTTCTTGAGATTCAAGACAATTTTGTAAATTTATTTTTTTCTGCAAAAGGAAGTCTTTAGGTAAAATTGTACACCCCTCCTCCCCGATAAATTGGAACTAACACTGGCCCATTTACTGTGAATTGGTTAACAATTACTAGTATGTTTTTCGATTTACTTATATTTGACATGTGTACTACCCAAGATAAAATGTTTCCTAGCCATTGGCCTTAATATTTGGCCTAATTAAAAAAATGTTAACTTTGATGGTTACTTTTTAATAACATTATGATAAGGCGTTTGTATTTAACACAATATGCCATAAATACCGGCATCCCATCCATTAACAGTAGTAAAGGACAAACTTGAGGAGTACTATGCAACAATATATTTGAGAAGTGGTGTAAATCAGATGTGGATAATTAAAAATTCCAAGGAACTTTTGGAAAATTTGAAATCATAATTTTTACCAAAATCAACAGCATAAAAACTTACGACTTTTTAACTTTATAAACAACAATCCTCCACGTTCATGCTATTTTATATCATTGACAGCTGTTTTTTTTTCCAATAAAAATGGAACTCGCAAAGTTACTTACCTTGTCATTGGTCATTTGTAAAATTATTTTGTTAAAATGATTGCACACACATGTACTCTGAAGTTGATATTTAAAAGATGCTTGAGTTTCTGATTGACAATATCAATGTGTTTCTGTAGACCAGATCTTCCAACAAGCAATGGAATTCCCATGGGTACAAACTGAGCCCCGTTATCGGCAGACCTATTTTTGTATTCATATGAAACAGGATTTATCATAAATGTTAAAGAAGAAAACACTTGCTGTGGCCTTCAAATAGAAATTTAGACATATCGACGACGTTTTGTCAATAACAGTGGTTATTTCCATTCTTATGTCGATATGATATTTCCCGGTGAGCTTGAAATCATAGGCGCTCCCTATGTAAGTTTGTAGAGAACGAAATGATAATCTACATATGTTTAACCCTCTATTCTATAAATTAAGCCTTTGCTTGAAATAAAAGATACTATAACTATATAATCTATTATATCTGCTTCATATCTAGATATTTGAAAAGGACGTTAATAGTAATGTAACAACCAAGCTTAATGATAAACATTGACTTTCTCAATCGTCAACTTCTCTTTCTTATGCAGCAATATCTTCATCACATATGCATACGTGCTTTATGTAGATCTCTCAGTTGCTTCGAAACGCGAGAGCATGCTCTACGTATGAACAATTTCTGAAATGAGGTAAATTATTGACAAACAAGCTGCTGAAACAAGAATATCAGCAGTCCCTTAAAGTCATCATTTCGTAAGATCTATGGTCGATACGATTACATTGTCAGCAAACATAATGCTATTAAGTCATGTGCGGACTGAATTGTATGTAGCCATTATATACACACTGAATTTTTGTTGGACTTTTTCGGTTTTCTTTTTTTTTTTAACCGATCATGGCAAAGAGCACAGTACGGAGGCTGTAAACGGTGGACAGGGGATGCTCACACCTCAATGGCACCTGATCCCACCTCTGATGATTTGGAGGTCCGTGTTTGCTCTGCTCTAATTTTGTATTGTTTATTGGACTTTTGAGCTTGAATACTGTTCATTATTCTCCATAGATTTCATCCATTTATTGAATTATTAAGGCATTTAGATACCGAAAGCGGAGGACCACTATTCTTTGAATTTGGTTTATGCCAGAAATAATTGCATCCCATCCATTATGACACCGAACTTTAAAGAAGAGATTATTGAACAATTCGGGTATCACAAGGGGTCTTGTTCCACGCAGTATGACTTGGACCAGGGTATGTGGTGTACAAGGCACTGTACTCCGAATATTTCTGTGGCTGAGTTACTAAAAAACCAAAAGTAGTTTTCGTACGAGTTAACATCGCATCAGCTGATGGATTTTGAAAAATTCTGAATTTTTCTCTGTATTTCTGAAATGTTGATGAAATGTACAATCTTTTAGTATATTTTGGTAATGTAGTTCACAAGAATACATTGAACATGAAAACGAAGCTGTGAAATAAAAAATATTAAGCCTATCTATCTTTGACGAGTGATTCAAAACTATGTGACTGTGAAAATATGTCATGTTATGTTTTGGTTCGAAGTTCATCGACCTGAACTTGCTGAAGAAGAAGAGGTTTCATTACACGTGATACTGTTAGTTGAAACTACTATTTCTACTGTATTTGGCTTTGATATCGGAAAAGAACGGAAGATGGAAGGTCCATGTAATATGGATCCCTCGAGGGGTAAGTTTTCTTGTTATTTATTGTAGACAGCTGATAGAAAACCAGTATGTTGTTTGTTGCAACTGGGGTACTGTGTTGTATATGGTGTAACAGAAAAGATGAAAGAGAACATACCACATCAGCATTTGGACTCGGTCCTTGAAATGTCTTAGATCTTAGACAGGTCTTATTATAGAACCAACTTCACACATGATCCTGTCTGTGTGATAAGGAGAGAGATGCAATGGACCAGGCCTGGATTTGAACCTAGGCTCCCCAAATCTTCACTCCGGTGCTCTACCAACTTAATCCGAGATTCCTCTGACTCTAACCCCCGCTTTTATATTGTGACTTGTGCGGGGGAGAGTCAGAGCGGACTCCATATTGAAAACTGGGAATCTGGCGAAACCACCTGGTATCGCTGCTCTGCCTCCCTTTTACAACTTTATTTTATGCGGAGCTAACTCCCGAGACGCGAGAAATTACATAAAACAATTATTCACCTACTTGTTAATCATCATAAATATTATGCCTTCGCCGTTTAAACGACCCTATCACCGAAAAATGAAGCATCACTTGAATTTGGTCGCCTCCTCGACATTCGACTTCTTTGCGCATGACGTCACACACAAATACACAAACAAACTATCACGTGAAAATATCATGTTTGGTGTTTTAAACCTCATATTAGGATAAAAGTCGTTTTTGACAGTTGCTTTCCTTATCAATCAAGAAATAAAACATCATTATGTTATTTTATATGTATTTTCGCAACACTTTCATATTTTTCCGAAAGCCCCACACGTGGTTTGAGCACGTGTTACTTTCAAACTGACTGGAATTTTGTGTATTTGTGTGCTGACGTCATGCGCAAAGCAGTCGAATGGCGAGGAGGCGACCTAGTTCAAGTGATGCTTCATTTGTCGGTGATAGGGCTGTTTAAACGGTGGAAGCATCCTTTTAATGACAATTAACAAGTAGGAAAATAATTATTTTACTGATTTCTCGCGTCTCGGGAGTTAGCTCCGCGAAATAAAGTTGTAAAAGGTAGGCAGAGTAGCGATACCAGGTGGTTTCGCCAGATTCCCCATTTTCAATATGGAGCCCAACATAGTCATGCTGATCTCTCCCCCGCACAAGTCACAATATAAAAGCGGGGGTTAGAGTCAGAGGAATCTCGGATTATACCAACTGAGATGTCTGGCAGCCAACGAAGATGAAATCCATTTAACCACTACATTCCTCCCTCCTTAAAGGTTTTTGGTCTCCAAAGACTCTAACCCATGCTCTTCCCTGGCAGGTCCTTTAGCTGTCACTGCCAGGGCATGTCACAATACTAAAGGCGACAGGAGAGGAGGAATATGTGATGGGCCGATCCAGGATTCAAATCCAAGATCCCTGAATCTCAAATCAGGTTCTCTATCAATTACTGAGCTACCTGGCCAATAGCGATGAAACCTTAGGGGAAGGGGGGTCTTCACTTTAGAAAAAAGATGCTATTCCCCTGCAGGAAAGTTGCACCTTTGTGAATAACATGAATTTATGAAAAGAACAAAATTGTGCTTCCTTCAAGTTTCTCAGTCATTAATAACAATGTAACCAGAGTATATTTTCACTAGTATTATATTTTAAATGATATAGGCTGATAATCTCATTTGTTTAAACTTTAAAACTTATAAATAAATGTTCTTGATAAGGATAAAGATAAATAATCATGAATAAAATTTATGTTTATTTTTTTTTTCCAGGTTATTACAGATTTTTAATCCTATTTTTCAACTGTATGCTGACATTTGGAAGTTATTTCTGTTTTGACATGCCTAGTGTTTTGCAGGATGATTTCACCAGTAGTGAGGTAAGTCAAACCATTATATAGTTAAAGGCCGAGGTTTTCAACCGTACGGTTTTCCTCAGGTAAGTTTGGTGTGGGGTGGAGCTTAATCGAAGCGGCTGAGAAGCCCCGAGGGAACGACACAGGCTTGTGTATACTACCTATAAACACAGGATGTTACCTGAGCCCCTAAGTGTATTACCTGTATGCGTTTTCCTACGACTTTGTAAACCGAGGCAGTTTTTTTTCATGTTTAGCTCATGAATTGAAATGCGAAATAAAGCATTTTTTTGTTCCAGACAGAATCCTTCTCAATTTCTTTCTTTTAAAATAATTGATATTTTTAATAATTCGACATTTTTTATATACAGTGCATTTCTTAATGAAGTGTTATAACGAACATACATTTAGCACCAAAATCTGTCGTTGTAATCTGGCGACAAAAAGGGAAGTAATTCAAATTACACATCGACTACGCAAAACGAAAGAAGAAAGTGAATCATAAAACAGTCTCTCGGTAAATAACAATGAAACTTAGAAACGATGTTTTGAGAATAAAATGTTGAAGTAGAAATATTATTGTCTAAATAAATATCTTTTTAAGATAAACCCTACTTGATTTTTCCATAACGCATGGTCGGTAAAAATGGCCAGGGCTTCGGACCGGGGTTGATTCCCCGACAGCTATGAAACGGGAAAAGAATCATCTGCATCGTTTTTTTTTCTTTCGGGATTCACTATTAATTTCAAACATTAAATACAAAGCAAGATGTTATATTCCGAGTAATTTCTCTTCTAAAACTTATTAATATACTGTAACTTCTTCATCATGTCTCGAGGAAAAGCGACACGCACAGGTTTGTCTTGCTTATAAATATAAATTCGCTTGACTCATGAACAATGTTACAATGTTGTCGTACTTGTTTTAAAAAATAATTTTATTTAATTTCATGATACTAGCTTCAAACGCAGGTCGGTTTATTTTGTTAATTAATGGAGGAATAAATGTACGTTAACTCATTTTTTGACACGGAAATTAAAATTATCGATTGTAATCGTGATATGAAATCCTCCCTTTTAAAATTAAATTTATAATATTTATTATATAGCCATGATTTTCTTGTCATTTATTTAATAATTTGATAGATTGATTATATTTATGGCATATTCTTATGAATTAAAAAAGAAAAGAACGATTTGATGGCTTCTTTATCACGCTGGCATACAGTGCGGTAGGCATCAAAAGCCTGAAAGTTAATTCCATGGTCGGTACGATCTCCAGACAAGGTACACAAGATATACACAACAGCAGCAAACTGAATGTCAATCAAATCAAAGTATCCAATCCCAGGCTTAATGTCAGATGATTGACAGAGGTTCTAATACCAGGTAAATTTGAAGGAGGTGCTTATTTCCTCCCCCTTTAAGTATCTTGCATATGGTTAGAGAAATGAAAATTTGTTCCACTACATTATTTGGAACAACATAGGTTTTGATAATCAGTGACTAAACATTTCTTTCTTTAGACAAAAAAGAATAAAGAAAAAAGAAATGCATGTTTGTTGCATTTAGACTATAAGCATCTCTTTAGCAAAAGATAATCACGATTGATGCATCTTAAGTCAATATCATCAACAATGACCTTACTAATAAAAGAAAATGCTTTTAGATTACCAGAAATAGTATTTTTTAAAAACTGAAAAAATATCATTGTGACTTGGTTTCTTTTTAGAATTGTACCAACTTTACTACTGGAAATACAAGCCATGACATATGTGTCTGTGAAGGTTGTCTGGGAATGTCAGATGATGACTACAACTTGCTGTATGCCATTTATGCTTGGACGTAAGTTAATTCTATATTTTAAAGACAGAACAGCTTATAACTGAAACATAAAGTAAATGGTATGAAATTTTTTTTATGTACAGTTGAATTTGGTTGTAACAAAGTGATAGGACCTGTGATTTTAACTTGGCTAATTTGTTCAACTGGAAATATCCTTATATTATAATAATATGATTTGAGGGAGTGAATTTGGCTTACATGTTTCTGTTTGTGGTAGAGGTATACACTTGTTCACATTCATATACTTGTAACTAGGTATTTCATTACAGAAATGCCATTGTAGTTATTGGTGCTGGATTTTTGATTGACAAGCTAGGAAATAGATGTAAGTTTCACATACATTCATTGTTTTATGTTTTATTTGAACTAAGATGATTATTTATTATGATCCATTCAAACAGGCAGTTACTTTTGAAATGCTTTTGGTTTGAGATTATGTCATCAGGAAAAATTTTTAAAAGCATCAGATTAGCTAAATTAAAAAAAATTATTTGTGCATTTGTATACAATGATAAAAAATTATGAAATGAAGCTATAAAATGACCTTCAAAAATGATTTAAAAGTGAAAATACCTACAAACTACACTTTATATAAAATATTTGCTTTTTACTTCATGTAAACCTGTATGTTTCTGTAGTGGGCGTGTTCCTCTTTTCCTTTCTCTGTGTCCTGGGGTCGTCCACTTTTGCTGTAGGAGCCATGTTAAAGGGGACATCCTACATGTTACCCATCATGTTACTGGGAAGACTGTTGTTTGGTTCAGGCAATGGCTCTCTTACAAGTAAGAATTTCCTTCACTGTGTGTGAAATTTAAAAAAAAAAAAAATATTTCAATAATCTGTTAACAAGAAAGTGGAGGTAATATTGTGGTTTCATTAATATTCGTTGAGCACCAATTTTCGAGAATTTTGTTGTTGAGCAGATCCATAAATCTTAATGTTCATTGAATTAAAAAATATGTTATTCAGTTGTATAGGCAATGCTTTTGTCCACGAAGTTATGTATCCTCGAAAACGTCTGTTTTACAAAATCCACAAAAATTGATACCAACGAAAATTAATGAAACCAGTCAAATGACAGTAACTCCTCAGAGACCCTCACTGTCACAAACATATCATCACTTGGGGTGCCAGGAGCTCCCTGGATCAGATAGAAAGAATTTAAAAAAAATAATATTTATATTTAAATACATTTGATATTTGATATACATGTGTTTATATGTACAAATCATTTGAGATTTTTCAAACACACTTCAGTAAAATAGGCTTGAAAAGAAGTTATATGTATAGATAAATAACAGAAGTCCACATACTTTTACATAACATTTTCATATGTGTATATTTAGCTTTAAGAAAAGAATTGAATTTCACAAGAGATAATTGTAGGGTTCATCAATGCATAAAAGTTCACACTTCCCCGTATGAATCTATACTCCAGGTCACCTTTGGATAAATATATAATATGTATCATAATTTTTCTGCCAATTCTTTTATGACATTGAAATAACATTCAATACTTTTTGATAATTCTGTTATAAAACAGAACTGAGTAAGTGCATTTTTTAAGAAATAAAATAAATTCTCATTAGTCACACTCTGATTTAAAAGTCTACATTTCATTTTACATTTATATATTTTGTAGGCAATGAAGGACAATATATTATTTAAAATAAAGGAATTTTTATTACAATATGCTGGAAAACCAATGAAAATAATTTTTCATGACACGTCTACTAGTATATTTAAAGGCAATGTTATTTTACTTCAAATGGGTTTTACTATACAGCAATCAAAAATAAGGTGCTTTAGGTCCTTCTCTACATTACAAATCGAACAGTTTATACTTAAGTCCTTTTTCCATTTACTAACATACTTATTACAAGCCAGTAAGTTATGCATTAATTCAAAGTTAAATGCTGCCACATTCTTATCAAATATTTCTTCGATGTTTTTAGCTCTTTTAGTAATATACATTCTGTTTTTTTGTTCCTGATACATTTCCAAATTTTTCTATTATTTTTATAGCATTTTTCAAAGAGTGTATATCTTTTAAGGGAAAAGTACTTCATCTGCATGCTTTATGCATTTTATTTTGTTTTCCATATTTTCATGCTTAAAACCTTTAACTAAACATGAGCTGTTTATGTTTTCATTTAAAACTTCCATTGCAAATAAATACAACAATGCTGAAAGCGGACATCCTTGCCATATTCCTCTTCCATTTTGCATTTTCTCAAAATCCAGCCATTATTTTTTATAGTGAAATGCAGATTTGTATATATCATTCTTATCCATTCTATAAAATTTTCAGCAAAATTGTTTTCAATTAAAATTTTTTTTTTAAAAAATGGGGGTTAATATGCCAGTCTTTGAGCCACATTGGCAAAAGGAAAAAAACATTTACATTTCAGAAAACAAAAAAGAGTAATATACATTGATTTTAGTAAAATTTAAGTTGTTATAAAAGATTTATTTTCCTTTTATTGAAGTTGTGCAGAACAGAATTACAGCATACTGGTTCAGAAACAAAGAGCTGGCTTTGGCATTCGGAATAACTCTGGCATTTTCCAGACTGGGAAGTGTTTTGAATTTCTTCCTTACGCAAAACTTCAAAGACATTTATGGTTTATCATGGACTTTATGGGGAGGTAAAATTTTGGAAAATACGAGCATTAAATTTTAAGCATATTGTGTCGTTGATTTTTTTTTTCTCAAAGTAATTATGTTCTTTAGACTTGAAGTAAAAACAAATTCAAACTAAGGAGAGCACTGAAACATAAAAACTTTATGTTTGTGATATGAATTTAATAATTCAATGGAGAGCAATAGACTTAGAAAGAAATTAAAGATAACCTGTAGAATTGCCTAATCAAGCTGATTTGTTGTGATATACCCTTACTTCATCCCCAATGCCCTTACTTTAAGTTTTAATACTTTTACAGGAGCCATGTTGTGTGGATTGGGTTTTGTTAGTGCAATAGTTGTCAGTTTCTTGGACAAAATGGGTGTCAGAGCCCTGGGGGATGAAGACAATCTAAAATCACAGTCAAAGAAATTGGTATGTATTTTTATGTTGTGTTATATGCCTATATAATATTATTCATTAAAAAAAATTTTTATGAATTTTATTAGTATATACACGTTAATGACAAATTTGCAGACATTTTTTGCAAAATTTATAATTAATGGCTCTGGTTTTTGGTCTAACAGGTACATAACTTGAATAATGATATTTCTTTTTAACAGAAACTGACCGATATAAAGAACTTCTCCCTTTCCTACTGGTTGTTAGCCTTGTCTATTATGTTCTTCTACAATGGAGTCTTCCCTTTTGTGGCTGATGCCAGGTGAGATGATGTGAATAATACAAATGTAGTATCATTTGGTGTTATGAAGTTATGATTTTTCATTAATAAAAAAAAATAAATCAATATGCACCCTAGAGTTGGGTATTGCGAAGGAAATCCATATTGCGATATATTGCAATATTTTACTTTGAATATTGCAATATATTGCAATATATTGTAGATTAATTATCATTAATAAATTTGAGCAGAATATTTGAAATGCTGTCAAGTTCAGAGACTATTTGAATTTATCTTTAAGTTTAAAAGGGGGAGGAGGGATAAGACATTGATTGCACACCAAATTAACACTTTACTTTTAATCAAATGCCAGGTAAAATAGTAAAACAAGATGAACTCTCTTGGAGAATTTTCACATTGAAATAAAAATTTTTACAGAATATATAATCTTTTTTCATTCAATTCTTTTTTTTTTGGGGGGGGGGGTAATAAAGTAGCATAAAATGTTATTAAAGATTAAAACAATATAGTAACATATTAGGCCTATATGAAAATAATTTTATTGTGGTTACAAAATAAAATTTAAAAAATCAGAAAGAAATTGTGACCTGTTTTCGTGCATTTTGGTAATTTAGTCTAACCCGACCTAATTTCACAGTGATCAAGACGTAAAATCAGGAAATGGCCTGTTTTAATATATACCTGCTCCTGCTATAGCATAAGGTGTTTAAAATGGCATGAAAGTTATTAAAAATAATTAAAACAACACTGCTACAAGTGGAAACATGGATGACCATTTACTTGTAATATGTACAGGTATATTGAACTTGACATTTCACCGCGATGTCGATCGTGTAGATTCAATGTGAGATTTTGAGAACCGCAATGCATATGGTATACACCCTGTAAAAATGTTTTATATATTTTCTTTCTTATAAATTTTATTTTAAAGCCTTATTAATTAGTAATTTTATTTCAAAGTAAGATATTCAAAACTGCAACAGTGAATTAAAAGCTTCCACCCCCTCTCTCTCCTCTCTCTTTCTCTCTCCCGAATGAAACTGACGAAGAATTCTTTCAACGAGAAACAAAAAGACTTAGAAGTTTCCAGTTTTATTTTAACAATTTCTACAATAAAGGAAGTTTTTATATATTTTTATAAATATCGTGAAATACCGGTATCTGATTTTCATATCGCGATATATTATCGTGGTGGATAATACCGCAATATACCGATATACCGGTAATATTGCACATCCCTAATGCACCCCAAGATTATGGAAGGAGTTTGAATTTGTTACATATCTTCATACATGTATTTGATTGAATGAGGTTGTTTTTCCAGTAAGTTCATTCATATGAAGTATGGGATGCATAAAGATGTTAGTGCCTATATCGCCGGGGCTGTCTATGATGTCTCTATGATTCTGTCTCCATTTCTGGGAGGTATCATTGTGAGTAAATCATAACATTTTTGCTTCATGTCTTTGGCAAATAAACTAAACAAAATGGTTGAACACAGAAAGTCATTTTTTTTTACTTTCAGAATTTTGCTAATTACTAGTAATTTCGTTAAGTAAAATAACCTGGAAAACATTTTTTTCTTTTCAGTTACTGGTCAGTAAATCTGATTTGAAAGTTCCCTCTGCTGCATATAAACTGTTCTATATGTTGTAGGATATAATAGGTAAGCGGGGTATCCTGGCCCTCCTGTGTGCCTTGCTGACTATCCCACTCTTTGGACTCCTGGCCTTCACCACGGTGTACCCCCTAGTCTGTACCATCTGGCTGGGAATCACATACTCATTTGCAGCTGTGAGTTGTAACTTTTACTCCATTGTATGGAATCTTTAATATTTATTTTATGTTTCGAGAATTATTTCATGTTAACTATATGCCGGAATATAAAATTCAATTCATCCATAAAACCTTATTTATCCAAGGCACTTTGTTTTGTACGATGTAATGTTTTTTTCTTACATATTTGATAGTAATACTTGAAGGAAAATGTGCATATTGTGAATACGCTATATAAAGTTATAGGAATTCGTTATACGGATAAAGGGAATAAAATTCACAGGTCCCCAGGACTTGGCTATAATAGAGTTTTACTGTATTTCATTTTGTTTTAGGAGTGAAATAAGTAGGAGCTAACTTTAGTCAGACTGGGACATTCATTACTATTGGTAATGTTTAATTTTGATTTTATTTTCAGGCCAGTATGTGGCCTTCTATCCCCCTAGTCGTCTCCCAGGCTACCGTGGGGACTGCCATGGGTCTCACTACCTCCATACAGATGATTGGTATCGGTGTGTCTAATTTGGTGGTGGGACAAATTCTTGGAAAGAATGAAGGGTAAGCACTCCATCAGGGTACAATCCGATTAAATCAGATCCACTCACCTAGATCCTTACTCATGGATCTGAGGAAACCCTATTTAAGGTAGTCTCTGTACAGAAACATGATAAGTACTTGCTTTTGCCTTGTTTTTTGGCTCTTTGTTTTATATGAAACGATAACATCTTTTCCACAGCTACTTTCACTTTTACATTTATTTTTCCAGAATGTTGCTTAAGTATGATCTTTCTGATTAGTCAAAATTTTAATGGATATTTTTATTAGAAAGGGTTTCTTCAGATCCTTGTGTAGCGATATATGCGAGCGGATCAAAGGATCTGATTTTAACAAATAACACTTACAAATTTAAATTTATATATATTAGAGTCCTTAGACCCATTGTGTTGCAATTTATTCTATTATGATGATGCAGAAAAAATAAAATAAAATGGCCTGAAAGCAAGCTTTATAATTAATATAATGTTAGTTTTACCCTTGGTTTGCAGATGGACCTTTTACAGGAAAAAACCACGTATTAAGTCTTACATAATAAAATCCAGGGGCCCATTTTACAAAAGAACTTACAATTAAGACCAAAAACTTATTCTGATTGTAAAATTTTGTTAATTTAATTATTTAGTTTGAAATACCCAGTAGCTAGCATATAAATAAATCCTGCTAACTTCATTTTGGAAAGATTAAAATAATTTTCAAATCAATATACATGTATTAATAATAGAAATTTATGAGCAGAATGTAAATTTGGTCTTAGTCTAATGTTTTTTGTTTTGTTTTTTTTTTTTGTAAAAAGGCCCCCGGAATAACAATACCAGATTTTAACTTTATTGTTTACACAATTTGAAATGTTTCCCTCCAGAATGAGTTTTTATATTCCTGTTTTCAGTTTAAATGATGAGGAGATTCTACACAGATGGAAGTATGTAATGATATTTTTGTTGGCCAATTCTCTAGCTTGTGTAGCAGCTACTACCTTCCTCAACATTACAGACAAAAAAAGGGTATGTTGTTCATGAGGAGTGCTATTGCAAATTTTTTACACCAATTTTACTGAACAGTGTTAAATTTTTATTTATATGTTTTATAAATCTCATATCTTGCATCTAGGTTTATTCAGTATATATATTGTACATGCATGTGAAATATTTCTTAAGAATGAATTTTTTAACAAAAATGAAAAAAAAGTGCATTTCATCTTTCAAATTTTTTATACTTCTACCTTCTTATTTTTCATTTGCACAGGGAGGAATATTAAACATCAGCAGAAAACAACGACAGCAGCAAGTACAAGAAAAATCTGTACCAGAGAGTGAAACAAAATCAGACGATGAAGAGGAGCCATTGTTAGGACGACAGCAGCACAGGATCAATTAGTGATCTGGGTCATGTATCATCTTAACTTCTAGTCACAGACATATAGTGAAAATAAGCGTTTCTTGGAATGAGATTATAAAACATGTTGTTGTCAAAAAGAATTAAAAAAGAAGTTAATATTTGATTTTTTGATAAAGGAAGAAGGTTCATTTGCTATGTGATTAAAAATAAAGAAAAAAATGTTAACTGCACTGCAAATGCACCTCATCAGAATTTTTTAAAAAAATTTTTGGCTGATCAAATACAATATAAACAATATTGTTATGTTTTAGGTTTTTAAAAAAAAATATTTTATTGTCCTTGACACTTACTGTATAGAGGGAGGGGGGGTTAAATAAAGATGACTGTGGAAGTGCAAACAACTTTTAAAAACTAGATGCAAAAGTTTTTGTTTTACATTTTACATGTAACTTGGTAAAGAAAATGTATGACATAAACTACACACAATTTGTAAAGTTTCTGGTTTTACTTATATAAGTATTGTATGATATTTTTTTCACACTCTTTGGAAACATTGAAAATCTTGTCTCATCTCTAACACTTCACTTTTCTGTGAAAAGGTTATCATATAAAAAGTGCCAAAATAATGGAATTGTTATTAATGTATGCAAGTTTGAATTTTCTGCTTCTTATATTTTTGGGGGATAGGGTGGGGAAGTGGAGTAGCAAGATATATTTTTATTAAAAAGTAATTTTATTTGCTTTGAAACGGTAAAGTATTTGCTACATGTAATTCCATACAATATTGGAAAGGTTGTACTAAATGATGAATAAAGCATATTTTTTTTTACTTATTACAATTAAAGTCTTTGACATTATATTTTATTCAGACATTAAGGATTCAGGGAAGAAATGTTTGTCTGATTCACAATTTTTAGCTCACCTCGACTAAGTCGAGATGAGCCTAGGCTACACCCCCGGCGTCGGCGTCCCAGGTTAAAGTTTTAGGAGCAAGTCCATTCCCAAGTAACTATAAGACCTACCTGAACCAAACTTGCATGGATGATGCATCTAGGGATGGACACTACCAGACTTGCTTCGGATGCTGGATCTGACCTACATTTTCCAGATGAGTGACCAGGTTAAAGTTTTTGGAGCAGGTCCATTCCCAAGGAACTATAAGCCCTACCCAGACCAAACTTGCATGGATGATGCATCTAGGGATGGACACTACCAGACTTGCTTCAGATGCTGGATCTGACTTACATTTTCCAGATGAGTGACCAGGTTAAAGTTTTTGGAGCAGGTCCATTCCCAAGGAACTATAAGCCCTACTTGGACAAAACTTGCATGGATGATGCATCTAGGGATGGACACTACCAGACTTGCTTTGGATGCTGGATCTGACCTATATTTTCATTCCCAAGTAACTATAAGCCTTACCTGAACCAAACTTGCATGGATGATGCATCTAGGGATGGACACTACCAGACTTGTTTAAGATGCTGGATCTGACCTATATGTTCATTCCCAAGTACGGTAACTATAAACCCTACCTTAACCAAACTTGCATGGATGATGCATCTAGGGATGGACACTACCAGCCTTGCTTCGGATGCTGAATCTGACCTATATTTTCCATACAAGAGACCAGGTTAATGTTTTGGGAACAGATAAATCCCAATGACCTTGAAGTCCTTGATATCTGCAGTATTATCAAATTTATAAATATTTGTTTACACTATACATGTTTTTCACGCTACGTGCGTAGAAATGTGTATATGCCCTGTAAGGGGTTAAACACAACTTGCAAGAATATTGTTGTTGGGATAAATACTAGATATTAAGAAAATATGATGTGAGATTTGCATTACTTACACTGATAACATTCGTCGAGGTGAGCTTTGTAATCTTTGATTACCTATGTTTTGTGATGGAATTCACTTTAGTTTTTTTTTGCTTGGTATGAAAAATGAATCCAAAATTCAGGGTGAAAAAATTATGAGTGATTAAACATAAAAAGGGTAGGAGTTTCGAAATACGCAAAAGCTCTCCTTATCAGTAACTAGCCAGCATTAGCAAATGTAACCTGTATGTGTAGGTTATAAAGGACAAGATACCTTAAGACCCCTATTTGGCCCATGGTTTGGGGTTTCTTTTAGAATGGTGCAAGTTTTTCAATAAAAATTTGTTGTCAGCCCTACCACATAAAGAGTACTGGTTCTAATTTATGGGATACACAAGAGGTCACATGAAGGTAAGGAAAAATAACTATTTCCAAATTTTCTCATTTTTATGCAAATTTTCATTGATTTTACAGCAAATTCTGTTCCAGAAAACATATAGCACAAGCTTGCCTAATTACCAAATTTATACATTTCGTACACTGATATCAGATGCATCTTTTAAATACAAATCTCAGATTACAAGCTTGTGCTCTGTGTTTCCAGAAATGAAAAGTACCAACATTTGCAATTTCCAAGAGAATTTAGGAAATCCGTGAAAATGTCCAACTTATGCACCTTCTTGTGCCCTCTATGTAAGCGAAGAATCAAAATTAGTGGTGGTTTTAAAACAAGCATCATTTTAAGTTCCTAACCATAATTATACTGTCCGTCTGTTATGCATTGGGGTACTCATCTCTTATTCGCAACTCCTCCTATACCATTCATTAAAAAATTAAACTTTCACAGGATCTTTGTTATATAGCGTCATGGTGCTCATCCTATTTTACTTATTGGTCGGGCACATATTTTAGGTTTGTTTTATAGTGTATTTTCTTTCATTGTGCAATGATCTTACAACCATGCCCATTACAGAGGAAGCCCAGTACCTAAGGATGCAAGGCATCTTCATTCTTCAACCATATACATTTCATTATTTTCAGCAACGTCAAACTAAACTAGATTTTAATGGTGGAAAATAATTCATTTATTTTCAACTCTTTGATGACTTCCCCAACAGAGTATAAGTATTGAACAATTTTAGTTTTTCAGAAAATTTTGAAATATTTATAAATTAAAAGAAGACAATAAATCCTAAAAGTCATACATGTATGAAATTCAAATGCATGCAAGTCACACAAATATAAGATTAACCATAATATACGATTAGCTTCACATATACCTTCATTTTTGAAAGTAAATATATGTCATTTCAATATTTTTAGAATAAATGTTACTAATTTATTTTGACTCCAGTGAATACAGAATCACCGTCAACTCTGAGTAAACCACCGTTGGGTTTCAGGTACACTTGATCGCCAATATCTAAGTTAATGACCAATGAAACCGATCCGGTATTGAGGCCTTGACTGCGTTCACTCGTATAAGCAAATGTAAGATGGTGACCGTTTTTGTAGATCCATGCACCATAACCTGTTGTGTTAGATATCAGAGACACTTGGAACAGGTACAATCCCTGGCTGGGACAAGTAAACACTGATCCATTGTAGGCATTCCCCGAGTTAAATATTTGAGAATTTTTACCCTTGATAATGTCAGATCTGCTGTTATACGAATTATCAAGTTGAGTTGTAAACCCGATATCTGAAAGAGACGGAATACAATTTAGACTGAATACTGAAAGAAAAAAGAAACACATAGTAAACTTTTGAATTAATTTGAAACTATAATTATTTCGAATATGTTTTTCTTGTATTGTTATCAAACACTTTAATTCACCTTTACTCAACAGATTACCAAAATCTTGTGTGATTTTAAGGATATCCGATCCTCAGCCAGGAAGGATAACTCCAAAAATCAATATTAAATTTGAAATGCATCAAAATTAAGCTTGAAAATGAATTTTTTTCATGGAACAATTTTCATTTTATTCATCTTTATAAGATTCAAGGTCTTTGGAAGTCTTAGAAAAGTTGACATTTGTATCCTATAAAAGGAGAAAAAATTAATACGGTTTTAGAGAAATAAGATTTTCTTGAATAGCCTTAGATACCAATGCTTATTAGCATGATGTGAAATGAGAAGTGATTTGTGGTGTCTTGCAATGATAGCAAAAGCCTTTTACACTATGTATTATAGAATACATGACGGAAATGTAACACAAAAAAATACCAAATAAGTATAAAAATCATGACAATTTCTCTGAATGCCTGGATACCTATCATTTTTTAACCTAAAATATATTTGTTGATCAATTTGCAATTAGAAAATGCATTGCTGATATTCCTATTCGCTTTTTCTGCAAAAATATTGGAGATTTGACAATTTTCCCTATATAAAATGATTAACTTTAATATTTAACTATAAAGATATATTGTGATAAATTTACATAATTTTGTGGATTCAGAGATACTTTAATGAGTAATTTTGATTACTTAACTGCTAATTTTATTAACCTGAGGAAGGAACGGATTATACCTTAACTGATAATTCATGAGTTATTGAACTTGATATGTCGATAAACCCCCAAAATTAAAATAAAAATTCTCATAATCTCCCTTGCGCACAGTCTTGATTTTCCTGTGTATTGAGTTCATCAGAGCATTTATATTTCTCATAGGATTAGATCTATTATTCAACCTTTTTCACGGTAGTCTTAATGTCGAGAGTAGCTGTGACATTCCAAAGCCAACAACCACTATACATTATATTATGTATAGCGGGGTATTTTTGTGGAGCGATTGTTTTGAGGTTTTGATGATTTTTTCATATTGTACACATGATGAATAAGTGTAATGAATATAATTTGTGAAAAAAATGTCCAATAAGCCCCGGGGTTGAATATCGGGGGAGGGGGGTTCCTGTCCACAAGTACCTGTCAGTGTGATCAGGTCATATGTGCAATCATATTTTCATTAATTTAATTTTTCCCTTTTCATTCTAAAAGCATCTTACGTTTTAAATTTAAATATTTTTTATGATTTTGAAATACATGTACATATATTCCAATTAATCATTTGAAACATCAAAGTATCGTGCAATTGCTGTATATCAATATAAAGTGACATAAGCTTAAACATACAAACAACACTTACATATTTATGGCACGCCAAATTCACAAAAATGAGATAAACCTAGTTTCACAATTGATAAACTAGGTTTATCAACTGTAAACTATAGGTTTACAAACCGTGAACTATAATTAACAATTCGTTAACTATAGTTTTCATCTGTAAAACTATATTTAACGGTTGTTAACTATAGTTTACGAATGATAATCTAAGTTTATCTGTCTGTAATAAGCGTTAACATTAGATTTTGTTGATAAACATAGATTCACGTTTGTAAACTATAGTTTACAATCGTAAACTATAGTTAAGTATGGCACGCCAAATTCACAAAAATGAGATAATCATAGGGCGAATTTGTTGCACATAAACTGGGTTTAGTTTTGAACCAGTTTTGTAAACTGTTCATTTGTTCCACAAACTGGTTTCAAACTAGTTTAAACCCAGAACCGGTTTTCCATTTGTTTTGGCAGTAACTGAAACCAGTTCGTTAAACCAACCAAACCACCTCCGATGGTGGTTTATTCGGTTTACGAAAGAGCGGGGAGTATTCCAATATGGCGGTGAGGAAAGATGGTGACTATTCTAATAAAGAAAAAAAGTTATAAATGATTGTTTTTTTCGAGGACAAACAACTCTTTTGACTAAAATGCCACATTATGATACAATGGTATTTGATGTTTTATATATAAGGCTGAAGAGAATAGATTAATACTGCATATTGAAAATTAATCATGTTAATGGCGTTTGTTCAACAATAATGAACAGAATATGTTAAATTTTCCTATTCCAAAATAAGTTTTGAATCATCTGGACAAACTTCAAAATGTACAGTAAATTGTAGTCTAGAACATAATGTAAAGACAGCTTATATATTCAATTGGAAATCTAAAAGAGTAATTATAAATACTCGAAAATTTGGAAATTGTTCATTTGATTAATCTTTGAGGTATCAAAAATATAAATATTGCACTTGAACTAGTATATGTAAGATAATCAAAGAATATAAATACGTTATAATTTCTTGGATTCTTTTATTAAGAGAAAGATTTTAACAAATTTATTTGCATATGTATGTTGTTCTGCATCTTTTTGCTTTTTGACACCATCTTGTATAAACTGTTCATTTGTTTTACCGAGGTAAACCGGATTGAAATTTAAACCAGTTTGAAAAACTAGTTTTAAACCTTAAACCAAAACCTGAACCAGTTTATGTGCAACAAATTCGCCCATAGTTTCACAATTGATAAACTAGGTTTATCGACTGTAAACTATAGTTTACAAACCGTAAACTATAGTTAATGATTAGTTAAGTATAGTTTTCATCTGTAAAACTATATTTAACGGTTGTTAACTATAGTTTACGAATGATAATCTAAGTTTATCTGTCTGTAATAAGCGTTAACAATAGATTTTGTTGATAAACATAGATTCACGTTTGTAAACTATAGTTTACAATCGTAAACTATAGTTAAGAGTTGTTAATCATAGTTTCACAAATCGTGAAACTATATTTATCAGATCGTTTACTATAGTTAACGGTTTGTAAACTATAGTTTACAAATCGTGAAACTGTATTTATCAGATAATCTATGTTTTGCAATCGCAAATGATTGTTTTCGGTGTTAAGTATAGTTTACGGTTGTGAAACATAGATTATCGCGTTAACTATGGTTTACAGATGTGAAATATAGATTAACGTTGTTAACTATAGTTTACGGTTTGTAAACTATAGTTTACAACCGATAAACCTAGTTTATCGATTGTGAAACTATGATTATCTCATTTTTGTGAATTTGGCGTGCCATAGTTAAAAGTTGTTACTCATAGTTTTACAAATCGTGAAACTATATTTATCAGATCGTTAACTATAGTTAACGGTTTGTAAACTATAGTTTACAAATCGTGAAACTGTATTTATCACATAACCTATGTTTTCGGTGTTAATTGTAGTTTAGTTGTGAAACATAGATTATAGCGTTAACTATGGTTTACACATGTAAAATATAGATTAACGTTGTTAACTATTGTTTACAGTCCGTAAACTATAGTTTACAACCGATAAACCTAGTTTATCAACTGTGAAACTATGTTTAGCTCATTTTTGTGAATTTGGCTTGCCATACATATTATATACCTTTTGAATTCTTTACATGGTCGAAAACTTCTTTCTTTAGTCTTTCAATTTCAAGACTCATATTGTGAACATCGCTGTTTTCCAACTTGACATCCATCTGATTTACTGTAAGCAAAACTTGGCGCATCATCGTCTCCATGTCTTTGATCTTTTTCTGAGTGCTCATTTCAAGGTCACGGACTTTCTCCGTTAAAGTGATATTCCAATCGCTCAACACTCTTTCCATGGCGTCTATCTTTTCGTAAATATTGTAGGTACCGATGCCTTGACTGCTTGCAGAGGACGGATTTGCGTGTCCGTCCAAGAGGAAGGCAGCACTTTCATTTCCAATGCAAGAAATAACAAGCAAGCAAGCGAGTTTCAGCAAATGAAACATGGTCGTTCACAAACTAGCCCTTGATGGGTTTAAACTAGTTATATTTCCAAGTCTCTTTTATAGGAATTTTAAATAGCAGAACAGTGCAGTTGCCAATAGTATTGTGCCATCAAAATTTTTCAAATAAATTTAAAACATAAATATGTCATACAGTGCGATATTAATTGGTCAGCGTTAAGCTTATGCTATTTGGTATGAATAAACAGAATAATCCTTTAAAAATAAAGTGTACATTATAACATAGTTGAATATTAGAAATTCAAATGAAAAAGATGAATGCACGCACGAACACAGCAAGGAATGAAAGATTTCAAATTTGAGTTTCTATACCATGTTTATAGATTTGGTCTAAATATTTGTCGTGATGTACATTTGATTAGCAGCCCACCAGCTGAGATTTAGTCTCACAGTTTTCGAAAGCTCCCTAACAAGTTTCGGAGATCTATACCGGGGGTAATATTTGCAGGTTCATAGAAACCAAGTAGCTCAACAGTAGCCTTCACACTTTTCCATTAATTTCCCTTACTCTTAAATACTATACAACGGGGAACTAATTAAAGATTATGGACCCCCTTCATTACATTATAGTGATTTAGTAACTTGTTCAATAAAAATATGTTAGAGAATTTGAATGTTTAATCCCCCTTGAGTAAAGTCGATCGCTTTTTACATGTACATATACATTACATTTCTGATATGTATGGCACGCCAAATTAACAAAAATGAGCTAAACATAGTTTCACAGTTGATAAAGTAGGTTTATCGACTGTAAACTATGGTTTACAAACCGTAAACTACATGTATAGTTAACAATTCGTTAACTATAGTTTTCGTCTGTAAAACTATATTTAACGGTTGTTAACTATAGTTTACGAATGCTAATCTAAGTTTATCTGTCTGTAATTACTAGTAAACGTTAACAATATATTTTGTTGATAACCATAGATTTACGTCTGAATTATAATTTACAATCGTGAACTATAGTTAATAATTGTTAATCATAGTTTCAAAAATCGTGAAACTATATTTATCAGATCATTAACTATAGTTAAGACTTAAGAGTTCTATACCATAGTTTACAAATTGTGAAACTGTATTTATCAGATAATCGATGTTTTGCAATCGCAAATGATTGTTTTGAGTGCTAAGTACAGTTTTTGGTTGTGGAACATAGATTGTCGCATTAACTATGGTTTACAGATGTAAAATATAGATTAACGTTGTTAACTATAGTTTACAGTCCGTAAACTATAGTTTACAACCGATAAACCTAATTTATCGACTGTGAAACTATGTTTAGCTCATTTTTGTGAATACATATGTGCTTGTTTATGAAGAGCCAACGTGATACGAGAACAAGGGGACAAAACTGTACATAGTTTGAACTCACCAAGAATTTTAAATTTCTCATTACAGTTTAATGAAAAATCGTGAAATATTTACATTAAATACATCAGTAATTTATTTTAAACTTTAAAGACATAATGGCAAAATATAAAAAAAAAAAAATATTTGATCGATGAAATACCGGTATGTACTTCATTTGCTCACACTCCCTGAAAAGAAACAAGAAGAATTGTTGCAATACCTATACATTGTGAGGTGGGGTTTTTTTTAACATACTTTGTTTTTCTCAATAATTAACAAGGAAGTACCTGAATGAATGGATTCTTCATACAACTTGTGTCCGAGACACAGTTGTTGTTCCCTGAATGATGATGGTCTCGCCAGCTTTTAGGACCATACCGTCATAAAGACACCCATCTGTACATGAATAAGCCAATGCATTGCAATTACTATTATCCAAAGTACTATAGAATCTGAAATTTATTATAGCAGTAAACCATACCATGGCCATTTACAGTTCGTTTAGCGTTACAGTCTCCACTGAAATTATAGAAAGGTACCTGTTTCGTTCTTTTGAAACTAAAGAATTGAATCATATATGAACAAATGGAATTTACAGGAGTATATGCAATTGTATAAGATAAAGACATGGACATGTACCATATAATCAATGGTCATGTGCATGTGGTCAACAAATTATCTGAATGTATCTTGGAATTTTATAATCACATTGCTTAGATTTATTATTTTTAAATAAACAAGCACATTTCCTTCAAGATTGCTCACAGAATCTGACAATTACTAAAAATCATAACATATGTACAGTTACATGTAGAATCTTACTATAATGGCATGATGCTGCTGAGATTATTTTCACCCAAACCGGATATTTTTCCAAACAAGGTCTGATAGGAATCTCTTCCCCAATAAAGTAGACAAACAAACACTCACCCATATTAACATGATAGTGTATATTCACATCAGAACGGGGGTATTACATGTACTAGTGACTATTGGCTCACAGACTTTTATTTAAACTTTTAATTCAATAAGGGGCCAGATTCGGCCGTTACCATGCCTTGTCCTTTGTTTGGTAGAATGCATGAAAGGCTCTGCTGGGTGCTTAAGAATGTAAAATTGTAAAGACGCAGATGCCCTTCCTAAACGAAACGATCTGTTCAGAAAAAAAGAGTCAAAGTAAATAGTTGACTCTCTCCTTCAAGATCGCCTGGATGTAATGAGAGAATAAAGCAATATACATTTATTGACTGAGTTCATAGACCTAAAACAACATTTGCTGAAGTCCTAGCAATGGACGCAGCGAGAGAACTACGGTTAAAATAAACGTTTAATACTAGTCGTACAAGTATCAGCTTTTCAAAAAGCTTGCCTGACTAAATCAATCAATATTTGCATGAGGAGTGTAAACCTTTAGAGCAGTACTTTTGTGTGTTTAGAATATGTCCTTACTTTATATTTTGAGAACCTTGTGTACGTGAAATCCTTGATTTTATTTAACTTAATTGTGGAAGAATCGTCTATGAGATACACTGCATACTAAAGAGTTGTTCTTCTCTGTTCTGTCCCTGGATCTAAATTGAAAGCTTCATTACATACACCTATTATTAAATCTGGTATCAAATCATTAATATTTTAAAAGATGGATATGATTAAATACACATTTTGTTGGAGTGTATTTTCTCCGCCGAAGTAAACAGCAGTAATGTGTGTTAATTTACGGGGGGGGGGGGTCCTGAAAGAGAGGGGGGTGTTTAGTGTTACTATCATATATTGAGAATGAAATAAAAGTAAATTCACTATTTAGGTCTTTTTGAAAAAAAAGTAAGATTATGCACCGGTTTCTTATTTATTTTGTGCATCTAAACAGAGATCATGCAAGTGGAGACCATGACTTGTTGAACTGTGTTGTTTATTATTATTGAACTAGTCCATTTGGGAATAAACCAACCGCGGGATCGGGAAACAAATTAGAAAAATCTTTGTGAGGGTGTGAGGGTGGGGGTGTGTGAGAGTGTATGTGTGTGTGTTGCATGCGTATATGCTGATATATACGATATTTTGTTTAAAAGAATCATATAAATCTTGCAGATAGAATTTCTGAAGCATTAGATGGAAGTGAAAAAGACAAACTTATTTCATTCCACGGAAGTTAGCACACCCATTCATACAATAGAGTAATCAAAGGAAAAGGTGCGAAGATAGCTTACTAGTGACATTTGGCGCGAAAGAGCGATTCATCCCTTTCGTATATAGAACATAATTGGACTGATCCAGTAAATGCAGAAAAAAAGGATACACGGACATGTTGAAACGTTGAATCGCATGGAATTATCTGTTTCCGTGCAAAAAGAGTAATGGAAGTAAACACTGCAGTATTTTGCATCAATAATATCATTCTTTAATTTTCTGAAATCTGTTTCTTTTAAAATGCAGGTAAAGATCTAGCTCTGTAGGTATGATCGCATATAGTTTCAGATCACACAGCCTGACGCCGTGACATCAGTCAATAAATATAGAATTTTCAAGTCTCGTAATTTTTAAAGGTAAAAAATTGCTTTGAAAAAGGGGGGAGGCACCCTGCACCACCCCCACCAGATTATAATATTCCCGAATGTTTTGTTCACCTGAGAGGAAGTCGCAGTTGCAAGTGAAATAGCTTCCAAAACTATTTGTATCAATTTTAAATTTCCTTTTTTTTAGCCCAGTTTAGGAAAAAATCCTTATGGTCAACGGCTGCAAAATCACATGCAGAATATGACGTAGTATTTCTTTCCCACAATTTTGAATCTCGTGTAATCAGAGAAATAGAAATTATTCAATCATATAATAATTCATATCATTATTTATGTCTTTACAAATACATAAATATAAAGTTAGTTTGGAACCAAATAAATTAGAAGCAAGGCTAACTTAAAAAGCCAGGCTAGGGGATTCCCAGTACCTAAGAATGTATGGTATCTTCATTCTTCAACCATTTGTATTTCTGCAACATAAAACTAACTAGATTTTACATAGTGGAAAAGTTCATTTCATTTACTTTCAAATCACTCTTTCTTGAGTTTTCCAGCATAGTATTAGCATTGAACTATCTTAGTTTTCGGAAAATTTGGAAACATTTATATAAAAAAAGAAGAAAAGAAAAAAGAAAATAAATCATGAAAGTCAAACATTTATCAAATTCAAACATGCAAATCACAAATGTAAAATTAACCATATTATACGTACATATGTACATTCATTTTTGAAAGTACATACAAGTCATTTCAACATTTCAAATTTTGACTCCAGTGAATACAGATGAAGCGTCAACAATGAGCGAACCACTGTTGGGCTGCAGGTACACTTGATCTCCAATATCTAAGCTAATGACCAATGAAACAGATCCGCTTAAGAAAAGACGATTTTCACTGGTATAAGCAAGCGTAAGCCGGTTACCGTTTTTGCAGATATATGCACCATTTCGAGCTGCAGTAGATATCAATGATACTTGGAACAGGTACAATCCCTGGATAGGACATGTAAATACTGATCCATTATACGCATTCCCGGAATTAAATATTACAGAATAAGCTCTGATAACATCAGTGTTGCTGCTATACGAACCAGCAATATGAGTTGTAAACCCGATGCCTGAAAGAAACGGAATAGACTTGATAAACATGTATTTATAGTACTTGTACAATTGTACATTAGAAGGATACATGTATAAGACTGACATGAGTGAAGAAGCCAGATGCATCGCAAAAATGAACTCGACAAACAATACTGGGTGATATGAACAGAATGACATACTCAACATAAATTAAATTTCATAATAAAAAAATAGCTGAAATGTTTAAGAAACTTTTTTCTTTTCAATCAATCTGATTAAAATCAGATCTTAATTGTTACGCTCCGAAATTCTGATGGTCAATTTTAGAGCGTAACAAAGATATCATTTTAAGGCCAAAAAAAATTAATCAATAGTTTCTCAGGCACCGCCGCATCAGTTCAAAAACGGCCGCATTGATCAATTTTATTGACATATTGAAAAGGGAAATAACTCAATTTTCTATTTTTCCAAGTTGAAAAAGAAAAACGAGTTATTCCCCTTTTCATAAATGCTAAGAAAGACGTTTTTATTAGAAAAACAATATATTTCTTCTAAATCTAAAGTATTATATCAGTTAACTTTTAAATAAATGTTTGGAATAACATTATTTAACGTTGAATACATATTATAACTAATTTCAGAGAACAAAACTTAAGAATTAGTAGATATTATCATTTTACTGCACAAATGACTTACAAAAAAAGCTGTAAAACCTGCTTCCAAAAAAAAAAAAAAGCCTGCCTGCCGCATTGAATTTTGAATTTTTTGGCCTTTTCAATGTACTGTGCATTATCTAAAATTGTAATACATAATTCTTATAGTCATGGACAGATGTCTTGAAAATGAAGTGCTATTAAAGTATCATTTATGTAAATTTGCATGGGAATTCATAAAGAGGGATACGTAGAAAAATAAAAATCTCATTTAAGTTTGCACCTGGTAACCATGAATCCCGAGCTTCACGACGTCAAAAATTATATAGAATACAAGGAGGGGGTGTAAAATAGTTTTACGGTTTTCCAAAATATAATAAAAAAATGATCAGGAGCTGGGTCCAACCTTATTTTAAAATCTTTCCCTCTTTCTTTTTATAAAAATAACCTTTTTTTATTTTAAGTTTACGTATTTTCCTTTAGTTTGAAATATAAATTTAAAAATAATTCAGTAAGAACATGGGAAATCTTTTAAAATCCCACAATTACTGGATCTTTTCTATAAGCGAAGTAGATCTTCATATCTCCATATCCTTCATCTACAACTAAATACAGTGTATTACCTGTTGAATTTTTTTGTCTTTCAATTTGAAGACTCATATTGTGAACATCGCTGTTTAATTGGACATCCATCTGGTTAACTGTAAGCAAAACTTGGCGCATCATCGTCTCCATGTCGTGGATCTTTTTCTGAGTGCTCATTTCAAGGTCACGGACTTTCTCTGTTAGAGTGACATTACATTCATCCAGCTCTCTTTCTATGGCATCTATCTTGTCGTAAATATTGTAGGTACCGACGCCTTGACTGCTAGCAGAGGACGGATTTGCATGACCGTCCAAGAGGAAGGCAGTACTTTCATTTCCAATGCAATAAATAACAATCAAGCAAGTGAATTTCAGTAACATGGCCGTTCGCTGACTATATCCCTTTATGTGTAAATTAAACAAGAGTTATATTTCCAAGTCTCTTTTATAGAAACTTCTGATCGCAGAACCTGCAGATGCCAGTGGTGTCGTGTCACCATTTTTGTGAATCAAAGAATGAACATGTCATACAATGAAAAATTAATTGTTCAATCATTAAACTATGCTGTTTGAGATAAAATAATAATACCGGGTAACGGAAAAGCAAATGTTAAATGAAAATGTGATATCAAATTTATATTGTGCTCACGTAGATTTGGTCTTATCATTTGTCATGTACGATGTTTGATTAGTAGCCTTCCGAGATTTAGTCTTTCGATTGTTACATTGAAGGGGTCCTTAGCTGATTTTGGAGAATCTCACAAATTTGCAGGCCCTTGGGAACCACAGGCACCAAGCTTTCTTGAATTTTTTCCCCCTAGTACATTTTAAACATATACTGGGGGGATTCAAGCGAGTTTGGTGACTGTAGTGGGAACCAAGACACGACCAGCTAGGAACACGTTAAGGTCCTAGACAGTACTGTTGTCAGAAACCTTTAAAGTTAAGCACTGAAAATGGCTCGTGTCATGAATATTCAGGTGAGATTATGATAAAATCCGTCCAGTGTTATTACTTGAGAAGACAGGTCATGAGTAGTTTTTCATTTTTCAAGTTAAATTATTTATAACAAATCTGACATTGTAATTGGAAACAGGATTGACACCCTTTTTTTGGTGTTGTATGAATTTCAGCTACAAAAAAAAGAAGTAATGAATCGAATGTAAATGTAGAGTTGGCTTTGGCGATTTTAAACCCTGTTGAAATTAAAAGAGGATTTTTTGAATTTTCCTACTAAAAGTTTTTTTTTGTATACAGAATATAATATACATACCGATTGGTGCAGACGGTATCAAGACAAGTCGCAAGTCTTTACAGAAAAGATAAGAACAAATTATTAAACTGAAAATTTTGATTTATTTCAATTTATGTCCGTTGTCATGACAAGATACGAAAATTTAGTCTGTTGTCATCGGTCCGTTAAAATTGTAACCACTTTACTGTATGGAAAAGATCAATCTGATGTCTGATGTTGGCATTCTTTAATTTTGATTACGCCATCGGGGTAGAGGGGAGTTGGAGTAGGGTAGGGGGCAGTGCCAACCAATCATTAGAAAGTTAAGTTATATTTATATCCTCTTTATTTTTATAAGCTAGATCTTCAGCCTTTGTTGGAAAGACAAGAGATTTTCAGTCCTTTTTCCTCAAAACTACGACCCCCTCCTTTTTGGTCCTAATTCTCTTCGTTAATTTGGATTTCTTTGCCTGGTTAAAGTGAAATGCATAAACCGGAGGGGGGTTAAATTCCGCTATTTCATCAGATTACATGTATGCTTTTAATGGCGCAAGTCAGGGTGGGAAAAATTAAACATAAGAAATATATAATTTTCCACCTAACGATCATTGCTTCACTCATAGGCATGTGATCGCCAACCAAAACTTCTCAAATTGTATTGCGGATATAAAATACAACAATCTTTTAATGGAATACTAAATGTTGTATCTGTTTCCCACACTTAAAATTTATTCTTAGAATTGGTAATAAATGTCATATTTTAGGCATTCTGTTTAATGATGACTCAATTATAGAATAATACAAAATATATTCAGCAGTCCAAGCAATCTGACTTTTTTTTTACATTTGCTGAAGTCCTAGCAATGGACGCAGTGAGATCGATTGATTGTATATTGTTTAACATCCCTCTCGAGAATTTTTCACTAATATAGAGACGCAACCACTTGCCGGTGGGGAGCTGCAAATTTTTTTCCTATTCTCGTCACTCAAGGCCCTTGAGCAGGGAGGGATCTTTTTTGTGCTAGCGCATTCTGCGACACGGGACCTTAGTGTATACGGGTCTCATCCGAAGGACCGGTCTCCACGTCCCACAGTAGAATTCGAACCCGCGACACAAGGATCAACTCCTTACTTAGCGACTCCACTGCGCCACGCAGGCGACGACGCAGTGAGAGAACTTGTGTTAAACACTTAAAATATACGTAAACAATCACATTAATATAATTTTAAAAAGTTTCAATCTTTGATACATGTAGTTGCAGTCGGAGCTGGGGTATGGTGCATTAACTGGGAGACCAGCAGTTTACTGAACATTTTTATATTTATATATAATTAAAATTTTAAAAATTTTATAGGAAAAATATGGATCTTCCATGCAACCCCCACTCCACCCCAGATAATAATATGCCTGAATTTAATGTTCACCTGAGTGGAATTCGCATTTGCTTTGAAGTAAAATAACTTCAACTATTTGCAGAATTTGGAATTTCCTGGTCTGTTTTAGCCCAATGTAAGAAGAATACATATTATGACCTGGATAATCAAGTGCAGATATATCCTGCTTAGCTGGATCTCATCCAGTCAGAGCATAGAATTTACTAAGTATTCAATCATATAAAAATTGATATAATTTGTTTATATCTATATTTAAATGAATGTATGTAAAGTTAGTTTGGAGCTAAATAAGAGTCCAAAATAAAGGACAACCTAAAAACCAGGCCAAAGGTTCAGGAAACAAACTTAGAAAACTTAGACCTAAGTCAAATTTTCTATCGCATATTAAATATTCATTTGAATATTGAGGGATTTATTTAGAAATTTGCAGATAACAAATCTTTTGAGAAGCAATATAGAAAAATATTTTAATTTTGATCGCCTCAACCTTTACAACATTTTATAATAAAATAAAGATTTTGACTCAAGCTTAAGATGTTTCATGACCCTGGACCAGGTCAGGTTTTATAGTATTTTTTATTATGCCCAATGCACTCAGTTCTTTGAGAGGATGTATGGATCCTTAACGATAAGCATTTCAGCAATGTTTTAAAAACTAACTAGATTTTACATACACCTGTAGTGGAAAAGTTCTTTTCGGTTATTTTCAAAATCCCTTTGTTTACTTTCCTAAATCCCAACAGAGTACCAGTATATAGCATTGAACAATCTGAGTTTTTTTTCCCGAAAAATTTAATTAATAATTTATTTCAGTGATATATCTATATCTCATTGATGATACCTGTAAATATATACATGTAGTATTATGTGTTTTTTAATGAACCTTGTACTTGTGGAGAGACCCTCACATAGGTTTTGCGTGCTGCCCAATCCATTTGTATATAATCACAGAATAAAATATTTTCAGATCAAATGATCAAATCTAATAGTAGCATACTATTTTAATATTTTGGAAATAACTGTTACTTTATTTTGACTCCAGTGAATATAGATGCAGGGTCAATAACGAGCGAATTACTAAAGGGTTTTAGATACATTTCATCGCCAATATCAAAGGTAATGAGCAAAGAAGCCGATGCGCTGTCGTGTTCACTACTTTCACTTATAAAAGCTCCTACAAATTGGTGACCGTTTTTGCAGATATGTACACCATTACAGGAACCTAGCATCGATTTTGAAAGTGGGGGGGCCAGCCACTGAAATTTTTTTTTTACTTACCTGAAAAAGTTGACAAGCAAAAAAAAAAAAAGGAAAATTGCCCAAAGTCGAAAATCCTATTTCGTGGGGGAGGGGGGGGGGGGGGATGTAGAGGCAAACTTTTTTCACTACCAATTCCTTTCGATATCCATTTTTTTTTTAGCTTACAATACTCTATTTCCTTAATATTACTTTACTTTATTATAAAGTGGGGGGGCCAACCAGCCTTTCAATGAACATTTTCAATAGTAAAAGTATTGTTGGCAAAAGAAAGTGGGGGGCCAGGCCCCTCCTGCCCCCCCCCCCCCCGTTTGCTACGTCCCTGCATTATAAGCTGTAGCAGATACCAATGACACTAGAAAGAGGTACAATCCCTGGATGGGACATGTAAATACTGATCCATTGAACGCATTCCCGGGGTTGAATATTAAAGAATAACGTATGATGTAGTCGAGGTGCTGCTCAACGTATCGGCAAAATTAGATGTGAACGCGATATCTGAAAGAGGTGGAATAGACTTGATGAAAATGGATTCATCGTCAATATTACAGATGAAAGGCTGGCATTAGTTATGTACTTTATATATACATATTATTACATCGTGGACCGTTATTGGTTTTTCTGGTCACTGGATATGTTGGCCACAGTTTAACATATGGTTAATGTCCAATTTTTGGTAACTTAAGGACCCTCTCTACACAAGTGCAATTGGACATTGAGAAAAATACATTGTATAAAGGAGTCAATTTTGAGCTTCTTTATTTAATTTTCACAGTATGTTGCTTGGCATTTACTCCCGGGAAAAATGTTCAAAGACAACACAGTTTCAGTGAATAGTAATGAAATCACTGTTAATTACTTTAATAGAGAAAATACATGTAAATAACACATTCAGTTAATTTTTCTTGGTCTTTTAAATGTTAAGAATACTCGAATTCATTACAAACTGTGTAATATATTGTAATTTTCTATTTTTTAGAATTTAGATCTAAGGGCAGATAACTCTAACGGCAGAAAAATACCTTAGAATCAGAACTCTTTAGTGTGCAGTGTATAGAGGGTTCTTCAGGACGTTCGATCCTGAGCTTTTGAGTGAATTTGGTTCTGTCGTTTATTTATAAAATTCTGTATCATTTTTAAGTTCTAACATAAACTTGTATGAATTCTACAATGCAAATTGAACTATATTCAGTGAAGAACCACGATTAAACTCCATTCAAGTAGAATTAAGCTAGGGACTATATTTTGTGGTGGAAGGGTTTTTTAAAGAAGGAAATGATAAGTTTTTTCCCTTTCGAACTATACCAGTACTGTTAATTTTAGATTCCTATTTTTCCATGCTGGTTGCACATATAGCTGTTTTTTTTCTTTGAAAAAGAAAATACAACTGAAAAATCTTTATTTAAAAATCTAACTATAATATAGTTGAACTCAGTATCGAAAAGGCAGTTGTTAATGATTACACGCACGAACACAGCAGGAGAGTAAAATATTTCATAATTGGGTTTCTATATATAATATGCTTACATAGATTTGATTTTAACATTTGTCAAGTGATGTTTGATTAGTTGCCACCAACTGAGATTTGGTCTCTTTTTCTACTAAATTGAAATTGTCTTTAACAGTTTTCGGAGAATCATTTGAAACCAAGGAACACAACGGTAGCCTAAACCCTCCCAATAATTTTACCAATACATACTAATTTAAGATTATGGAACACTTTCATTTAATACAGTAGTCTGATAACTTAAAAAAAACGTTGTTTAAAGAATTTATTTGCTTACCCTCCCCCCCTCCTGTAGTAAAGTCGCCGCTGTCTACATGTACACTCTGTTCATTTCTGATTTGAACTTGTTTTAAAATGATAGTTACGCACAAAAAGTCAACGTGATACGAGATGAATGGGACAGAAAATTGACAAGATTTGAACTCATAAAACTCCTTTTTTCAGTTGAATAAAAGAACCGAAAAATATATGTGATGTATTATTTACTTTTAAGACATAATGACAAAATATAAACATTCATATAAATATTTGATCGATGAAATATGTACTTCATTTGCTCATACTTTCTGAAAAGAAACAAAGAATTATTGCAACCTAGAAAAAATTTTTGCCCATATTCTGTTTTGCTCAGTAATGAACAAGAGAATACCTTAATGAATGAATTCTTTATACAAGTTGTGTCCAAGACAAATGAGTTCAGTTGTTGTTCCCTGAATGGTGATGGTCTCATCGACTTTCAGAACCATACCATCATAAAGACATCCATCTGTACATAAAATAGCAAATGCAGAAGTACTGTTATCCAAAGTACTATATAGAACCTGAAATTTATTATAGCAGTTAACCATACCTTGGCCATTTACAGTTTGTTTGGCATCACAGTCTCCACTGAAATAACAGAAACGTACATGTTTCTTATTTTTGAAACTTAAGAATTGAAACATATGAACAAATGGAATTTACAAGAGTATGCATTTAGATAAGATGAAGACATGGGCATGTACCGTATAACCAATGGTCATGTGACCATGTGGTCAACAAATTACATGTATCTGAATTTTTTCTCTGGGAATTTTATAAGCGCATTACTCAAAACTAAATACATTGGGTTTTTTTTAATTAAAGCATATTTCCCTCAAAAATGCTCACAGAATCTTACAATTACTAAAACTCAAAACATATTCATTCATATATACGAGGGTTGTTTGAAAAGTTCGTGGACAACTGTCATATCTTTTTTATTTGACGTCATATGTCAACCAAATTTGGTAGAAATATTCTAACAAAAAATCCAAATGATTTGTATTAATTTTTTTCAAAATATTACGATTTATTCAAAACTTATTCAGATTTAAGAATTGCAAAAATCGCATTGCGGAGCAGGTCAACATTTAGGAAATTATAGACAATTCACTAAATAAATTCTGTAGTCATATTCTCTGTAAAATGGAACAAAAACGAAAAACAACCTAGAAATTCAAATTAATAATAAATATATCGATTCGTATACCAAATTACGGCTTAATAAATTCCCTTGTTGAAAAGAAATGAACTTGAGAAGATAGGTAGTCCTAATTGAAAACGACAAAAAAGTGACGTTTTAGAACGTCACGGAGCAGCAGATAACGATGCAATTTTGTGTTTTACTCAGGAAAATTCCTGAATAAACTCTAAAAATGTTGAAGGAATCAAGAAAATATGTCACAAGTGAGTTGTGCCTGTGTGTACACGTAGTGCAGGCAGTATTTGACTGACAGAGACTCTGTATCGGATGAGGATAATCTGCGATGATATGGTTTAACTGTAAAAATCTTAACAAAAACTTTAAAAAGTTGGAACGTCAAGGAAAGACATAGGCGCTTCAGAGTTGCTTATCCTGTGAAAGCAGAGTTAAGTAACAAAAGAAATTAAAACCTTAACAAAGGAAATTATACAACGAGAGCAATTTTTAAAACATACATGTACATGTCAAGTATTAGAAAAAGAATTTAAGGAAGGAACATTGGATTATACTGTATGAAACATATAGGGATAGTATTTTTTAGAAATTTTTGACGCTATGTTTTGACGTAACAATGCCTTTAAGTGTGCTCCGCGGGTACAAAACATGTTGATTTTAAATTGAAGTAAATTAATTTCTGTTAAATCGAATAAAATAAAACTTCACACATCAACAAAACAAATATTTTTACATATCATAATGTGCTTATTTTAAATTTCTAGTGAGTAGTATAACGAAGATTGACATCGTCCACGAACTTTTCGAACAACCCTCGTATATAGAATCTTATTATAATAGCGTGATGTTGCTGAGATTATTTTCCCCCAAACAGGTCATTTTACCGAGGCTTGGTTTAATAAGAATCAAATGGAATAGACACGCCCATCAAACAAACACCCACCTGTAAAAGAATCGCGCTTCTTTTATCATTGAGCTTCAGCCTTGAGAGGGTTTACATAAATTCTTGAAAATGATATCAAATGAAGAATTAAAACAATTGGAAAACGATGTTCCCGTTACGCATCAATAATGTCTTTCTAACTTTGAATCTTGTTTAATCTGTTTATTTATAAGGAAGACCTTTCATAAATTATGTCCTATACAAGAATTTTCAATAATGGTCGTGTACTCATTATATTCAATTATAATTAGGAAATGACAATTGTAATATACTCCATTACTTACTCTGACTGTCTTCAGAACTTCTTGTCATGCGCTTGGAACAATTGCCGCTGAAAATGTCAAAAGAAGTTGTCATTTCAATTTACAACTCACAGCTGAAATTTTATTAATACTTTGATATGATTTAAAAGGGTAAAATGTACTAGAACTTACAACAAAGGCGTGATCCTGGTATACAGATTGCGACCCAGGCACGTGATTTCTCCGAAAGATCCACCGAAGACGATTTTGTCTATTTTCTGATAAACATGTCCACCAAAGAGAAACCCAGCTTTGCCTAGTCTCTAATCTACAAGGGGTCATTATTCTACTGGGGTCTTCTCTTCACCTGGGGTATGCAGATTTTTAGAGTGATTTCACTTTTTCTACGGGCTGAAGGGTAATTTTTTAACTTCGAGACGCCGGGGGTCATTCTTCATTCATTCGAATAAAGACCGGCCGTTCAAAAATGACCCCCGGTCATTATTATTTTATTGGCGTCATTATTGGTCTATATACACCGGTTCTAACGTTTTTCTGGAACGTTAATAAATGGCCTGGAAATTTTCAGAACAAGACCATATTTCGGAATAAAAGAAACATTTCAACGACGTTCGATTTTATCAGTAAGAACTTAAAATGCTCCTCATAACTTTCAAAAGCTCCTCCAGCTCCCCGATATTACTTCAAATTGACAGAATTAAAGAATTTGCTTTATTTAGAAAATGAATATACATCATTTTAATTCTTCGTGAATAATACTCAGTATTTCATACTTTGAGTTTCACATTTGTGGTACATTAATTTTACAGAAAATCTGCAATTAACAGGTCTAACGGAAATGATTTGGTTAAATAGTATATATCTTTAAAACTCTACGTATACATCATTAAAATGAATACAAGATATTTTAATATTTGATTTTAAAGAATGAATGTTAATTTATTTTGACTCCAGTGAAGGCAGAACTACCATCCAAATGGAGTGAACTGCCGTAAGGTCGTAGGTACACTTGATCGCCAATGTTTAACCTAATGACCACTGATGCAGATGCGCCATTGTATTGAGGACTTCCACCAGCATAAGCAAGTGTTAGTTGTTGAGTATTTTTGTATATCCATGCACCGTTAGTATTTGAATCAGATAACACTGACACATGGAAGAAATACAATCCTTGGATGGGACATGTAAATACTGATCCATTGTACGCATTCCCATAGTTAAACATGGGAGAATAACCTTTGATGACGTCATAGGTGCTGCTGTACGTACCGACAATTTTACCTGTAAATCCGATATCTGAAAGATATCAAATAGTCTTTTAAATGAAAACGTTGATTTATCATATATATTAAATTTGTGTAATTAACACTGACCCTTTACAACGTCAAAAATTACTTAAGAAGAATATATCGCACTGTAAACAAAAATGTAAGCAAAATATGTATAAAAGACTTAATAGCGTACCGGTGTTGTAGAGTAGGATTTCCCCATAGCCAGCTTTCCCCCCAGAAATCGTACTCTAGAGTAGGATTTCCCCTCGGGGGGAAATCTCACACCAGAGCCAAATTTCCCCTCTTTCTTTCTCATAGTAGGATTTCACCCCTCGTTATAGAGTCAATATAAACCACAGCCGCAATATTTTTGTGAAAAAAGGATAAACGATTAACTGATCTTTAAAAGCTAAATGAGAGTTCTTCTCGACTTATATTGTAAGAATTTTCTGAACGTATATTTCAAATCATGGAATCAACCAAAATATATAGCTTTCAAACGAATTGTTAATATTCTCGAAAATATTATGACGTTGCGCACGGTGTTGGTGTCATTTTCGGTAACGTCAAAATGACGTTATTTTAGTGAAGTTCTAGAAAATTAATTTGACGTTACTTTTTTGCTAACATTTTTTATGAAGGAAAAAACAAACCCAGTAATGCCGCCAATTATATAATGCAGGTCATTGAAAATATATGCATGTAATTAAAATCTCTGCCCTTTTGCAAGCATAGTATTGCGGAATCTATGAAATATAGGCATAATTTGCTTAAAAAGCTTGGTAGGAATAATAAAACTTAAACGACATCGCATTTTAAATTTACATGCTTTTTATTTAATTGAGATAAATTCAAAACAATTCCATATCATATCAGTAGGCGCTAGAACCTGTCCTTTGTTTTCAGTAAATTGTATGGTTGCATGTAGATATGTTGCTGATTTAACATTGAAATTTTTTTTTCTTTCAAAGTCCCTATTTCCATCCCATCTTTAACCCCCACCATCACTCAGACCCTTACATACCGAGTACCTGTATCTAACAGTAGATCTAAATATTTCAAATAATTCAATTTAAAAAAGGAGAGGAATCGAATCTGAGAATTGACCCCTCCCTCATTTTAACTTGTCCATGAAAAGAATTTTCGATGAAGTGCAGTTTAGAGGCGTCAGTTGTATTTATTCGAAAAATATTTCAGTTTTCTCTCCCCTTTTCATCCCCCCTTTTTACATGCGTTGCAACGTATGTGTCTAGCACACAGATCAACGATTGTAGGTTTCATACTCCTTTGGTTATCAATGCAGTTTACCTGCTTTTTGTGATTGTATGCCTTTTTCATACTTATAAATGGAAGTAAAGAGTGATTCAAGGAGCGTTTTTTGTATGCTTTCATCAAGATTCAGTTTTAAATAATTAATTGATGTTGATGTTGAGGAATTTTGGTGCCGGCGGGGTCAGATTTTAATCAGATTAAGAAGATTGTATATAGCCATTATCCTTTCCCATATATGAAGGATATGGAGATAAACTAGATCTTGATTAAATGAATGGTTACTTAGTACCATTTTGGTCGGTTTAAATGAGCTAAGAAGCATTTAAAAAAAATAAGAAAAATTGAAACATTACTCAATAAATTATGAAAAAGGAAGGACATTGTTTACAGGCACGTAGCAAGGGGGCGTGCCCCCCCCCCCCCAATTTTTTAAACATAACTTTTACTATTGAAATGTTCATTGAAAGGCTGGTTGCCCCCCCCCTCCCTTTTTGGCAAAAGTAAAGTAATATAAGGGTAATGTAGTAATTGTATGAAGAAAAGAAAATTTGATACTGAAAGAAGTTTGCGTTGCGCGTTGAAAGAAGTTCGCCTACCCCCCCCCCCCTTCCCCAAAGGAAATAGGATTTTCGAGATTGTGCAAACAAATTTTCCTTTTTTTGGCTTGACAACTTTTTTCCGGTAAGTAATTTTTTTCTCCTGCTGCACCCCTCTACCTTTCAAAAACGATGCTAGCTACGTCACTAGCTTATGACCAAATATATTAATGAAAACTATTTTTATTCAAAGAAATAATGCAATAAACTTGATCTCGCCATAACCTGTTTCAAAATGTCGTCAATTTCGAATGTAAACACCTACTTCTTTTTTAACATGATGAAATACAACTTCGTTTTATTTCATACGATGCTACCGGGTTAATGACAAAAAAAACTAATTTTCAAATTATGAAGTGAAAACATGATACTTTATCTACATCACAACTTCCAACACCCCTAACCCTTATTCAATATTAGACTATTCAATGTAAACTCGCCATGTATAGAACAGTTTACGCCAGCATCAAATAGAGTTGACCCACTTATCTGTCAGGTAATTCAATTTAAAATCACACCCTTACATAAATTTTGGTTTGATTGATTTTATTCTGGTGTCTTAATTCGAACTCTGAATGGTACTTTTGTACAGATTTTTGACAAGGATATATACTGATACAGTGTACTAGTATACAGTGTACATGTTTTGCTTTTATATATAAATACAACTGTCAAAACTTAAAACTATTCTTAAAATTAATAATGATTGGTGTAGTTTTCTTTTATCCATATCAGGCTCATTAGCAATAAGAGTAAAATTTTGGAGAGAAAAAAATCTTTTGACGTTTTAGATTACATTTTATGCACTGAACTTAATAACGTACGCCAAAACGCCATATTTTTACGTCTGTGACATAACATGTTGACTTTTATTTTTTGGTAGGATTTTGTCACCATTCCATTGAAATTAATTTGGAATATACTAATAACTTTTTGAAGAGATGCACATTTCATAAAAATCCTCTAATTTTCAATATTTCTATTTTTAATGAATACTTATACGATTTATGTCACAACATTTATGCAATTATAGTTAGATTTATTACTTTTGGGCAATGTGTGACATTTATTGTTGACTTTGTAAAAACCCTCTAGAATCAATTCATTTTCATATCTAAGTAAAGTTTTGATTTTGCACATTTAGTAATAAATGTTGTTTTGCAGCAAATTAGAAAAATTCATTCTTAACATGAAAGTAATTCATGGAGTGTAGCATTAAAATGTGACGTTTTTGCCGTAAAATTCAATTGTGACATATATAGCTACGTGTTGTACATATATGTGACATGGCAATTATTATCCAAATTTAAAATGCCGCAAGTTAAAATTCTGTCTAGAGATCTTTTCCTTAATAACATGGCAACATTTTGTAGAATTTAAAACAAATTTCAACATTAATTTTTCACCCAGCATTGGGGATTTTATGAATCTTAAAAACTTTGTGACATTGAACGTCCAAACTTTGTGACACACCATCTTATTCCATATATTCAAAATTAATCGGCTTAATAGCAGAAAACCAACATACATATCCACACAAACGATCAGTCTAATTTAAAATATACTTCCTTGCACACAAAAAGGATTATTGAGATGTAATTTCAAAATTGATTAAGCTCATGAAATTATTTTTTTAAGTCACCGAAGACTTTTTATGTGTATCCCATATTTCGCCGATTTACGCGCGTCTACACCTCTGTTTTGGATTTTGAGCGACGCGTTCGGAACATACGGATTGAATAACATCACAATTGCTAGAATTTACATCATTTACATCATATTTTGAATTTTTCTTCCAAATTTCATGCTTGTATTGTTTGTTTTATTGAAGTTATCAATATTTTGTTATTGCATGTGCGACGCTCCTGTTACCCGTCTACATGCGTTTTTTGACGTAATTGTCTGAATAAACGAATTAATATATTCGATAAATGGAATTTTTTGAAGAATATTTTTGTTAAAATGTATTAAGTATACAATTACCGACCGAATGATATACAGTTTTCATATGGTGAATTGTTTTAAAATTATGAAAATAGGGCAAATGCCGCCGCAGTAGTAATTTTTGACCTCTTGACACCAACATCGTGCGCGACGTCTATGGATTGGAATACATTTTTTGACCTATTTGGTTGTAAATGATTATAATAAAAAAAACTCTCCAAGGGAGGATTAAAATAGGCTGAGCCTGAGCCTGCTGCCCAGTCCCATTCGCATTAACATCAGTGAATAAGATCTTGTTGAAAAAATAATAACAATAAACTTACTATAAAATATTTAGAAATTGTAAACTTACTGTAATGTTAAAATTTCCACCTTTCTGTAACCACCCTTATTAATCTACCAAAAATTAGTTCAATATCTACAGCCGTTTAGAAAAACATTAAGGAAAACTGTTAATAAATATTGAAAACGTCGTAATGTTTTTAAAAAAAAAATTAAGCGAAACGAAATGCAAAGTTAAACTTTAACTCTAATTAAGATATACTCCTTTGCCAAAATCCTACTCTGGAGCCAGTTTTCCGAGGGGGGGGGGGATTCTACTCTAGAGTCAGTTTTCCGGGGGGGGAGAGAGATTTTACGGGGGAAAGCCTACTCTACAAGACCGTTATTCATTTCAGAAAACTATAAACATTATGGAATAATTTTTTGTTAACAGTTTTTTTTTAAATATTAGGTTAGTAGGAGTAAGGAGACAGTCCCACCGTAAAACTCTATTTCCACTACTATTAATACGTAACCTCTAAGATTTCTGCAATTAACACTAAATTAGTAGAAAACAAGCACATGCAGGCCGTAATATTTACCTGTTGAATTTTTTAGGTCATTGGAGACTACTTTCTTTAGTCTTTCAATTTCAAGACTCGTGTTGTAAACATCGCTGTTTTCCAGTTTGACATCCATCTGATTAACTGTAAGCAAAACTTGTCGCATCATCGTCTCCATGTCGTGTATCTTTTTCTGAGTGCTCATTTCAAGGTCACGGACTTTCTCTGTTAGAGTGACATTACATTCATCCAGCTCTCTTTCTATGGCATCTATCTTGTCGTAAATATTGTAGGTACCAACGCCTTGACTGCTTGCAGAGGACGGGTTTGCGTGTCCGTCCAAGAGGAAGGCGGCACTTTCATTTCCAATGAAAGAAATGACAATGAAGCAAGCGAGTTTCAGTGATTGAAACATGGTCGTTCACTTACTAGCTTTTTATGCCTTTTAAACCAGTATCATTTTCCCAGGTCTCTTTTATATGACTTTAGATAGCAGAATAATGCAGGTGCTAGTGTCGTGTCACCAAAAAAAAAAAATTATCAAATAAATCAAAACATAAACATGTCATACAGTGAAATATAAATTGTTCATTGTTTAAGTATAATGACTGAGATGAAAGGAGAAAAAACGTCTTCTATCAAAAAATCCAACTTAAAATAATAATACAACCGAGTAACAGAAAAGCGAATGTGAAATGATTAAACGCACTAACACGACAGGGGAGTTAATGTTTTTAATTTTGAGTTTATATATATGATGTGCTTATAGATTTCGTCAGGCCGAGGTTTTCAACCGTACGGTTTTCCTCAGGTAAGTTTGGTGGGTGGAGCTTAATCGAAGCGGCTGAGAAGCCCCGAGGGAACGACGCTGGTTTGTGTATACTACCTATATACACAGGATGTTACCTGAGACCCTGAGTGTATTACCTGTATGTGTTTTCCTACGACTTTGTAAACCGAGGCCGGTTTTTTTCATGTTTAGCTCATGAATTGAAATGCGAAATAAAGCATTTTTTGTTGCAGACAGAATCCTTCTCTATTTCTTTCTTTTAAAATAATTAATATTTTTAATAATTCGACATTTTTTTTTACATACAGTATGTTTCTTAATGAAGTGTAATAACGAAAATACATTTAGCATCAAAATCTGTCGTTGTAATCTGGCGACAAAAAGGGAAGTAAATAATTCAAATTACACGTCGTCTACGCAAATCGAAAGAAGAAAGTGAATCATAAAACAGTCTCTACGTAAATGAGAATGAAACTTAGAATCGATGTTTTGAGAATAAAATGTTAAGTAGAAATATTATTGTCTAAATAAATATCTTTTTAAGATAAACCCTACTTGATTTTTCCATAACGCATGGTTGGGGTTGATTCCCCGACAGCTATGAAACGGGAAAAGAATCATCTGCATCTTTTTTTTCTTTCGGAATTCATTATTAATTTCAAACATTAAAAATCCAAAGCAAGATGTTATATTCCGAGTGATTTCTCTTCTAAAACTTATTATTATACCGTAACTTCGTCACTATGCCTCGAAGAAAAGTGACACGTACAGCAAGTTTGTCTTATAAATATAAATTCGCTTGACTCATGAACAATGTTACAATGTTGTCATACTTGTTTTAAAAAATAATTTTATTTAATTCCATGATACTAGCTTCAAACGCAGGTCGGTTTATTTTGTTAATTAATGGAGGAATAAATGTACATTAACTCATGTTTTGACACGGAAATTAAAATTATCGATTGTAATCGTGATACGAAATCCTCCCTTTTAAAATTAATTTTATAATATATATTATATAGCCATGATTTTCTTGTTATTTATTCAATTATTTGATAGATTGATTATATTCATGGCATATTCTTATGAATTAAAAAAGAAAAGAACGATTTGATTGCTTCTTTATCACGTTGGCATACAGTGCAGTAGGCATCAAAAGTCTGAAAGTTAATTCGATGGTCGGTTCGATCTCCAGACAAGGTACACAAGATATACACAACAGCAGCAAACTAAATGTCAATCAAATCAAAGTATCCAATCGCAGGCTTAATTTCAGATGATTGACAGAGGTTCTAAAACCAGGTAAATTTGAAGGAGGTGCTTATTTCCTCCCCCTTTAAACATTTGTCATGTGATGTTTGACTAGCAGCCTACCAACTGAGATTTTTATTCTCTCGTTGATTAAGTTGAAATATGGTCCTTAGCAGGAGGATTTAAAATATAGTTTGTTATCCCTCCTTAGGTAATAACAATAGCCTGATTACACTTTTTAAACATTTTCCCCAAGCTTATTAAAGTATATGTTCGCTTACCCCCCCCCCCCCCTCCATCTTTTGGAGTCGCTGTCAACATCTACATTCCTAATTTGTACTTGGTATGATCGTTACGAACAGAAAGTATACGTGATACAAGCCAGGGACAGGAACACCCCCATCCCCCCGAATATACATCCTGGATCCAAAGATACCGTGGATATGATTTTTTAATAAAACTTTAACTCAACGTTATTTTTTGATTTTTCATGTGGAATACAATGTAAATGTGTACTAGAAAATGAAAGAAGATTAATAAAAATATATTTTGGACCCAGGGGCGGGTGTCCACAAGCGTCTGTGGAACGATGGGAAATAATGACAAATTGATCAAAAGACTTAGTGCTTATTTTAGTTGAAAAAAAAAAAACGTGAAATATTTATATGAGATAAACAAGTAATTTATTTTAAAGTCATAATGACAAAATATAAAAAATATTTGATCGATGAAATACCGGTATGTATGATACTTCATTTGCTCACAATTTCTGAAAAGAAACAAAGAAGGATTATTGCATTTGCCAGAGGTAAATTTTGTCCATATTCTGTTTCTTTCAATTATTACATGTAACAGTGTACCTTAATGAATGAATTCTTTATATAAGTTGTGTCCAAGACACATGAGTTCTGTTGTTGTTCCCTGAATGGTGATGGTCTCGCCAGCTTTTAGGACCATACCGTCATAAAGACATCCATCTGTACATAAAATAGAAAAAAAGCTAAAGTAATGTAACCCAAAGAACAAGCAGACAAAAAGAAATCTACAAGTATACGGTTAAACTATATTACCCTGTCCATTTACAGTTCGTTTGGCGTCACAGTTTCCACTGAAATTATAGACAAGTACGTGTTTTATTCTTTTGAAAATAAAGAGTTGAATCATATGAACAAATAGAATTTACAAGAATGTGCAATTGGATGAGATGAAGATATGGGCTTGTAGTCCTATAATCAATGGTCATGTGCATGTGGTTAACAAATTATCTGAATGTTTCTTGGAATTTTATAATCACATTGCTCAGATTTATTATTATTTTCAATTAAACAAGCATATTTCCTTTAAAAATGCTCACAGATTCTGACAAATACTAAAAATCAAAACATATACATTGACATATAGAATCTTACTATAATGGTGTAATGTTGCTGAGGTTATTTTTCCCCAAACAGGTCATTTTTGCAAGGCATGGTTTGATAAGAATCTCCTCCCCAGTGGAATAGACACGCCCATCAAACAAACACCCACCTGTAAAAGAATTGCTCTCAATGAACTTGAGACAGTTAACATAAATTTTCGAAAGTGAAATCAAAAAGAAGACAATTGGAAGGCAATGTTACGCATACAAATTCCTTGTTCTCTTGTTGTAAATCGAAATATACTTACTCTGCCCGTCCTCAGATCGTCTTGTCATGGTCTTGGAACAATCGCCGCTGGAAATATCCCAAGAAGTTGTTACATGTATTTCAACGAATTAAAACTCACAGCTGAGATTTGATAAATACTTTGATATGATTTAGAAATGAATATAATGTGCCAGAACTTACAACAATGGTGTAATACTTGTGTAGAGATTGTGACCCAAGCATGTCATTTCTCCGAGACACCCACCGAAGACGACTTTGTCCATTTTTTGATAAACATGTCCATCAAAGAGACACCCAGCTACAGCGAAAAAAGCATTAGTTCTAGATTTTTAGAACGTGATTGTAATTGATCATTTATTGCTGTTTTCAACGGTATTAAGTCAGTGTTATAGTCCAAGGGGAATCCGATTTGAAAGAGAACAGGGAAATACATGTATTTTGAAAAAAAAGGTCAAAAGTTAATGGGGTGCCTTTTTGCTACAATAAGTAGAAAATACAACATTATATATGCATTTATTTGCTTCTAATGGCTCTCAAAACTTCCACCAGTCACTTACTTTGGCCATCGTCTGATCTTTTATCTGGACAGATGCCCCTATAAAGTAAATCATATTTAGAAAATATGAACGATTTCAATGTTATTGTCTCTATAACTTCTTGTTCTAAATGTAAGTGCTTCAAGTCTGGTTTCGCCTGTTGTGAACATCAATTTTTTTTTTCATTTTCATCTCTTTTAAAATCCACGGAAATCAATTGATTTCAGAATTATTAAGTTTGTTACCATAAATGATAATCCTTTTTTTTTCAAAATTAGCATATATTTAAATTTCAAAATTTAAAAAAAAATCCAAAAGACTGATAATTTCAGTGCTATTCAGTAAGAATACTTTTTTTCCAATAGCTTTGCTGAATTTAATTTTACCCCCATTGTTGAAGGTCGTCCCAGAGATCGTTTCCTTTACATGTCATGGCGCCGAGACAGTGCTGGATGACGACCTGTTGTCCCACTGAGTACTCCCTGCCATCAAAGTTACATCCTGCAATTGTGTAGTTTGGTTTATATATGTATTATGGAAAAAAGGCTTACCTTTTAACTATTTGAAACAAAACATTTTTTGTTTCCATTGTCGCCCAGTCCAGGAAATAAAGTTTGTATGGATTATTTTTCAATACAACAATGTTCTTTTTTTACAATCAATGCAACACTAATCATGGAATAAAGACAGATCCGTTTTTGGCTTTTTTAAAAAAATAACTTAATTAAAAGTAGGAAGTTTTAAAGACAAGAATAGTCAGCTCTTTAAATTGTTATTAGATTTTGATTCTCTGTCTAACTTTATGCCTCTTACCATGTTCAGCATTTGCAACGGAGAAAACAACCACCACAATGAAGGCTAGCATCTCGTAAATCAGCAAGACTTCTGGGAGGGCTGAACAGAAAGAATTGTAATAGAAGTGAGTAGTCGTCTTTATATTTGTACTCACGTGTATGACCATGCTTGTAGGTTTGTGTAAGGAAGATAAGAAATCATGTGGTTCCTATTTTAATCAAGGTCGTAATTCCAGAATACGGACAGTTAAAATGATTGGTATATAGATATGGAATTGCAAAAATTTATGAACGCATTCAATGATAACATGCAGGACCATATGTAGCTTTAAAATAAGAAAGGGGAGACACATATACGAAACATGTGCTGTGTAAAAGAAAACCAGATTTCAAAGCGCATTTCTGAAAGTGTTATTTTGCTTTTAAAATGTGTTGTTATGATATTTTTTATGTAACTTATACCTTTATGAACAATGAAGTATGGCGTTTTGAACGTTGCTATATTCTATAATCTTACTGAAAGCAAGGACTTTAATTATAATATCAAATTAAACAGTAGGCATTTTAATTTTTCTTGGATTTTGAAATAAAAAGCCGCATTAAAGCACAGCCCTATAGCCCGGATTTGCTTTAGACCTTTAGTCTAAATTATTAGTCTATAGTCTAATAATTTCAGTGTATAGGCCCATATATTTCCTTTGATTTCCGCAGATTTCTTGCATTCATATAGCATAACTCACGATGTGACCAACCAAAAGGGAAACTTTGTAAATCAAAATTAATGAGAAAACATCGATTTAATTTTAGCATGCATGTATAAATTGTACTTAATGCCTCAAGAATTCAGATTTGATCGAACCACATGTAATTATTGTGCTTACATAATTAAAGCAGGACCCTGTATACAGTAAAAGATCTCCCCTCCGCCACCATCCTTTTCCGTAAACTTCTGTTTGTTTGAATTTCATTGCCAACGTACAAATTCTTTCGATATAATATTTAGACACAAAATGATTTAAATTGATTTTTATTTATTAGGCTAAGCGAAATGCATGAAACCCAAAGAACATCATAACAAATAGATATACGTAACACTTTCAAAAATTATTTTAATATGCATAAATAATTTTAAATTCAGAAATAAAAAAAAATCCTTTAAAAGAGCAAAATGCAAATCATGACAAGGTATATGATCTTATACATGCATCTACACAAATTTTTTTTTACCATGACTCGTGAAATATAATTAAAGCCCTAGCTTCAACTGTTCAAAAGTTAATTATCACAAAGTTTTTTTAGAAAGTTTTTTTTTTCAAATGTCGATCAATCTCCAAGGTCAAAAATATAGGTATCCACCACATGTTCAAGCACTTATGCTAACTGTGTAAAAGTCAAGGTCAAATTTTAACTACTACATGTATAATAATTAGCGTCCAAAAAATCCTGTCAGTCACTGACATTTTCCTGTCGTTCCTTGACATTCTCCTATAAATCCCTGACCATTCCTGTCTACTCGCTGACTTTGTCTCTGACTACCCTGTCTATCCCCGATGTCTCCTGACATTAATACAATTCTCAATTAACCTTGGACTTTCAGTAAGCCGTGGCAATGGTACAAAAGTAGTGTCTGAAATTTACAGTTTTTCATTCAGTGTTGAAATACAAATGGGATAGAAACTTGGCGAATGTCAACGAGTATAGCAATTCTCCAAAACAGCGTCTCACACGACAAAGAGGTGGGGCTTAGGTCGTCTCATAGTTGTCAACAACAAATCTTAATTAAGTTCCTGAATTTATTAATTTCTTAAACAATGGGACTCTATTCATCATTTGACAGACTTTTTTTTACGTAGCGGCGAAAATGCCACACCTTACTGAACATCCAAGGTTAACTAAGAATTGTTCTATCTGACATCCCTGTCAACCCCTGACGTCCCTTATCTAAGTCCCTGAGGAACTTGTATTCCCATGTCTTCTCTTGTCATTTCTCTTAGGCAGAAAATGGCTAAAATGGGCAATAATAAACGTTCGTCCTGAATATTTTAAAGTTTTTCTTTAAATCATGTGAAATTGTTCAGATATGATTGTGACAACTAGATGTCAATCAGTGGCTTTACATGCTGTAACAACAAGATCCCAAGTTTCTGGTTGTGAAGTTTTTATTTGACAAATTAACAAATTAAACATCTGGCAAGTGGTGGCAGTCATATGCTACCAAGAGTCTGTCTTTGACAATTCATTTTCAATAGACATTTTTAGCTCACCTGAGCTGAAAGCTCAAGTGAACTTTTCTGATCACCCATAGTCTGTTGTCCGTCCATCTGTAAACTTTTCACATTTTCGATTTCTTCTCAAGAACCACTCGGCTAATTTGAACCAAACTTGGTAAGGAGATGAAGGGGAATTGAAGTCGTAAAATTGAAGGGCCAAGTCCCCTTACAAGGGGAGATAATCAAGAAAAGAAGAAAATAGGTTAGGGTCATTAAAATTTTTCTCAAGAACCACTGGACCAGAAAAGTTGAAACTTATGTAGAAGCATCCTGGGTTGTGTAGATTTGAAATTGTTAAAATCATGACCCCCTGGGGTAAGGTGGGGCCACAATAGAGAATCCAACTTTTGCATTGAAATATATAGGAAAAATCTTTAAAAATCTTCTTTTCAAGAACCACTGACCCGGAACCTACTGTGACATGGGACCTCGGTTTATACAGTCTCATTCAAAGGACCGGTCTCCATGTCCCACAGTGGGATTCGAACCCACGATGTAAGGATCAACTCCTTACTTTGCGACTAGAGCAGACGTTGTAACCACTGCCCCACGAGGGTGACACCTTAGAGTTTGGCTTAGTTTTTTTAAAATATAACCTTTTCCATAACTGTTGACCATGCAGTACTAAGGCTTTTATGTTTCATTTATGTTTATAAAAGGTGTATAAAAATAAAACCGGATCCGTAAAAGTATGGGCCTTCCTTAAATATCTCATTTACATACTCTTTTGGTTGCGATTGTAATATACCTCACAAATGCGTGAAAAAAGAGAAAAGACTCGGTCAAAGTTTAATTACGTTTAATCCAAAAAAGTATTTAGTTCAATGAAAAAAAAATGGTCCATGGGTGCGACAATTTCTTTTAATCTAAAACCATTGGACACACCGAAAGATCCTTTCAATCAATTGTCTCCCCTTGTCTGCCAGAACCTGAAATGAAATATATTCTTCTATAAATAAAAACAATAAATGTAGGTATATCAGGTAAAAATATACACGAATGAATTAATGATTTGTATTATCTATATCAGAATTGTACCTTTAATGCCCTTGAAAGTGTTCTCTTTTCCGTTGAACTTGTCTTTTCTTCCCTTTTCACCAAATTCTAAATCGTAAGAAGAGAAGTTTGAATGCTACACAAAATAAGAATTTGCTTTACTTTATTCTTATTAAGAAATTCTTAATTCTTGTTATCTTCATAAGTTTACGTTTAAAATCAAGGATAAAGACTGTCTACATCAGCTATAGCAATGTCAACTGTAAAACATTATTGTGCCCTTACCATTAGTTCATTGTGGACATTTTTCAGCAGACCTGCGTGCATTTTCTTCGCCTCATTCCTCTCCTTCAAAGAAAAAAAATTGGTCACTTAATTGTTTTAAATTATATTTTTTGATCATGAAAACTAATGCAATTTGCATACATCTAGGACCTACCGAGTTCGTTGTTTCTTACCAGCATTTGTCTGTGTGCACCCGGGATCAGTGCATTAGTCTGTTGTTTCGTCTCTATATTCTTCTGCAAAGAAAAAAATGTCTTTATATTAGATATTTAATGATCTTATTTTCTGCTTTTTTTTCTGAAAATATTTGTATACTTGTTTGTTTGAGTGTGATTTCTTACCATAAGTATGTTATGTTTGTGTTTCAATATTTTCTGCGGGTCTCTCTTTTCCTGTTCTTTTCGTTTAGCATTGAAAATTTTCTGTAATAAAACAAATGGTTGTACAGAATTCTACTTATTGCCGGATTTTTGTTTAAAGTATGTTTTATCACGTGCTGATCATATTTCTATATCCATATTATTCTATATGCTTACCAACAATTCCTCATGCACTTGGTTTAATAACTGCTTATGTGTCCTTTTGTCTTCGATTTCCCTCTGCAAATAATCATCAACAGTTTAACGTTTTGTTCATTTTTTTTATACAAATGGAACAGGCCTAGGAGACTTTTTTAACTAGCAAAATGAAAGTGCTTAATTCTTTTTTCTTACCATTCGTTTTTGGTGCATTCGTTTTAGAATTTTTTGGGGATCCCGAGGTGTTTTTCCTGCAATCTTTGTCTGCAAAGAAATAAAATGGTCTTTTCTAGCATCTCCATTGAAACGCATCTTAATGTTTCAACTTATTCATGATTTCTTTCAACGTGCAGTGGTCAAAACTTTACAGCTATGATATGTAAATCATGTTTAGTAAGATTTTTAAATGTTGAGATCGCGGTACTTCAATCAAAATACCTCTTGCTTCTCCGACTCTTCTACAACATCGATCCAATTGTATCCAAGCTTTAAGATTCTCATCTTTTCATCCTTATAAAAAAAAAGATAGGTTGATAAAAAATCGGTGTAAATAATTTCATTATCACGTTTTTTAATACATGAATTCATGATCTTTGAATTGGAAAGCCTATACATACATGCACGATTACATTCATAACCCATGAAATAACAACGATATGATGCATATAAAAATAAACGCTTGTTAGTTATTGAAGCAAAGATTTTTATATTATACTCAAGAATTTTTTTTTTATAATACACTACAGATTAATTAATTGATTCTTAGTATTAGATATAGAATAATAGTATAGATGATGTACACAATGCATTTATCATATAAAGATAAGAAGGGGGTGTCTTTGAATGATTGTCAAATTCAACAAAGAATCTTACCACACTCTTCACCGCCTCCTCGCCAAAATCTAACACTTCGTTGTAATCTATTTCTAATGCCATTCTGAAATTTACAAGAAAAATTACAATTCGCAAGTATTTATTGTTATAATGAAAAAAATTCAAAATAAACACAGAAATTTGATTGTAAAAAAAATGTGGACATGAAATAGAACTTTTATACATATAAATGTTTATTAAAATACTGGTAAATGTCTGCATGTTGTTTCTAAATATCAATAACCCTCCCCCCCCCCCCCCTTTTAGCACTATTATTCGCTGGATACTAATGTGTTTGTATATGCAGTCGATGCATATTTAAGGGGGTGAGCTATATTTTAATATATAGGGTTTGGTTCCTATATGTTCTACTCAGATAAAGACCGTACGGTGCTAATGTCTTGCACATTTTATAATTGGAGGGATATACTGAAAACACCCAGATGACCCAACTAAAATTAATAAAAAGATAGTATTGCCAGTTGATAGTATCCCCAAGAAAGGAAACATCGGTATTTTTTAACAGTAAGAAAACTAATTCGTAAATTCACTGAATACTTCAAAGAGCGATATATGTTAAGTGTCTCAATTGGCAAAATGAATATCTTAATTTTACTTTATATATAGCTTTAATTTGTACAGCTCAAATTAATAAAAAGATAGTATTGCCAGCAGGTCCTCCCCGAGAAAGGAAAAATCGGTATTTTTTAACAGTAAGAAAACTAATTCGTAAATTTACTGAATACTTCAAATTTGTAATACTTACATTGTACACCTTTCTTTTGTTTTGGTTGCAAAGCAAATGATATTGTGATGTCATTAGGTCATCGTCAAAGACCTCTGAGACGTCACATTATTATGACGTCACGATAAATATTATATATTTGCCTATACTGTAATAGGCTTACATAAATTAGGATAAAAACATAATTTTAAGGGATTTTATATTTTTAAAAGTATCTCATTATTAAGCGTTTTATTACCTCAATTTGCCAATATTTGTTCGTCTTTAAAATGCGACTTTTTAAAGAATAAATTGGTAGAAACTGATTTAGCTAAATAAACACTTACCTTCTCTTCTTGTTGCAAAACAAATGTATTATGACATCATGTCATTGTGTCAAAACTTCTGAAGCGCCACCTTGCCATGACGTTGCAATGCTTCGATTTGGGTTGGGTTGGGTTGGGTTGGGTTGGGGGGATTATACTAATGTTTTTAGCTCACCTGAGCCGAAGGCTCAAGTGAGCTTTTCTGATCACATTTTGTCCGTCGTCCGTCTGTCTGTTAACTTTTCACATTTTTGACTTCTTCTCAAGAACCACTGGGCCAATTTTAACCAAACTTGGTACAAAGCATTCATAGGTAAAGGGGAGTTTAAATTCTTAAAATGAAGGGCAAAGACCCCTCATAAGGGGAGATAATCAAGAAAAAACAAAAATAAGGTGGGGTCTTTAAAAAATCTTCTTCTCAAGAACCACTGGGCTAGAAAAGCTTAAACTTATGTGGAAGTATCCTTGGGTAGTGTAAATTCTAAATGATTAAAATCATGACCCCCTGGGGTTGGGCGGGGCCACGATAGGGAATCAAAATTTTACATAGAAATATATTGAAAAAAAAACTTTAAAAATCTTCTCAAGTACTACTGGGCCAGAAAAGCTGAAACTTATGTGGAAGCATCTCTGGGTAGTGTAGATTTTAATTTGTTAAAATCATGACCCCGGGGGTTGGGTGGGACCATAATAGGGAATAAAAGTTTTACATAGAAATTAAAATAAATAGGAAATAAATTTAAAAATCTTCTTCTTAAGAACCACTGGACCAGAAAAGCTGAAACTTATGTGGAAGCATCCTTGGGTAGTGTAGATTCTTAATGGTTAAAATCATGACCCCAGGGGGTTGGGTGGAGCCACAATAGGCAGGGTTCGACACTAACGCTAGCCCGCTGGCCCGGGACAACTGGATACTGAGGTCGGGCTACCAAACATGTCTTTAAACTTGCCCTGCAGGACTACAGTAAATTTTACCAATTACTCACTATTCACTAAGAGTAAGAAAATAATTATAATTTACAAACAATATATCTGAAAATTGTTAAATTTATTTTCAAACATGTTTTATCATCATAATTATTATTTTTGTAAGTCAAAATGTTAACTTTAAAGGTGATTCAAAATACCCTAAATGATTATAAATATGGAATTTTTCAAATAGAAAAATGTCTTAGGTACAATCATAGAGTGACATAAAATTTTTACCCAAAATACAGCCAGAATGCAGGATTTTGTATCTCTTTTTTCAAAATTTCCTGTACCCCCACCTGCAGGAGGGGGAACCCCCCCCCCCCCCCCGTCGCTTCGCGACTTGGCCACCAGCCATGGCTGCTGGACAAGTAATACATGAACAGGGTTAGTAGAATTTTGAACTGGCTAACCCTGATGACAACTATGGTTTTAAAGTTAGTGTCTATCCCTGATAGGGAATCAAATTTTTACATTAAAATATATAGGAAAAAATTTTTAAAATCTTCTTCTCAAGAACCACTGGCCCAGAAAAGCTGAAACTTATGTGGAAACATCCTTAGGTAGTGTAGATTTTAAATTCTTAAAATTGTGACATGGGGGAGGGGGGATGGTACAGCGAGGCCACAAAGGTATTACGAGGGAGGAAATCGGTTAAAGAACGGCAACACCAATGTTACTCAGGTGAGCGATGTTGCCTATGGGCCTCTTGTCATTCTTAGACCCCCTCTCCTGGGCCTATTTTTAATGTTAAATACAGTCAACTGCTTTCTTGATGGTAAAGAAAAATTGCAGGAAATGACGATGGAATCAAATGACTGTAATATTCCGATGTCCTTTAATTAATTAAGAGATCAGAACATGACAAAATAACATAACATCAGGAGAATCAATTAATACAGATTAATTGATTAAAATACAGACAGACAGACAGGCAAAGACACAGGCTTTGTATCTGTATATCTCAATACAGATTTGATCATTTGTCTTGTCCTATAGGGACAACTATCCACAATGTATAAACAACACAAAAATTGGGTCTCACTTGAATTTAATCATAACAATAAAACCAAGTAAATAACAATATGTACTACGGATAACAAATAAATGAATATTAAATTGTTTAAAACATAATTTACAATATAAACTTAATGTTCAAGGTCCTAAATCCACAACCTTTCTCATTCAAATCCTATTCTATTGAATATACTGAAGGCAAATTGATCTCTTTTTGTAGAACTAAGGTAAAAAAAAAAATCACTAGTATTTCTATCTAATATGACATATATACAATAATTGTGGTTTATATCTGAATTTTCCTTTCAGCAAGCAATGATATTATGCACTTAGTATATTTGTTACATCTGTATGTTTGTAAATTTAAAATTTATTTGCTCTCTTTAAAACCTTTTGTATATTTCGACCTCTAAGAAAACCTTCTTGAAAAAAAAAAAGAAAAATTACAGTTGCTGTACATAAAATGAATTTGCTAATAATGCCACAATAACAACTGCAAGGTAACAATGAATGAATGTCCAATGCCTCTCAAGCTAGGTGATTATTTATGACATAATTATCAAACAAAAATCTAATCCTTGAATGAACTTGACAAAACAAAACAGCTTGGAGAAGTGCTGCACTGTTTTGATCACTGAATCACACTTGTGTTGATATGCCAACTGTTGTTCTTTATCCAAAGAGTTGTGGGTATTTATTCTTTATAGCATTAATCTGTAATAATAACCAGAAGTCTCTGTCGAGACTGAAGCTCTACTGGTTTGAACTTATAGCAAAGGAAGAGAAAAGTACACAAGTAGCTGGGATTTGAAACTAAATAGAATAATGATCGTTGATAAAGTCTCTTTATGTTCTTAGTGTAGTCTACTTGTGTGCCAAGTTATACCGAAATCAGACCAAAACTGTAGGAGGAGTAGCATTTTGAAACAATTTTACAGACATTTCTATTTTTAGTAACCACTGCAACACCGTTCATCAAAATTAAAATTCAATAAACAGAATTATGTATCTTAGTGTATTCTACTTATGTGCCAAGTTATATTGAAATCAGACCAAAACTGTAGGAGGAGTAGCATTTTGAAACAATTTTACAGATATTTCTATTTTTAGTAACCACGGCAACACCGTTCATCGAAATCAAAAACCGATATACAGAATTATGTATCTTAGTGTATTCTTCTTGTGTGCCAAGTTATAATGAAATCAAACCAAAACTATAGGAGGAGTAGCATTTTGAAAGAATTTCACAGAAATTTCTATTTTTAGTAACCACGGCAACACCGTTCATCGAAATCAAAAACCGATACACAGAATTATGTATCTTAGTGTAGTCTACTTGTGTGCCAAGTTATATTGAAATTAGACCAAAACTGTAGGAGGAGTAGCATTTTGAAAAATTGTTTACAGAAATTTCGGATTTTTAGTACGGACGGACAACACCGTTACTATCGCATAAGCTCTTCTGGTCTCTGACCAGTAGAGCTAAAAATGAACAAGGTATTAAATTTCTCCAGTATTTTGACTGGGTATCCAAGTGGATTGTGGTATATTCCACAAATTTTTCAATGACAACAAAATACAAATGTACAACAATATTTAGTGTAATTGACTTATTGCTAATGAAGCAAAAATATGTAAAGATATTTATACTCATGGAAAAATTACCTCTTTCTCAGCATGTTTTTTCTTGGTGAGGATGACTTGAGCTTTATGCATGTCTCCGAGTTTGGCTAAATGACGAGCCTCTTCTTCATACGCTGCCATGTCCTTCATCACAATCTCAACATAATCTGATAACAAAAACAACATTTTGTAACTTACCAGTCTCTTCATATGTAAATCTCTAAAAAATTTATAATTATCTGCCCCCCAGACAAGCCTTCTTCCCCTAATAGACATCTTCTGTCCCTTCTATAAACATTTTCTAATCAAATCCATTTGCCCCCTTCAAACCGGTACTTACTGAACTAACGGCACTCCCACAGACACTGCCCCTCCCATAGATACTTACTTCTCTCCTGCATACATTAACCCTCCTACACATATGCTTACTGTCCCTCCTAAAGACACTTACTGCCCAATCCCTTGACACTAACTGTCTATCCAAAAGACACTAACTGTCCCTACCAAAGACACTACTGCTTCCATAGCTACTAATTGTCCCTCCCACAGACACTTTCTGTCCCTCCCATATATACTAACTACCCCTTCTACAGATACTCATTGTCCCACCCAAAGACTTTGCTTCTCCCACAGACACTATCCCTCCTCCAGACGTCCCTCCAAAAGACACTTACTGTCCCTCCCAAAGACCTTGGATCTCCTCAAGACACTGCCCCTCCTACAGAAACTTATTGACCCTTCCACAGAAACTGTCCCTCCTAGACAATTACCACCCCTACCATAGACACTTTCTTCCACAGACACTTACTGCCCCTTCCTCAGATAATTATTATCCCTCCTACAGGCACTTCTATCCCTATTACAGAAACTGCCCCTCCCACAGGCACTTACTAAGTACTTTTTATAAATTGAACAATGTCCCTCCCATAGGCACTTACCCCTCTATGGTAGGATTCTTCTCATATTTCTAATATTTAAAAATTAATGAAATTTTCACAGAATCAAGAAGACAATATCAGTAAGTTATAGTGTCAGTGAAATTAAATTTGACCGTTTTATATTAGAGGCAAGGTCAGGTCAAGGTCATTATCTTTTTCCTTGACATTAAGAATAAAAAATAACTGCATGTTGCCAATCACGTGATACCTACTTCTATTTCAAAAGTTTAATGATTGTTCTTTTTGCATAAAAACATATTACTATACCGGGTCTATAGCATGATATTACCAAATTTACATGAATAATTTAACTTAACTGGATATTGGCTAATCCGAATTTTCTCTGTTTTTCTTAATTTTTTAGGATATATTAGTTATTTTCAGATGCTTCATATATTTAACTTTTTCCTGTTTTCACATATAATAAAGTAGTCTTATAAATGTACAAAATGATACAAAAACAAAAAGTTTTGATTGTTTACTAAGAGAGAAAAATTACTTTTTATGGAATTTTGGCTCAAATCTGCACTTTGATAGGAAGCGTTTAAAAGCTAATAAAGTTCTAGTTTGTTTGAAAAATCATATTGATTACTATATTTTTAAAGTTTAGTCTCTTCCCTAACTTACATTTGAAAACTTCTCCAAGTCTTCAATTGTGTAAAAATTTTAACTAAATTCATTGTTTCATTATAGTTTTGAGAGACAGAAAAGAAGATATTTTCATACGCCACCATTCCGCCAAAAATATAGTCCCTGCTAGTTTTCAAATGCAGTACCATTTCTATTTAAAGTTGTACAATTGTGATGAGAAAGAAAAATATGGTCTTTTAAATTCCTTACACCTCAATATATAAGACATATAAGCAAATATACGTTTTATGTTTCATCTAGTCAGAAACCAGAGAAGAATCCTACCTTAAAGAAACTGCCCCTCCCACAGACACTGACCTTCCCACAAAAACTAACTGTCCATCCCATAGACACTCCCTCCAACCAATTACTGTCTTCTACAGACACTGTCCCTCCCCCAGACACTAACTGCCTCTCCCACAGACACTGTCCTTTTTACAGACACTTACTAATCAAACCATCTGCCCCTCCTTTCTTTAGTTCCTCTTGTTGTTGCTCCATCTTTTCTGAGATTAATTTACTTTTCTGCATTAATGCCCTTGCTTGTTCTGGAGTTAATCTGTCCCTTAGACTAGCAATCTACAATAAGATGTGCTGTGTAGCAACTCATTCTAAGTCATATTTAAGAAAATTACTAGAACAATAGAATCTTTTAAATTATGCAAATACGGATTTGAAACTTCCAAGGCAGCGAAAGTTGTTTTTAGAAGTGCCATAAATCTAGATGTGCATGATCTGTGAAAATTTACCACTTAATTAAATATATATTGGGTTTCCCTCTTCTTCAATTATCAAATAAAATAAATTCAGAAAAGATTAAATTTCTGTAGGACCAAATTGCAGTACTTTTAAAACTGTAGATTTATTCCATAAATCCATCTATCAGCCTTGGCCACGATACCTGAATCATTTACCATACCTCTGAAGATAATTACCTGTAGATCTAGCTGTTGTTTTTCATACTTTAGTACCTCTAATGAGGTAGTTCCTTGGCTGTAAAAAATAAAGATGAATAAAATTGATTAAATTCTACCATAAAGAACAGAAGAAAAATTTTCAAAATCCATTCTTTTTTTCAGTTCTGATCAGTATGTCATTTCTTCAAAGGTCTATTTGATCTTCTGATATTGTTCAAAAGTCCTAAATTCTAACTTTTGAAATATGTTTCATCTTTATAATAATAAATTAACTTAAATATTAAAACAGAATAATGTACTTTTTTATGACCATTTTATTAAAAATTCATAAAAAATCAATAATTTAAATGAAAAACAAAAATAAATATTCCAATTCATGTATCAAACACAACATGTGACGATGTGTACACCATATTGTCCAAAAATGCCATCATTCTCAATATTTTCCTTTCCCCTGATTTCATAAAAATAAAACTAGGGATGCACCAACAACAATATTTTTTTGAATATTATATTGAAATTTTATCAAAATATCTCTACAGCATTACAGTTGTATCACCCAACATTGATTTTGAGAAAACATTTGTGTAGTAAGAAATGGAAAGTAACAGAAGCTAAAGAGTAAAGATTGTATCAATTCAAAATTAGAGGTTAAAGTAAATATATATATATAGTATAAAAAATATATGAAAAAATAAAGACACATGTACAGTGTATATGAGGTAAAAAATACTCTTCATAAAAGATCACATATTAATTATCACAGTTTAATTGCACTAGTCTTGAGACAAGAACAGGCAAAATAATCATCACTTTGGACGGATGCAGCAGAATAAAAAGAAAAACTCCCTAAACAATCCTCTTTCTTTAAATTCACTAAAGTAAAATTTTGTCAAAACAATGTTTTTAAGAATATTTTTGCAAGACTAGACGACATACGGAATGAAAATTTTAGGGAACTGAATCGTTTTGCCAGAATGCACATGCTAGAAGGCACATCTAGACTGATCAAGATGTATGATATTTTTGATATTCCCCGTCTTGCTTCTGCGACATGGCACCAGGTTTGTCTTCAGATGATGGTACAAATGACGGACTTTGCTAGGCTGCAAAAGACAAAGCATTGAACCATCAGCTGAATAGAGCAAACCTCTGCCAAGTGCTACCTAAATGTATGTTTATGGTTGTTTTTTTTTTTGGTTTTTTTTTGTTTTTTGTGGGGGGGAGGGGGGGTTAAACCATACTTGACGGTTGCTGCAGTTGCATGTGTGTGTTAGTTGAGGAATAAATTTAAGAAATTTTAATATGAAGAAATTTTAAGGCAATATGTTAAATATTGGATCATTTGAAAATTGTTAGTACACATGTATCTGTATTGTATGATAAAATACATGATTCTGGGTTGAGGTATTAGTACACATACATTTTGAATAAAGTTTGAAAATTTGGCTGAAAGTTGAATTTTGAGTACCGGTAATAGATAAATATGTTGGAGTTATTAAAATAATTTCATGTTAATTTTAATGGGTATTGAATAGAATGTTTCTAATGGGATACATTTTTAAAGGTTGGGAACAATATTCAAAATTTGGAAGCTATTCATACCTTTTGTTGACAGCTTGTTTTGGTGGTGGAGGTGCCTGAAAAATAGGTAAAAATTCAATCCATGCAATTTTAAAACATACGTGAGAAGGAAAGTAATACCGTATTAAGTAAGATTTAAACAATTTCAATGAAAATATTTACCCTTCCTTTTGTTGGCTGAAATAAAGATTTAATATAAAATCAATTATTGCTTTTCATGTCCAGCTAAAAATTCTGACTTTCAATTACAAAACCTTAAAATAAAATTGAATTTTGAAAATGTTGAAAAATGATAAGATAAGTTTGCATCTTTGATTTATATTTATTCATTTTTTCATGAATTTTTTAAATTTTTTTTTTTGCATTTAAAATTAGGAAAGACATTTACAAACCTTATCAATAGTTTTGAAGAACTGGTCTATAACAAGCCATTTTTCTCTGGATTCCTCCACCTGCTTGCTTTTGAAGGGGTCCCTTATCCTGAGCTTGACCTCCAGTTTACCCCCGACTGGTTTCCTACCATCCGTTATCTGTCCAGTACAAACAACAGATTTATAGATGTAAATTTGTAAGTGTATTTTTTTAAAAGAAAAATCACCCTTTTCCATTAACACATTTAAAAATACTGTTTATTATCTTTTAATCCTGAGAGCTTTAATAATCATTTCTGCATTAACATATACCAGTAAAATCACAAGCTCATTAAAGCTTCGGCTGTATTATTGTAAGATTGCATACAATGATAACTCCAAACTTCATAATTTTTGGGGGGTTGCATATTACATGTAATACCAAATAAGCATTCTCAAATTAATTGTAATTAGCACTCTATATGATACAAATATGAAACACACAACGTTTTCTATACAGAGGAAAATTATTTAATTTAGGCCAAAATTAATTACTAATTTTATATAAAAAAATAACTAAAAAGGGTACGTCGAGAACCAAGAAATTAATTTTTTTTTGCCTAATATAAATAACTTACGTCGTAACTGTCATGAACGGTACACTTGTTATCTAATGGCTGAAGCTTGACATTGGCTGTACCTATCAGTTTATCACTTTTCAAAAATCCTCTAAAAATAGAATTTGTCAACAGAAATCTAATTAATAAACTTCATGTATTCAATTCAAAATAAAAGTACATGTATGAAAACAAAGGTACATTGTATCTTCTTTGTCTTAAAAATTGTTGACTTTAAATCTATTAAAATGCTAACTTCCATATTTTTTACCTCTTGAAATAAATTTCAAACTTGGCTGACTTCCTTTCCACAACCCTGGCAAAAGCTCGGGATTTCCTACTTATTTCTACTTTGAATGGTTCTTTATATTCTGTAAAACACAATTAATGATCTTAAGATTTGTAAACTTTGTTCTCCTAAGCTTTCTTTATTTGACAGAATTCTTTGTTTTATGTACTTAAAAATTTTGTGTAAGAAATGCATTAAAATTATTTAATGTGACTTTCATCTCTATAGCTAGTTAATGCAAGAGGAGGTCTTTCTACAATTTGTTAAGAAAAACATGAAAAAAATCTACTTTATATTTAATAATAAATATTTTTCTCTGATTTTTTTTTTATTCCCTGAACTTTGTCTTATACATTACTTATTTTAAAAGTATTTACCTGGATTACAAGAGCCTTTGACAGTATCTGATTGAGCTGTTTGTGGATCATCCTGTAAACAAACAATACAGAGAATCAGAGAAATACAGGTCACTCCTATACACAGAATAACAGAGAATTACAGACCAATTAAATACTGTATACAGGGAAATTTTCGCCATTTTCGCCCTTTCCTCATTTGGGCTAATTTAAAACGGGGCGAATTCAAAGAATACAGCATAATTTCTTATAAAAAACTATGAGTGGGCGAATTTAGAACGGGGCAAAATTGTTTGCATGTGTGAAAGGGCAAAAATTACACAGGGCGAAAATAACCCTGTATACAGTACAGTGAAGAGAGTTAGAAGACAACCGAGAGAACTATAAAACAACCCTGTAATGGCTGTAAACAGGATCTACAATATAATCCTGTAAACATTATATTAATACCACTGATACTTACACTTGGATAAGGAAATTCAAATTTAACATAGGTATCTACATCTTTTTCTGAATATTCTGAAATAAAAATTAAAAGTATTTTAATAAAAATTAATTCTAAGCAGTTATTAATTTTCAAAAATGCAATTAAAGGAATACAGAATATGTATATTCAATGTTTAAAATGAGAGATCAGTCAGAACCAAAGAGAAAGGTATAAAACACTTGAGAATGCAATATATGTATCCATGTACTTACTTTCAGGTAAATTATACTGTAACCCTCTAACGACTGTAATTTCTAAATCATTATCTCCTAAATCTGTATTACATCTGAAATTAAAATAAACATTCATACAGTTCTTAGTACCGGTACATTATTTCTTAATTTAGAAGGAGATGGCAATATCTTTACATCAAATGATTTCATAATATCATTACCATTGAGTTGCTGTGAATAAACATGTATTACATTTGGCTGTGTATGAAACCTCAATTTTTGTTTTCTATCTAGTGCCTTTTGCAGAAAACATCTGCTGCTAAATCAAGTACACCGCTAAATGTCTTTTTTACATATTCATATAAACCACACCCAGTAAGCACTTATTCAAATCTACACTATCTTCTTAACAAATCAATTTCCACTAAATAATGCCAAATAAAATACATTTGCAGAACATCCCTTTTACAATTCTTTTAATGAAATGTATTGTTTGGTGATAATGATTTTTTAGATAACTTTACTTACTGGTAATTAAAAATAATATTAAGCATGACTTACTGCACTAAAGAAAAAGTTTTATTTTCATAATGGAACTTAGGCACTGGATCATTGTGTTTAAAGGCATTCTTCAAAGCATCCAAGTCCTTTCTACATCCATTCTCCATTTTCTCAAACCTGGAATTGTCAAATGAATGATTCTTATATACTAAACTTTGCACAACATATTCATTTTTAACAGTAACACTACACCAATAACCAAAATTAAATTCCTTACTTGGCTGCTGAAACCACATCTCCAAGTTTGGTAAAATGTTGGCCATTTGTAGCACATATCTGAAAGAAATAAAGCAATTGAATATTAACCACTATATATAAGTACTTATACTTCAATTTTTCTCCTTTATGTATAGAAAATACTTCATCATACATAATTTTTTCTATCCAAATGCCAAGTCTTCTTTCAAAGCTTGTGAAGAAGTTTTTCACATAATTCTGTTATCATATACTGTAAACGTATTACATTTGGCTGTGTATTCTTTTTAGCAATTTTGGCTGAGAGAAGCTTCCACTAATTTAAGTACAAAGCTAAATGACTTACACATAAATAAGAACATTAAGAAATGCGCTAATTTAAATCTACGCTAACTTGTTCAAAATTTAATTTCCACTATTAGCTAAGATACAAAGGTACTTCCTCTATTGATAGTCCCAAACACTAAAAAGGCAGCTACTGATTTAGTGATTTAGTTGATGAGCTTTTTCTATAGGTACTTGTCCTGATCTGCCTAGAAATCCCCTGTCTACTCCTGACTCACCCTGATCTGCCTAGAAATCCCATGTTTACCTCTGACTTACCCTGATTTGATTGATGAGGTCCTGCTCCAGTTTTTTGTATACCTCCGTCCTGTCCCCACTCAATTCTACATCCTCCTTCTGTACCATCACAAAGGAGGGGTCATCTCCCTCATCCAGAGAAGGGGGGATCTACAGGTAAAAATAGACAACACCTAATCCTTACACCTGGCATCTTAACACAATTCCATGTAATTCTTCTATACATGTAATCTTGAAATGTTGAATACCGGATAGTTGATAAAAATTAAAGCTTCACTACCTGTGACATATCCACTGGGAGTCCTGATTCTGCTGCTTCTATCATTGGTTCAAAGCCCTACAAGTTCAAAAAAAATACTGTACCATGGCTTTTAATATTTCAGTTATCTAATACTTCACTGAATTTTTCATGAGCAATATCTATTACGGGTTTTTTATTTCAATTTGTTGATTATTCAACTGAGGTTAAAACCTTTAAAGCTGTGGGTATCTAATACAACATTAAAATTTTATCTTCTTAGAGGCCCAAGGGCCACAATACTAGCCTGATTCACCTAATCTCTAATAAAAATATAAGAAAATCTCATCTTAGCCTTTGGCCCAGGTGAGCTAGAAATACACTGTAGCTGACATTCTTCAACTCATACTGATGAGAAGAATGACATTAAAAGTTTTCCTCTGCTCTGTCTGTCTTCATTGAGGTGTGCTTAAATGTTATCAAGCATCCTTATTTTCTTTTAATGTGAAATACATGTTTTGTTTGATGAGAATTTTACCTTGGCTATCCTCATGTACTTTTTGGCCAGTTCTATGTCATTATTCTTCTTGGCCTTCAAAGCTGCTTGTTTGTACTCGTTCATTCTGTCTGTAAGGAAGTAGGCCTGCTGCTCTGCTCGTGATGTGGGACTCCTCTTTAATGCTGCCAAAAAATAATAACAATCCCTTTAGGTCAACTCTCATTAATCAATTTTAAACTGTTAAACATCTTTTCTGTAAACAATCAAATTCAAAGATCAATGTTACAATGATCTCACAAGGTCTGGATGCTTGTCCCTTTGGAGTTAACTTCTGTTGCGGTTGTTGCTGGGTTGCAGCATTTGGATGTGAGGGACTCTTCTGTGGTTGTGCTGTTCCCGCTGCAACTGCTGCTGTTCTTGCTGGAGAGGGGGATCTATGATTTTGTGCAGCTGACCTTTGACCTCTGTCTGGTTGAAGCTGATTGGATGAAGGTGATGGAGAGACAGATGGTTTACCAACAGGTATTGGAGCAAATCCTTTCATGGAGAGAGGAATGTATTATTATTTACTTTCTAAATCATAAATACAGAAATAAATCTTCCAAGAATATCCTATACATTTATACCATAATCCTATTAAATGGTCGTCAACAACAGAATAGAACATGACTACAAAAATCATATCTGATTTCTTGTAACAATAAATCACCAGCATCCTTCTATGATCTGTGTTTTTTTTTCTATAAACTGAGCTCACCTGGTGGGGTAGGTAACTCATCATAATCTACTGGCTTTCCAGCCTTATGGGCTTTTATGGCATCTTGATATTGCTGTAAAAAATACACATAAAAGATAACTTGTCATTTTATGCATTACTTGTACTTAATTCATCGAATTTAATATAAAATTTGTAAAAAAAAAATGTTATATTAAATCAGCTCTGTTAAATATTAAGTTGATACTGTAGCATACACTAATCAACACCATTACATTTTTGCCAATTGTCCTAACCATTTATACCTTGTGTGTATCTGATAAATAAATTGAACTTTTAAAAAATGTTATATTAAATTTAGTCGGGCATGAAGTGCTCATAATTATTACATGAGATTTACAGGTAAACCTTCCATCGGAGCATGTGGTTTTATTTCTACAAGAGTTTACAATGTTTTACAGTTATCAATGTTACTTGTTCATATTTATTCATGCCTTTACTGAGTACCCGGGTGCTCGATCGGAAAACGTCTGAATAATCGAGTATTAAAAATTGACTGATTTGACATCCTTATTAATAAACATCATTTACTTTGACAAATTTGATAAACTAGCCCATTACCTTGACTATCCTTCCATGCCGTCTTGCCTTTGATGACTCCCCTTTGCTTTTGGCTTCTTCACAGCTGTTATATTGTTATAAAAGTGCATCAAGTTTTAGTGCATTTAGCATAAATTGTTTCATGAAAAAACAGTACATGTAATAGCAATTTGGATCATTTTAATGTAAATGTAATCATTCAACTCACTGTTCATTGTCATAAAATATCAATCAAATTTTTGTGAATTGTTTTACCATGCCCCAGGATTACAAAGCAATCTTTAATACACTTGAGTCAAAATTTTTACATTATCTTATATCTTAGAAAACACAGAAAATTTGAAATACATGTATTACAAAGAATTGTTACCCATCCATGTTGTCGATTATTTCAAATGTCAGATTTAAATCAATATTTTTTTTTTAGACAAAATTGAATGAAATTTTGACTTCAGTCTAAGACTGAACCATGATCCTGGGGCAGTGTATCACAGAGTGGTGCCCCGTGTATCATTTAAGTGGTGCCCCCCGTGACAATGACTTACCCTCTGCTGTAGGTTCTGGGGGTAACTCTGGAGGTTTAGACTTGGCTGATACAAACTCTCCTGAGGACACTGCAAAACACAGGGAATGTGTGGAATCAAATGGGAGTTGTACATTATAAGACAAAATATACATGTACCAGGTGCTTGATATTTAAACTTTATATAGTGTTTAATGTTTGTACGGTAAAATGATGAAATCCAACAGTTGTTTTTAAAAAATGGATCATTGCCATATTAATCTTTTGTTGATTAAAGAAAAAAAATTATATTACCTGCTACAGCTTGTGGTGGGGGAGGCATCTGTGATAGATCTATTTCTTTTCCTGCCTCCAGGGCCTTTATTACATGGTCAAATTGCTGAAAAGAGCCAAATTTTATTTTTTGCATTTTCCTTGTGAATTAAAAAAAAGTTCTGACTACCCTTACTTTTAATTTGGTTAACTGACCAGAATGTCATAAGCTTTTGATTGTTTAGATATCTGAATATGACAGTAACAATCTACCTTGGCTACTTTGACATGCTGGGTGGCTGTAGTTATGTCCCCTGCATGTTTTGCCTTTAAGGCGGCCTGTTTGTACTGGTCTCTCCTGGTCACCAGCATCCTGTGGGTTTCCTTGTCTGTGTCAAGTAGAAAAAAAAAAAGATGTATATGTTAGTGTACTGAAGAGAAAAGACTAAAACATCTGTTCCTAACAGGTAAAAGAATGAGGAAATGTGTGTTTGTAAAACAGTGTGCCCTGCCCCAGTAAAACCCATTTTTAAACATGACAGGTTCCAACCACCTTAATAACCTAAGAGTCTGCATCTCACTTTTAGAAGCTCTATTACAGTAACTCAAAACGTTATGAACACACGAAAGTGTAAACTGATAGACAAAAACCTGTCAAGACACAAGAATCAACATGACCAGTAATTTTCAAAGTTGAGAGATATAAATGACAGGAGATGCTGGCCTGTTGTATCTACTTTTCATTAATAATTCACCTTTCTGGGACATGTCTGGTTGAGCTGAGACTGGTGGAGAAACTGGTTCTGGTTTGGGTAAGACAGGAACTGGTTGTATGGTCGGTTGTAACACAGCTGGTTTCCTCTCAGGTTCTGATGCTGTAAGAAAATTTTCATACTTATACCAAGGTTTGTACATCAAGTACATATACATGTATCTATTATGTAAAGAATTGCTGGTATTATGAAGAGGCCTTAATTTGCCTGAAATGTATACCTTGAACAAAAAATCATTATGTCAACTTGCATATCAATCTCAATTGCTTCATCAATGAAAAATAAAATTTTTTTTGAATATATAAAGTGTGCTAAAGTACACAGTAATAACTGTCTAAAATGTCACTAAGTTACCTGCAGCATTTACTGGAGAGGGGCCCCTTGAATTGGATCCCAGGGCCACAGGGGGTGGAATGTCATCCTCTGCTACAGGTTTGTTCGCTTTGGCCTTCTTCAGCAAATCTTGAATAGTCTGGTGTTGAAAAGGAACAAGACTTAAATTACTTTTTACTTACAAGGATAATACAATGATTAAATTTCAAGCAAAAAGGTATAAAAGTAAGATATTCAAATTTAAACTCAATATGCGTTGGGTATGTGTCAAAAGAGTCTTTTGAGAATTTTGAGGGATTTACTCAGAATTAAAATTAAGGAGACTAGGGGGTCAACAAATAAACCATCAAATATAACTTGATTTTTTTGATATTATATCTTAAGCTGTCAACTATCACTTGGCAGAGAAAAATTTCATAAAATTTAGTTTTAAACTTTGATCATTTTTGTATATCTTTATATGGAGCTCTTCTTCTAAAGAAGATCAATATAGTCTAAAAATAGCCACAACCACCCAGCCCTCTTAAGGTGTAGGGGGTTCTGAATTTTTTTTTTAATAGATAAGTGATCTGTACCTTCATCCCTCTGTCCAGCCTCCTCTGTTTACTGCTGTCCCCCGCGGCCCGAGCGTTCTCCGAGGCCGTCTGGTACATCTGTAGCCTCTCCTCCAGTAACTGGGTCATCCCTATCTCGGGGTGCTTGATCTGAGGGACAGAGCTGGCAGGAGGGGGTTTACTGTCCTCCTTATTATCATCCCCTGTCAAACCCTAGAAGAAAACAGGCAGCCTTTAAATCATTACATCCAATGAAAAATGTTTAAATTTTTTTTACATTATTACAATGCTTTAGAGCAAAACTCACATTTCCATTGATTTATTTTGATGATAAAAAAGGATATGAAATTTTCTCTGTTATCACTAATATCTCTTAATTGAAGTTTTATTCATTTGCATTCAAACTAAGTTGAAATGTCATGGTTATCTGCATTTATCTTTTACTTTTTTGGCAAAACTTAATATTTACTCCTTAAATATAAATGGGATGCCTAATACTATTTGTTCAGACAGTGAACCTGTAATTCTGACAGCAGATCAGGATCCTCTGTATCCGACACTTCCTCGTCACTTCCAAAGTCTCGCATCGCTTCTGCGGCCATAGCCTGAATACCGGCCATCCCTCCACCACCAGAGGGAGCTACAAACACAATAAAAGCACAGTCAAATTTTGTTATCTCGAACCTGATGGGACTGAGAAAAAACTTCGAGATATCCGAGGATTCGATATATCAAGGGTAAACCTCATTATCTCAAACTAAACAAGGCCAAGAATTTAGAGACCAACAAATTATAACCACCACGAAATGTAAAATTTCATATGCATTACTTCTAAACATTTTCAAACCATGAAATCAAATCCCAACAAACCAATATTTTTTCCTCAAACCTTGAAAATTTGACCCTATGAAAATATGTGATTTTATAGTAAGTGGTTAGGACTTCCAAATCAATTCAACATAACCTTAGTATTGGAGATATTGGTGTTAGATATACTGTATAGCAGGTTAAAATCGCGGTCGGAAAAGATCGCGATTTGTGCAATTTTCAGCATATTTTTTCAAAAAGGAAAAACCATAAATTTCTTAAACAGTACTTGCAAGCATTTTTCTGTGGGAATATATTGTGTGAACTGTTATTTCTCGTCTCTGTAGTATAATATTAAAGTCTGTAATGTATATCGCGCATATCAGACAGAAAAGTAAAGTCTATATATTGTGGCGATTTTGATCCCGATTTCATAATAACGAAACACCGGACTACGCATTTAATTTTTTTTATTTCCAGGTCCAAATCAGAAAAAAAAATTATACCGTAGAAAAAATGTTGAACTTTCAATCATATAATTGAAATTAATTAATTGTCGTTACCCTGTTTACTAAGTAAATGCCTTGATTAAAGGTAATGACTAAGTGATACGCACGGGTGAAATTAAACAAGCATGTTTTATTGAATAATTACATCGCACGTCTACTAGATGGCAAAATTAATCGTTAGCTATAGAAATGAATTAACTAATTAATAAGCTTTAAAAACAGCAACAACTACGTGTTTATAATTGATCCAGACACTCGCATAATTATAAAGACAGTCTACATCTAATCACAGAAAACAATAAAATTTCAATTTATCCTTATAAAACTTTTTAAGAATTATTCACTGTATGTTGAATTCGCGGAATTTCTTCTTCCGCGAATATAGCGAAAATTAACTCCGCGAGTTAATTTCCTGCTGTACAGTATACTGAAGTTCAACTTCATTATTTTTCAAAAATAGATACTAATAGTTTCAAAATTGATTTTTATCTTAAAACTGATAATAGTCATTTTTTCATTCAAACCAATGATAGCATGCAAAAACAGTGTTCAAAGACAGACCTGTGACAATATCATTCTTTGTTATGGATATGCACTAATTAACTCACCAGGTCTCCTTCTAGCAGGTCTAGCTCCTCCATCATCTTCTCCCTGAAGGGCCAGTAACTCTGCCTCTAACTCATCGTCATTCTCAAGATCCCCATATAGTTGCTGCTCTATCTGTCCCATGTCAGAATAACCCATCTGTAATAGGGAAAGTGAAATTTAGACCCAGTTTTGAAGTAATTAATAAAGTTTCAACTGAAAACATCCTTGGTGTGGGATTTATACATGTACACTGTGGAATCATTATCATAATGTTGGAGGGTTTCATGGTTAATCTATATTACCCAGAAATTCACATCCCCATGAACAATATCTTTATGAAAGTATTGATTTACCGAATCTTCTGTATATACCGTTATCTACCAGTTAGTGGCAGTTACTCATAAAATTACATCCGAACAAAATTGTAAAATTTTGGATGCCTACAACCAACTAACCCCTAACCTCATGGATATTTAAATGATTCCTTGTGTGTTATCAGTAGCTGGGTGACCTCTGTTCAGGTCCCAGCCTCAATGACAACTTTCCTTTCTGTTATATATTTGGCATCCCAAAACAGAGTCTAGTGGTTGTAGGAGAGTCAGATAAGTTATTATATGGAAAACCTCTAGTTAATGGAAGGGAGGTCAAGAGTGTAACTGCTGTTGGGTATGTCGGTCACTCGACGGTCAGGTAGTTTAGCAGTACAGTTAGTGGCAAAGTTCTGGGTAGATGTAGTGTTCTATCGTTAAAATAATAAATTCCCACGGACCCCGTTCAGAAAAACACACAGTTAAATAATTCTACCTAAGGTTCAAATCCCAGTCTGGCCTACACATTTCCTCACCTATTTTACACTAACAATGTTACTTTTTATGCAAAAGGGGCTTTTTTGAACTGAACATTAGACTGTAACATCTGATCAAAGCATTAGCTCTGTGACACAGCAGTAAATGTTATTTAGAAATATTTTCCACTAACAAAGGAGACAAAAATCAACTAAGTGAAACAAAAATATACACATATAATTTTATAGGCGTGCCCTGTCAATGTATTTTCGAGGAAATCCGGATTGTTGTCAGATTTACCTGATTCATAAGATCGGCACCCTTCCTCCTCTGTGGGGCATTTTCTTTCTTGCGTCCAAACATTTCGACTGCCTTACACCTTTTCTTATGAGAGATCTTTTAACATGCTTGGCAGTGTTTGGGAAAATTTCAAAATAAACATAACATCAAACGTTTTCAAGACTTCCTTGTGTAGTGTTTCAGAAATGTTTGAATGTCTAAAAGCCACAAACCTGTTAGCACTAGGATTTTTTAAAAGGTAATTTTATCATTTGTCAAAAACATTTTACTGATATTATTTTCATTATTAATAGCAAAATAGCAAAATAAATAAAAATAAAAAAAAAATTATGATGTTTAATTTAAATGAAAAAGTGTCTACAATTTTATTTTTTATTTAATTTTATTTCATTTTCATTTAATGATTTTGTGTTTTTCTACCTTTTCTACAACATTTCCACTAAAAATCAAATTTATGCACACGAATACTTCTTCTTCTTTGTCTAGTTTGAAGCAAAGATATTTAAGTGGCATTTTCGAAATTTTTCTTAAAGTAGTGTCATCCAAATCACCCAAGCACAGTGAATTAATGAACTTCCGGTAAATTTATCGGCCATATTGAATAATTTTCTTTGTGGAAGAATCATGTCCCGAAAGGTCACCATTACTAAAATGTTGAAGCATTAAGGTTTAAAATTTTAAAATAAGGTATGTACACTCATTTCAATCATTGTATTTAAAATGATTAGATTTCATATCCTAGATGCTTTGACAGTGAAAGGGAGTCTATGAAAATTGGGCAAGTTCTGACATTATTTACGCCATATTGTTAACATTTTCGTGTACGTGGTGTAGACTGCTGAGAATTCAGTTGTGAAATAAATTTGTAATACGGGGTCATTCAGGCCATGAAATCGAAATCCGTATTGGGGGAGGATTCTGTTGGATAAAAGTCACATTGAAACCCCATACTGTGACAAAGGAGTCATCTGCAGTGGATAATGCAGGGCTCTACATTAACTTTTTTCCCCACTTGTCCATTCGGACAAGTGACCAAGATATTTACTTGTCCGAACTTCAACTTCACTTGTCCGAAAAAATTTTCATTGAATATCTTATCCTGTCAACTTGAAAACTATTACATAAATGAAAATAAATTAAACGTGCTTGATTTATTAGTCTTGTTATTGATAAAAAAGACAAACACATATAAAACAAAATTTTATCTACACAACCTGACCTGACAACAACATAACTGTTTGCAAGTGAATCTGTAATTCAATCAGATTTATTCCAAATCGGCAAACATCGCAAGATCCACGCCATGCAATGGTATGGATGCAATTAGTGAATATCGATCCCGATCAAGTGTAAACTTCAACTTACATAGCGATTGATATCAAATATTTGGGGTTTATGTACTGCTTCCGTTTGTATTCGATAAACTTATCAATTAAATCAATAGTTGTTTTTGTCCCCCGCTTGAAAAGTGGGGGATATTAATTTTTGTCCGTCCGTTTGTCCCGTCCGTCCGTCCGTCTTTCTGTCTGTCTGTAACGCTTTCGTTTCCACACGATATCTAAGAACCCTTTGAGCTTTTGCAATGAAATTTAGCATAGCAACTCCCTGTGGACTAAAGAAGACCCCTATTGATTTTGAGGTCAAAAGGTCAAAGGTCAAGGTCATAAATAAGCAAATTCTGTCTGTTAAAACACTTTCGTATTCCACACGATATCTCTAGAACCATTTGAGCTATTGCAATGAAATTTTATATAACAACTCCCTGTGGCCTAATGAAGACCTCTATTGATTTTGAGGTCAGAAGGTCAAAGTTCAAGGTCGTAAATTTATACATTCTGTCTGTGTGTAATACTATTATTTCCGGGCGATATTTCAAGAAGATTTTGAGCTTATGCAATGTAATTTTATATCAAAACTCCCTAGGACGTCTCTCGCCCCTCTCAAAGTGCCCCGCCCCGTTTGTTTTATTAGTATTTATAGTATTACATGTCGCTATTTTTAGCGCAGGGGCATGAGGAGAGTTATTGCGTATAAAACAGGTTCTCGAGGACTTTATGTTCTTATTACATCTATTAGAACTGTTTAATAAAGGCTAAATAAATCAAACACCATGGATTGTGTAAGATTTTGAGAATACCGAACATGAAAACATGAATATATACATGTATGTGACTTCACTTTTGCATATACTTCACACAATGTAAAGCGACTCCGTGGTCTAGTGGTTATGTCTCTCGCTTCAAGTGTGAGAGGTCCCGGGATCGAATCTCGGTCGCACCTTTTTTTTTTAAAAATACTTTTTTTTTTTACCAAATGATAGTATTCAGCATGTGAAATGAAAAATTTATGAGGTTATAAAATCATCATTACAGTGTGATAAAAATTCCATATAAAAAAAATCTTCTATACACATAATGAAGAATGAGCAATCAAATCTTTATATGCATATTGACATACATGTATTTTATTTGCTTCAGTATACATGTATACATTTAATAATTCTACAAATTCAGTCAGGGGGAGCAATTTCCTCCTGACTTTTTTTTTTGCCTAAGCGGGGGACACGAATTCTCTGAATTAGCTTGTTTTATTATTATTCAAAGACTTCTTTACATGAAAAATCACTTGTCCAATCGGACAAGTGCCCAGCAATATTCACTTGTCCGTAATTGTTTTTCATTGGTACCGGACAAGCGGACAAGCGTTAATGTCGAGCCCTGTAATGTGTTTAATTTTTGATTTAGTGAATTAGTATTTTCACGATAACTGTGATACTCTTTTTCTGCAGGGATATTAACAACGTGTGGCGAAGATTTTGTTAAAGGATAATAAGTAAATGTCATGTATAAAAAAAATGTTTTTAGGTCATATTTCAACATAGCCCAAAATATCTTATGTTTTCCTGGCTTTCTTACAATTTTGATATTTTAAGTCCCAGAAAAACGTCAGGACCGACGCTATTATGAAAAATGGAAATTTGTCACCTCCATCTGGAGGCTGCATTCTCGGGTTGATTTTTGATAGTTGCAAACTGAATTAAATGCTGTTTTCACAACTTATGGTTCCATGTTCCTTCGCCCGATTTTTTGTTCGCCCAGAGTCTGCTTGCCCTAAAACATGTTCGCACAGGGTCCGTTCGCCGTAATTTAATGTAGAATAAAATCTAATGAATTTCTATCCTAATTTTTCGTACATTCAAAATAAAACAGGCCGTCACTGTGTCCATCAGACACATATGCATATGCATATGGTCACACCTGTTTTAGTATCAGCGGTCACACCTATTAACGTCTCCGTCCTTTAATTGTGTTTTCAAAACATAGCGCAATTTGTAGAAATAACACGGATGCATCCCCCTAATTAACATTGATATTAATCATCTAATTAACTATAGTGCAAACACTTAGTCATTCAAAAAACATTAGAATCAAATCAAAAATTAATTTAGACTAAATAAACATTGCTCTTCGTATAAGAATTTGAGAAAAAAAATTCCAAGTTCATAAGGGAAATAAATAGAAAAAATGATATACTTGTAAGTATTGGGCGAACCACGCATAGGGCGAACAAGATATTGGGCGAAGAATATTTCGGGCGAACGGACTCCCGCAAACAGGTAGAACAGTGAAAACATTTTATCAGTCCGCCAAGATTTGTTTCATTTCGTGCATTTTAAAATTGTGCAAAACCTGCATCAAAATATGGAGTGATGTTGTCTTTTCATTGATATCTGTGAGTACTAGAAGCATTAATTGTGCTATTGATAAGTTGTGAGTTCGGTATTTAATTCAGTTCACAAGTATCGAAAATCAGCTAGTATTAGTGCTACACATCATTGAACATACGAAACTGTGAAATTTTTGATGATTGTTAATTCCAAATGCACTCCTAATTGAATTTAATTTCACATCAAAGACCAAATTATAGCATGAAAATAGATATTAATTTTAATTGCTCACTGTCATATATAATAGTCGTTTGCATGTTGTAGTGAATCCCTAAGCACGAAATACAAAACTGGTGGTCATCGAAGTTAATGTTGCAAATAGCGTCTAAATAAAATATAGAAAGAATGTGTCTCATCTATGATGTCCTTAAATGGAAATAATAATTTTTGGTGTGGGATAGTTCCCTAATTTATAGCTGTTTACTACTACTGTATCTATGGATATTGTTTAACGATAGAGTCAAACTACGACGACATTAAACGGGCAAGTTGGAGAAAATATGTTGTATAGCAGAATTCAAGAAAGATTTAACTAAGATAACTTTTTTCTTAAAAAAAAAAAACCTATTTTTAGTTTTACTAAAAGAAATACAATTTTATTTTCTCAATATGATAATAATTATATCAAGGGGTAAGCTAAGAAATTTGCATGTTCCGATGCATAATATCTACATAAAAATCTCTAGAAATCGATAAATAAAGCTTCGTCTGATACTCCACTTTTTTTTTTTTTTTTTTTTTTTTTTTTTTTTTTTACAGAAACAACAAATTACATTTATGTTCAGAAGCAAGCATTAAATATATTTAATGACACACTCACATATTCAATATGATATTCAAATTTGCCTTATCTATGGGTTTTGTAAAAATTAGAGCTAAAAATGGGCCTTTTGACCTATATTAACCATCGAAGTATACCTTAAAAATTATGGCACATTCAACATGTTTAAGTTAAGGAGTCTATGGTACATAGTTTTGCATATTTATAGTCAGTCATTGCATATCACTAAGTATCTTATTTTTTTGCAGAAATTTCTTGATTCCACACTTCATTTTGGTGCTAATAACTGGTGACCAGCAGCTATGGCCTGTATACATTTCAAGTTTAAGAACAGCCTGGACTATGATTCCATCACTTTTGATGGTCTACACATTGCCCTGAAGGACCTGAAGAGGATGATTATGAGCAGGAAGAAGCTGAGGGATACTGATGACGACCTGCAGATTATTAATGCTATAACCAAAAAAGGTGAGGCGACTGGGCTGTACATGTTCAAGGGTAAAATGTTAATTCATAGTTGACATAATGTTTGAGTGTACTTTGTTTAGTAGATACAAAAATATAAATGTCTTTAATTTTAATGTTTCATGTGCTTAATTAATATTAAAATGAGAATTTTTAAAATCACTGTAACTGTATCTTTAACTGAGCAAGAATTTTATAAAAGGAGAAATGATGGAAAATGACCTAAAATTGAATTGAACATATGATATTACAGCATACAGCAATGACGATGAAATGATTCCAAAGAACTCTTCTGTGATTGTTGCCAGGATACCAGTCACCAACCCTGCTCCCAGGAATGGACCAAAGACCCTGTATGTATCGGAAAGTCCATTATATTACTCTGATTCATGTCATTTATAGCAAGAAACATGCTAGAATTGATTTCAATTGAATTCTGTAAGTACAAATTACCTGTTTTATGAATTTTTCTTTCAATTTACAGCAATCATCCAAATGCCTACAAAGAGGATCCTAAACCAGTATGTATAAATATTTGGTATAGTATAAATCATGAAATTTCAGTCTCTGTTTGATAATATATCTCTTGAATGTTTTGATCCTCTTGAAACATCAGTATTTGATGTAAATATTAAACAGAAATTTTGTATTTCAAACCTGTCTGCATATGACCTTGACTTTGTCTGTATTGGTATTTGTGTGTACTTGTAAACAAGGTAACACTTTTGTGCTTTGCACATCTGAATACTGGTAGACAATTCCTACATACTGTAGTAATTAATTTTACAATATGTTTCCAGTAATTTAGGTCAACTGGAATGGAATTGTGTTTGGATGCTATGAAATATTATTTCACTGTCATTCATGGTACATCATTTGTTGTCAAGCATTCATATGTGTTCTATGTATTGTTCTAGTCATGATATTGTATTTGGAATCTTATATGATATAGTGCAATGTGCTGGCATAGTACATTTGTTATATTGTTTTCATAAATTTTGGCAGCATAAATCCATATAACAAGGTAATGTTTTATTGATTTTACATTGTATAAATTTATGTTGTATGAATTCTTTAAACTGGAAGGTAAAAATTGCAATCTCATAATTGCCACAATGTTTTACATTGTCATGTCCTTAAATATTGCGCATTCGAGAAGAAAGAAGTTTAATGAAGACCGATATTGAATAGACTTTTTTGGTGAAATAATACGCGTGTGAGCTGAATGCGGAAGTGGAGACCTCAATGTGGACTTTATTGTTCTGTCAACAGTTACTGTGAAATTATTTTTTGTGTGTTTCTTATTTCGAATTCTTATGATTACATCACAATTGTTGGAAATATTGCAAAGTGATTGGGAAAGGTAAGGGAAAGATGATCCTTTTTTTTATTATTTCTATATTAAGAAAAACTGTATTATTGTTCAAAATTTGTTAATATTTCATGCATATGAATTATAAGTTTCATTATTTTAACTTGCAAGTTTGTTTAAATCAAACAAATGTTTAGATTATTATACAGAACTTGACAGTAGTAAACAAGATTTTTTTTTTTTTTTTAATTAACTGTACTTAATTGCTGTATTTCATAAATATTACGGTAATATACACACACTGTGAAATTATCATTGTTAGTGGGGGACCAATGTTCATGGATTTTGTGGGTCAACCTTACCCACAAATTTACACCCCCACAAATGTTTATTTTTTAAACATTGATTCATTGAATCTGCGGTATAAATGAGTCACTCTTGAAATTACATCCCCACAAACAAGTAAAATTTTGCTTGCCCAGGAACATTGACACCCTACAAATGATTCCACTGTACTATTGATATATTTTATAACTATATACCTGAAAATTCTACTGGGGTGTATGAAATTAATGTGAAAAAGAGATTTTAAATGGTTGTAAATGGCCATTGTAATCAGTTTTTCTCTTTGTTTTGTTTTCTATTCTTTTTTTTAGCTAAAAATTTAAATGTTAAAATAAGCATGAGGTTTGTTCAAGTATGCAATTTCTTAGAATTTTCTAGTATATTTGATGAAATTACTTTTTTTTAGATATAAAGATGTTAATTATATTATGTGTTTGTTCCGATGAACTAATGCTCAAATCTGTTTTTATTAGCAGAAAACTAGGCATGTTTAAAACAGAAGCTTGTGTATCTGCTATTTTTCTGTACACACTGCCTTACATTTGATATATTTATCTGATATGTGCCAATCTCTATTTATTATTTTAATGTTATGCATTTATTTACCATGGATTTAAAATTTCTAATAATTTATTTACACTTGTTACTTAACTGTTAATAAAAACAAAAAGACTTTCCACTTATTGTCATAATTTGGCCGAAAATGTGCAAGTGTGAGAAAGTTAAAGAATGTGTGTGCAGATTTGAAAGGGTTGGTCACAGTCAAAATTCCATGCTTGTGTCGCGGCTATTTAGTCCTTTTTGTAAAAGACTTTTCTCATTGATTTTGGGATTCAAGTATAAATACAGAAAAAATAATTTTCTTTCATATAAATAGGATGTAAGATGAAATTTTGATATACACAGAGGAAATTGCGCCTACAGATTCAACATACATACTGTACCTGCTTACTTTCCCAATTACCCATAAGATTTTTTATTTCCAAACAGGGTGATTTAAAGCCATATCTACCAGTTTCACTATTTTGGAAATAAATTTAGAACTCAAAAAAAGGAGCAGTTCAGGTGCATATAGAAAATTGTCATGTGATTTCCAAATTGAAATGCCTACCATGCCAAATGGACATGCATAAACTCCAAGATTGTGATTGAAGACTGGGATATAATGGAAATATTTTTGCATGTCTATTTGAGTAACTGTCCAAAATGTTATTATGTCTGCAAGTACAAGAATGAATATGACAAATTTTCTGCACAAAAAGTGAAATATATTCTGCATGAAAGTTGAATTTTATAGGATTGTTGGTTAGAAAACTTCATTTAACGTTTGCTTAGTGTAGGCAGGTCTGTATTAAGTTATTTCCAATTTCATCATTGAAGTTAAACACATACTAATTGCTATGTGATAGAAAGACAAAAGCTATAATGAGTAAAGAGTTGCTTTTAAGTAGCATTTTCTATTGTTTTAACCCCTTCACATTTATTCATACTAGTAAGTGAGAAAAAAATTTTTAAGAGAAAAAGTCCATTTAGCAAAGTAGGGAAAAATGTATGGAAGTGTTAAAAATTAAGAGGAAAACTCCATTTTTGCAAAGTAAAATAATGAAAAGAGGATGGAAGTGTTGTGCAAGTGTGAAGAGTGTTGCACTGAATGTTATTAATAAATTCATCTCTTTCAGAGTATTCTCAATGTTGTAGCTAATGAAAAAGAAATACCAAACACTGACACTGGAGACTGAGAGAAGAAACCAAATTAAAAATAAAAAAAATTCCCATCATACACTGGGATCTGGCTCAAATTCAGTTCCAGTCAAGGATGAATATGAGATGCCCTAAATCTTCTCGACCCTACGTGACAAATAGATGTTTAACTCAAGTTAATGTGCTTAATTCCTGAATCATATGACTTGGAGACTAAACTGACAGGAAACCAAATTTGACTGGAAACCTCTATTAATGTTAAAGTGACAATTTTGGAAATGATATTTTGATAGAAATTTATGAAAATTTGATAAATAAAATAAGTGTGTTTAAACTAAAAGTACAGTAAGAACTTTTTTTGGCAGTTGATAAGTTTATCTTGGTGATTTTTCACAGCAAATCAGTGGAAGTTCTCAGTCATTGACATTTGATCTGATAATTATACCCTTCCTCATTTGTACAGAGGGGTATAATGCTTTAATATTGTTACAGTGTAGTTTTTATTGAACAACAGGTCAGAAAATCAGTTGTGGAAACCCCAGTGACAAAGACGCAAGATTTACTAGAGGTAGATATCAATTTGAAAAAAAAGTTTTTAAAAGTCCTGTACTATATTTCCTATCTTAGAGTATCAGGGCATACACCTTCTCCTTAATTTTGAAGTTGTTGAAGGGTGGGTGGAGGATTTTATTCTGTAAATATTTAGATCTGCAGTATGGGATGAATTCATATATGCCCCCCCCCCCCCCCCCCCTTAAATCATGAAAGGGACATTTAATTAAATCTAATTTTGAAGTTCTAATGGGCTAAGGAATTGTACATTAATCTGTTGATATGTTTCATTAAGACTGGGAACCTTCTTGATTCCAATGCGTCGGAAGAAGACAAGATTAAAGCCATGATGAGGCAGTCAACAATGGATTTTGATCCAGCAAAGTGAGACTCAGATTTTTTTTTTTGGTCAATATAGAAAGAATATGTTTTTTAAAAAAAATCTTTTTGATTTTTGCAAGTTTTGTTAGTGATGAATTCTCGTATGTTATTAAAATAGATCTGAATTTAATTATTACAAGCATAATGTATCTGATCTGTTATTACAGCTATATAACGAACAAGAAAGCCCCTATTGGAACCCCCTCCCCCACTTACATTTGTAAGAAGTGTGGAAAGTCAGGTCACTTCATCCAGAACTGTCCCGTCGAACCTGGGGTAAGTCTTATTCAGAATTCATAATGCCAACCTTACATTAAGCAGAATGTTGAGAAGAAAAATATCTTAACAGTGGTGTACAAAATCATTATGCATTAAAGAGATAATGCATTTTTCACTAGACAGTACTAATGTTTTCCTTTTTTACCTGTAAAGGAGGCGATTGATAAGGAGAAGTTGGCCAAGAGACCGACAGGAATCCCCCATTCCTTTCTCACTGTAGTCAATGACCCTAATGCCAAGGGGGCCTTGTTACTGGGCCCTGGTCAATATGGAGTACCCACCATTGACATGTAAGCAGAACAAATATAGAGATGAGATAATATCACTCATCAGTTTTAAACTGAGAAGTTAAAGCAAGGAAGATTAAAAGCTGTTAGAAATTTGAGATTCCATCATTAATGTATGTTATGGTTGGGTTTGCTATTGCTTCAAAAATTGTGTATCCCACAGCATTCTATATTACCTTCCAGGATACATTGTACTTGTTGATGTATTCAGAATTTTATCATCTGTCTCCACTTTAGGAATGCCTACAAGGAGAAGAAGAAGGAGCGTCCACCATTCCTACCCGATGAGAAGTTGCCCGAGCCTAAGAAGGAGGAGATCCCTGCGGAACTCCTCTGTCCTATCTGTAAAGATCTACTGACTGATGCCGTTGTTATTCCGTGCTGTGGAACAAGCTTCTGTGATGAATGTAAGTGTATACTGTAAAGGAAGACAATTTATACTAGTATTGAAGAAAAACAGAACTGGAGTCTGCAGAAAGTATTGTTTGAAAGACAAAAGAGCAATAAAACATAGATGAGGAATGGTAAAAATGTGCAATGATTGGTTACTTGGTTTACTAGTTATGCATATCTAGTTAAAATGGTATGATGTAAAACTGACTCATTTTCAGGCATAAGAGATCATTTGCTGGACTCTGAGGATCATGTATGTCCTCACTGTCATGAAACAGACAAGTCACCAGACAGCCTTATTGCCAACAAAGGATTGAGGGTTGCTGTCACGAACTACCATAACGAAACTGGATACACTAAAGTCACCAAGGCCATGTTGAAGGCACAGCAAGAAGAGATGAGGGCTAAAAGAGCTGCAGCTGCTGCAGCCGCAGCAAAGAAAGTGGTAGCCAAGCCGGAGGCAAGTAAACCAGCAATGTCATCAATGGGGAATAGTTCCCCACAAGTCATTCCAACGTATAGCATGAAATCTGGACAGCATTATAAAGTTGGGCGAGGATCCCAAGGGGTGGGGTCGCCAAGATCCCCATCAAAGTTGAGTGACTCCCAGAATGGTACAGATCATGTGCCAGGGAACAAGCCTTCTCTTACTGTGAATACCCCTGTTAGGTAACTACAGAATGATTTCTTTTTTTTTTTTCGAATGAAGTAAACTGTATTGTGCAAATAGCTTTATGTCTGCATTCTTTCTTATTCATGCCATTCATGAAACTCCATTATATCCCAATGGTGGATTAATAAACAATAGTGAATTTTTATGCCCCGCCATGAATATGGCCGGGGCATATAGTGTTTGTCATGTCCGTCTTCCGTCCTTCCGTCACACTTTGCGTTTAGCTCTGTTTAAAGCTAAGTTTCAAAGAAACTATCCAAGATATTTTCATCAAACTTCATATGCTGATAGATATTGATGAGAGCTATGCAACTGCATCAACATTTTTTGACCCTGACCTTTCCTTTGACCTTGACCTTACTTTTCTTAAATTAGTGTTTAGCTCAGATTTGAACATACATGTACCATTCAAGATGGTGTTATCAAACTTCACATGTTGATACAAACTTGCACGGATGATGCATCTAGGGATGAACACTACCAGACTTGCTTCTGATGCTGGATCTGACCTACATTTTCCAGATAAGTGACCAGGTTAAAGTTTTTGGAGCAGGTCCATTCCCAAGTAACCATAAGCCCTACCCAATCCAAACTTTCATGGACGATGCATCTAGGGATGAACACTACCAGACTTGCTTCGGATGCTGGATCTGACCTACATTTTCCCGATCAGTGACCAGGTTAAAGTTTTTGGAGCAGGTCCATTCCTAAGGAACTATCAGTCCTAACCAAACCAAATTTGCATGGATGATGCATCTAGGGATGGACACTACCATACTTGTTTCGGATGCTGAATCTGACTTACATTTTCATTCCCAAATAACTATAAACCCTACCTGAACCAAACTTGCATTGATGATGCATCTAGGGATGGACACTACCAGACTTGCTTCGGATGCTGGATCTGACCTATATTTTCATTCCCTAATAACTATAAACCCTGCCTGAACCAAACTTGCACGGATGATGCATGTAGGGATGGACACTACCAGACTTGCTTTGGATGCTGGATCTGACCTATATTTTTATTCTCAAGTAACTATAAGCCCTACCTGAACCAAACGTGCATGGATGATGCATCTAGGGATGGACACTACCAGACTTGTTTCGGATGCTGGATCTGACCTACATTTTCATTCCCAAGTAACTATAAACCCTACCTGAACCAAACTTGCATTGATGATGCATCTAGGGATGGACACTACCAGACTTGCTTCTGATGCTGGATCTGACCTATATTTTCATTCCCTAATAACTATAAACCCTGCCTGAACCAAACTTGCACGGATGATGCATCTAGGGATGGACACTACCAGACTTGCTTTGGATGCTGGATCTGACCTATATTTTCATTCCCAAGTAACTATAAGCCCTACCTTAACCAAACGTGCATGGATGATGCATCTAGGGATGGACACTACCAGACTTGCTTCGGATGCTGGATCTGACCTATATTTTCATTCCCAAGTAACTATAAGCCCTGCCTGAACCAAACTTGCATGGATGATGCATGTAGGGATGGACACTACCAGACTTGCTTCGAATGCTGGATCTGACCTATATTTTTATTCCCAAGTAACTATAAGTCCTACCTGAACCAAACTTGCATGGATGATGCATCTAGGGATGGACACTACCAGACTTGCTTCTGATGCTGGATCTGACCTATATTTTCATTCCCAAGTAACTATAAGTCCTACCTGAATCAAACTTGCATGGATGATGCATCTAGGGATGGACACTACGAGACTTGCTTCGGATGCTGGATATGACCTATATTTTCATTCCCAAGTAACTATAAGCCCTACCTGAACCAAACTTGCATGGATGATGCATCTAGGGATGGACACTACCAGACTTGCTTCGGATGCTGGATCTGACCTATATTTTCATTCCCAAGTAACTATAAGCCCTACTTGAACCAAACTTGCATGGATGATGCATCTAGGGATGGACACTACCAGACTTGCTTCGGATGCTGGATCTGACCTATATTTTCATTCCCAAGTAACTATAAGCCCTACCTGAACCAAACTTGCATGGATGATGCATCTTGGGATGGACACTACCAGACTTGCTTCGGATGCTGGATCTGACCTACATTTTTATTCCCTAGTAACTATAACCCCTACCTGAACTAAACTGATCAAATTTTATACACATACGAATTTTCATGTTGCTTTACTAATATATCCTCAGCGGGGCATTCATGTCCTATGGACATATGTCTAGTTATATTTATTTTTTACAGTGTTGTCCCTGGTGGTTTGAGTCCACCCACTCCTTGCAAGGATGAAAAGGACATACATCCAGTAAGTCAGAGGAAAACAATCCTTTACAAAATGTTTTTAAAAATTGAAATTTTTTTAAGCTATTCCAAAAAAATGCAAGTAAAAGTTAAATTAATAAAACCAGATTTATTTTCAAAAATTGAATTGCCAGTGTTGATGTGGTTCCTTTATTACAGCCCTCAGTGTCTTCAGCCCCTGTGTCTGTTCCCTCCACTTCAGGGCCAGCTCCACCAGGACTACCAGGTAGGACTCTCATCTCACATGTGTATATAAAGGAGAAATTCTGTAATCTCGACTTACATTGGAAGGCAGCATCAGTTTGTTGATTCCTTAGTAAAATTGAAGAATTTTCTTCTCTTTATTGCAGGCCCACCTACCTCACAGCATCTGCTAACAAGGTACATTTGTACTCTTGAAGACTTTACCACTGATATAATGTTTGTATTGAATGGTAGTTCTGCTTCAGTCAAGTCATTCAAGATTCATGAACCTGTGTGGTCAGAGTAAGATCATGTTATATATTTAATTGTTTCAATTTAATTGCAGGCCTCCAGTGATTCCAGCGAATTTTCCGACTGCCCCCATACAACCTATAGGAGTACCTTTCAGACCTCCAAGTAAGTTAATGGTCATGTTGTACTTGAACTGCAACAAATGAATTAAAAAGAGAAGATTTCACTTGTACTTGTGGATATGCAAATTAATCTTTTTAATATGAATAAGAACTGTGTAATCATCTTAGACACAAATTGACATTCCTACAAACAAGTATGTTAAAGCATTCCTTGAATCTTCTGGACACCCCAGGCAGCTATTAAATTATATTTCAACCTTGAGCTTTGACCCAACCCCCTCAATTAAAATGCAAATCCCTTGGCTTCCAATGGTAGTGGTATTAAAAATTAATAGTAGACTGTATTTATATCTTTAAAATAGAAAGCATATATAGATAAAGTTTATTTCCTTTCCAGTTCCAATAGTGAATGCAGCCATCCCACCACCAGGATTTTTAGGCCCCCCTCCATCTGTACCATTTGGACCAGGACCCAGGTTCCCCCCTGCACCCCCTGTGGTTCCACCTTTCCAAGCAGGCCCCCCTCCACCTGTGCCTCTAAGTAAGGAGGAATTCTACAGACAACAGAAGAAACTACAGGAACAGCACAAAAAGTGAGGAGATTTTTCTTTTTATTAGAAAAAAAGGATAAAGGTAGACAAGTAGCTCATATTTCTTTGCTACAGCAATGTTGAAATATTACAGATGGTTATCCTTATCAAAAACAAAATAAAAAAGATATCTAAGCCTTGCCAATTTTATCCATTATTTCAGAAGTATTTACTCAGTAGTACTTGCATATTTGATGAATGATTTTTTTTTTTTTTTTTTTACAGGAAAAAGGCAGATCCAATGGATGTGTTTGCAAGGGAGCTCATGGACTATAAGAAGAAGCCCAAGTCTCCTTCAAGATCCAGGTAATGTAAGGGGGAAATTATCAGCTTTACTTGCTGATGGTACACTTGACAGTTTTGTTAAACCAGTATATTTTCAGCACATGCATATATGAGTCAGTTTCTCATGAAGACCATTCATTTATTTTAGATCCAGGTCTCGGTCCAGAACACCACGGCGATCAATCTCTCCACGCAGGTCAAAGTCACGGAGCTTGACTCCAAGGAAAAGGTCACTGTCTCCCAGAAAAAGATCACTGTCTCCCAGAAAAAGATCACTGTCACCCAGAAAAAGGTCACTGACCCCTAGGAAAAGGTCCTTGACTCCACGTAAGAGATCTTTAACTCCACGGAAAAGGTCTTTGACACCCAGAAAAAGATCTCTGACTCCAAGAAAAAGATCCTTCTCACCCAGATCAAGAACAAGATCACGATCCAGATCACCAAATCGTTCAAGATCACCTTTTGGGAAACCAGTGTATCGTTCCAGATCTCGCACAAGGTCACCCAGGTCAAGGACTCCTCCAAGATACAGATCAAGATCTAGGTCACTCTCTCCAAGGTACCGCTCAAGGTCACCAAGACCAAGGTCATTCACCAGAAGTCCTCCCAGATACCGTTCTAGGTCAAGGACACCTCCACCTCCAAGATGGAGATCTCGTTCCAGAAGCCCTGGTAGATATGACAGATGGACAAGGTCACCTCCACCTTATGGTCGTAGGAGGTCAAGGTCGCCTCCTCCTCCTATGTACAGAGGCAGGTCCAGATCTCCCCCTCCATATGACTACTACCGACCTGAGTGGGATGCCCCACCACCCATGTATGGTGATTATAGAGGTCCAAAAGGCCGACCAGTTGGAAGAGGACCCCCACCACCACCACATTATGGCTATCCACCTGATCCTTATAATAGGTAAATTTCTGAGAAAATATATCATAAAAGTCATATTACATTGCTGTAAATGAAGAGTTTTTTATTATTCAGTTCATACATTTGGAAAGTTATGTATAAATGCTTTTATTATATCTGCATGTACTTGTTTTTAGGTTTGATCAACATGCCTATGATGAGTTTTACCGTGAGTTTTACGTACGGTATGGAATGCCTCCTCCGCCGCCTCCGAATCCTGCCATGTACGATGCTCAACCCTATCCTCCCAGGAGATCTCGATCTCCTAGAGATAGACGACCATACAAAGAAAGGCTACCACCCCGCCCCAAAAATGAAGATAAGCCTAGCAAAGCAGACAAAAAGACAAGTGACAAAAAGTCAGAGAAGAAATCAAGCAAATCTAGCAAGAAGGAGGAGGGAGGAAGCAAGAAGAAGAAAATTGAGAAGGCAGCAAATAAAGGAAAAGAAGAGGAAAATAAGAAAGAGGAGAAAAAAGAGAATGGTGAAGAAAAGAAAGAAGAAAGCAAGGAAGGCCATTCAAAGAAAAAGAAGAAGACCTCTTCAAAGACTCAAAAGAAGGTGATAGAGGAGATTGAGGTAAAACCAAAAGAGGAGAAGACTGATGAAAAGAAAGAAAAGAAAAAGGTGGTGCCATCTGATGATGAGGAAGAGAAGAAAGATTTGATCAAGAAAGAGAAGATAAAGGAAGAGAAAGGCGAGAAGGAAATGAAGGAGGAGGATGACAAAGCTGTCAAGAAAGAGAAAGATATGGTGGTCGATGAAAAGGCAAATGAGGAGGACATAAAGAAAAGCAAAAAGAGCAGTTCTTTAAAGAAGGAAGGTGGAGAGATACTGGAGGGTATGAAATCCCCCAAAGAAGAGGTTAAATCTGTAAAAGAGGAGAGTTCCAAAGATGAAGATAGGAAGGCCAAGCGTAAGCACAAGAAGGTGGCAAAGGAAGCTGTAAAAGACAAGAAGCTGGTGGAGGAAGAGGAAGCAGAAGAGAGTCCCGCAAAACGACAGAAGGTGGAGCAGATGGACGACAAGGACCAGATCATGTTGTCTCCTCCAATCCTGTCCAAGTGGGAGAAAGAGGACTACCAGGAAGACATATCCCCCCGCAGGAGCCGCAAACCGTCCCCAGACGCCAAGCCCAAACAGGAGCGCAAAATGTTGCCAAGGTTGTTGATAAATAAATTTCTGTTTCTTGCTGGCTGTGCTATTTTGCAACAGCAGTTCAATAAAATTTCACTTCTGGCATTATCAATAAAAAATGGATATACTTTCTTTACACTTTTAAACATCAGAAAAGAAAAATCTCACCATCTCAATTTAGCATTAACAAAAATTCTATCCTTTACTTCAGTTTTATATAAAAGGCAATACAAATACCAGTACTATATTCTATGTAACAAGGCAAATGAATTGAAAATAGCGTGGTATAGAAAAGCTAAGAACCCACAAGCCGTAGATTTAGGATACAAAAAAGAAGAGGGATAAATTAGTAAAAACATTGTGGAAATACACAGCTTGAAAGGGTTGGAGGAAGGGATCTGTAACCATAAATACAACAGATTTAGATGCAATTTAATTTACACCAGATGCAATAGACAATTTGCTATATCATTGCACTCCCAAAATATATAAAATTAGCTTGTAAACACCAAGTCAGGACTGCAAAATGAATGTAAAAGGGTTGTAGTTTAAAGAGAAGTAAGTACATTGGCATCATACATCTTAAAACTGTTATAAGCAAGGGAGAAAACTTTGACTCTTTAGATGTATATTTTGAGGAAAAATACTGACTATACAATTCCCTTGATAGCAAGTTCCATGTGGTTCTAGCATTTTCGTATCTTTTACCTATCATGGATTTTCCCTCACAGAATCGCATTTTGCACAGAGAAATGGACTGTGAATAGGTCAGGGTATGACTGTCTAAAGTGATTCAGCAATGCTTAGTAAAATGCATCACTCACTGAATTGTTAACTCTGTTAGAATTAGGCAGAACTAGGCCATAGTTACGGTATGTTTTATTTTAAAAAAAAAAAGACAAAACCTTGGGTTGTGTTTTGTATTGGTCTCAGATCTCGTCTTTCACAAATTAAAGATCTTCACAATTGTTTAATAAGGTTAAAAGCCATCTATCACACATGGATCATCAGCTGACATGATGTTCCCTTACACTATACACATAGCATTTTCTCAGCTAAAGTCTTCTTTCATGGCAACAATTTGTCAAAAATCAAAAAAAAAAAAAAGATTACAGAATAACATTTCTAGCTGTTAACAGTCATTGAATTTGGACCAGAACAATAGGAGGGGTAGCATTTCAGGAAAAAAAGTCTACAGATGGATGAACACCAAACACTTTACTAATGCATGAGGTCTTCTGGACTTTGAAAGCAAAAAATGTTCTTTACAGTAAGGGAAGCCCAAGTTAATCATGGAGAAATAGGTTTTGGAAATGAGGCCCTTATTTACAAAAGATTTACAACCAAGAATGAAAACTTTAACTGAATAAAAAATATTGCAAACTTAAATATTCTGTTTAAATTTGCTTCCTTAAAAATTAGCCTTGTAGGATAATTGGCAGGTCTTGTCATCAAAGATATTTGTCTTTATTATCATCATTTGATTGCAAATCTAAGGCTACTAAAAACAAATTTCTTTTAAAGTTACATTTTTTTTTATTTTGGCAAATGGAGCGATTATCAATAATCGAAAACACCTCTCCTCTTGATTAGACTTTACAGGGGCCCTTTACACAGTAGACTATGATATTATACTAACTTTTAGATGAATCAATTTTTTAATGTGAATAAATATACAGACCAGTTGAACCACAGTCTTGTCAGAACCCTGGTAAATAGTTTCCTGTGACATTGTAAAGATTAATTATTTTTCTAATTAATATGAGAGCCTTAGCTTGTCAATAATGATAGCTCACCACAGGGTAGCGTCAAAAGTGAAAATTATGACTTGGTGAAATTTGTATTCACTAACTGTAATAAAACACAGCAGTAGTTGAATTACATACTTGTTCAAAGATTTAAAGTTTTTAAAGCACAGTATATATATGAAACTTGTGTACAGGTAGGTGTTGAAAAAAACATTTAATGTCCTGATATTCAGGAAGTTTTTTTTTTTATAAATAGTGTTCAATTTTTTTCACACTAACATTTTATTTTGGTGTACACTGTTTCTTTTTCATTTTAAGAGGGGGGCGTTAGGAATCGGAGATGTCAACTTCTGAGCAGGTTATTGCAAATAAAAAGTAAAACTATAAATTTTTTTGTCTAGGGCATAATATTGTAATAAGGATCTGCGGAAGCTTATAATTGATGCAGAGATTGTTCAAGACCCAACAATGTCATGACCTTGACCAATTTCATATTTACAAAACAAAGGTCACTATAAAGTATAAAATTTTTGTCCACACTTAAATTTTTACTAATGGAGAATCACTAGAAGCTCAAGCTTGGTACAGAGATTGCTTATGATCCCATAATGTTTCTTGACCTTACCCAAGGTCGTTTCTGAAAGTTCAAGGCCATTGACTGAAAAAGTAAAAAAAAAAATCACTTTGTTATGGAAAAACACGAAGTCTATATTTGGTGCAAAGATTTGTTATATTCTGCAGGGTGTCCAGGATCCCTCTGTTATTGTTCCCCTCTTGCGCAAAAGTGAGGGGAAATTAAATCTCATTTTTCTGTTAGGGGGTCAGTCGGTTTGTCTGTCACAAAAATTTTAACCTAATAAATTTTGAATGAGAAGAGATAGGGCTTTCAAATTTCACACATACATTACCTGTGACAAGATCTTTCCAAATTTATCATGAATATTGACCCTCTGACTTTGAAGTTTAACCTATTGTAAAATTACTTTTAATTGGTGATAACTTATGAAAGAGACAAGATAAGGCTCATATTTCACATGTATTATATTACCTGTGAGAAGACCTTTATAATTGTACAATGTTTTTTTTGACTGTGTGACCTTGAAATTTGACATACTTTTCAAAAATGTTATCTTTCGTTGTAACTTTTGATTGAAAAGAGATAGTGCTTTTATATTTGACACGTAGATTGCCTGTGACAAGATATTTTCTATCATCTTTGATTTTTTTCACCCCTTGACATGACCTTCATGTTTGAACTAATTTTCAAAGTACAAGGTGAGGACAATCCCCCGCTCTGAGAAAAGACATTTCTCAATTTTAAGTTATATTTTTCAAAATTATATTGTTTATATCATCTTTTAGACATTTAATTTTGTATTTCATTGTTTTGATATTTTATTAATAATTTATTTTTCACTCATGTTTTTACGAAACATGTGAAAACAAAAAAGAAAAAACTTCATGTATGATTCGAACTCTCTCCATAGCGCAGGGTTTGGTCCAAGACTGACCGCTTTAACCACTACGCTACGAAGTATATGCATTATCGACGTCTTTCAGTGTGATTTAAATGAACGGGTTTGTTGAAGCGTACATTTTTTCAGAAAATTTTCGATTTTCGTATAGAATGGGTTCAGATTCCATTTTTTGGATGAATGAAATAGATTTCACATTTACGTTTCCATCATTTTAGCGTTAACGAAAACTGGAGACTTGACCCATTCATGTTCAAAATTCATTTTTTAGAGCTCTAGTAAACACATTTTCCACTAAATATGCTTAACTGTGAACTTTGAAATAAAGATTATCAAATAATAAGTCGCTCAGTAAAATGAAATGTTTTGAAGATGACATTACTGAGAACATGATTTTAGAAAAAAATAACTTTTCTGTGAATTTTGAAAATTGAGAAAAATTTTGTCTCAGAGGGGGATTGTCCACCCCTTATACGCCCTCTTTCTTTTAATTTTGGTGATTACTTTTGAATGACAAATGATAGGGGATTTATATTGGACAAAATATACCATAATAATTGCTTCACACCCTCTAAGACACTGAAAGTAGGGGACCACAATATTCTTTGAATTTGCTTGCTTCTGTAAAATTTTGAGTAAATAATGACATAAGTAATTTGATGAATAATGTTCTAAACTTTTGATAATCCCGAGTTAAGAAGTTCCAACATCATTTGAAAATGAAAGATCTAAACATAACTAGACAGGGACTACAGTTACATCAAGGATAGAACTATATATTGAGAACAGAAAATAATGGTGGATGTTTGAGGGGGGGGGGGGGGGTAATTTCAGGCAAAATTGAGCAATTGTACTGTACCAGCAGTAAAAAGTATGAACTTTTGAAAATTAAATCCAACTGAAATGTTGAATCTTTTCCATTTCTAGATCCTTCTTACTCAGTCACAGACTATTTTGAAAGGTTACTTTGCTTAGTTTCTTTTTTTCTCTCTTTTTTTGCATCAGTTTTCATATTATCAACCAGAATGAATCACAGTGGCATTTAAGTGACATGATGTATTGGAAGTTGGAAAGGTTTTCTAGTCCAATGAAATGTCAAGAAATTGTCATCCAATCTGACCTGTTTATCCTTTTAAGGACAAAATGCTTATGCTATAATTATTACATGGTGGCTACTCTTAAAGTTTTTTATTTGCAGACTTTTTTAAATATAATTTTCTCATATTTTTTTCTTTCTTATCATTCAGTTTTATTTTTCTTTAGTACATTCTTGTACAAAGTCAAGTTTTGTTTATTCAGACACTCAAGCTAAATTTCCATATATACAAATGCAACTTGATCTTTTATAACTGGCTGATGTAAACACTTTCTCTCAAAATTCCCTCCGAAAGGTTAGCATCTGGATATTTTGGTGTCTGGATTTCCAATGCTGGACTTTACTTGTATATCAAGCTTTACACAATTGATTTTGAAATACTATAAATATGACACTGGATGATAAGTCTTCCATTTATTTAAAATTGAATTACATGTTTTATGATAAAGATTCCAAAGGAGAAATATAAATGTTCTAACGTTGAATGCATGTATTATAGGTCAGTCATAGAAAAAGCAGAGAAAGCCTTCAGCCAGAAACAACCTCAGCCTATCTCAGTAGCATCATCCATTAAGCCCTCATCCAGCCTCGCTAGTCGATTGGAGAAATCCCCTCCCCACAGAATGAAATCCCCTCCCTCCAGATTGAGGTCACCTGAGGGGAAATCTCGCCGAGTTTTCATGGATAGCCAGTCCAACAAAAAGGTTGAAGAGGACAGCAGGAAAGTGTTGAGTCGGGATAGGTCTATGCAGATCACTGTGTCGGGGGATGTCAAGTCCAAGAAAAAGTCCAAGGAATCAAAGGGTGAGGTTAAAGATTTACGAGAATCCTTAATGGAAAAGCGAAGGGCTTCAGTGAGGAGTTCATCAACGGAGGAATGGGATCAACCCAGAGGAAAGGGATTCAGTCATGATGACAGGATTTCTGTGAATTACTCCCGGGAAAAGGATTGGGATTTTGTAGAAGATGACAAAAGTAATGATGGGTGGTTAAGTAACAAGTCAAAAAGTTATTCCAAGTCATCAAATTCTCGATCAAGTGCTAAGGACAATGGTGAAGAAAAAAGATCTGGTTCGAAAGAAAAGACTGTAGAAAAAAGTAGAAGGAAATCTAGAGAGAGGGAATCTCCAAAAAGGTCCAAGAAAGAGGAAGAAAAAGAGGATAAAGGTGCCAAGAAAAGTTCTAAAAATTCTCAGGAGAGGAAGGAGGAGAAAGGGAAGATGGAGGAAAAGAAGAAGAACGAGGACAAGAGGAAGAATGAGGAGAAAAGTTCCCAGAGAGAGAGTGCTGAGGTTACAGAGAAGAAGGAAGGGAATGGGAAAAAGTCAGCGAAGGAGGAAGTATCAGAGGAAGTGAAAGACAAAGTGAAGTCATCACTAAGACACGACAGAAAGGAGTCGGTGATGGATGAGTCCTCGTTTGAGCCGGATTACAATGAGGCCTTAGGGAGTGAGGAAGAAGAAGAGGTGCCAAAGCCGGAGGTGAAGAGACAGTACTCCACAGCAGAGAGCGAGAAAGTGGAGAGTGAAAGTGAGGAAGAGAGCTCGGGGGAGGAGAGGGAGAGGAAACATAAAAAGAAGAAGAACAAGCATAAGAAGCATAAAAAGAACAAGAAAAAGCATAAGAAAAAGCATAAAAAGCAGGACGATGGTGACGAGTCTTCATAATAAATAACAATACTTATAACTGTCTATAACTGACCTTTTTTTATGGAAGCTATTTTACACATCAGCAAGGGGCATTATCATATGTACACGCACTGGTAAACTTGGTTTGCTTCCAATTTGCAGTCATGTTGCTTTATTACAAAAGGGAGATAATGCTAATAGCAACTCCTACAAAAGTCTCAAGATAGGAAAAGGTTGATTCATGTGTTCATTAATTATATATCTGGATCCTTCAAACTAAGTTGTGCAATTCGATGAATGTGTGTGAGTGTGACAAATGGTGATGAACTAGAATTAAGGACAGTACATTACTATGTAGTATTACTAAGTAATACAAACGTTAACAGAATTGATAAATACTTTTATGTAATGTTTTTTAGTAAGAAATGAGACAAAATGTTATTTTTGCGTTAAATAAATCATGAAGTAATTTGATTGGTAGGTTAAAGTCTTTCTGCCTGAAGAAGCTGATTTTCAGTTTTGTTTAGAAGTACTGAACATTTTTTTTTAATTAAAAATGAAGAAATGTGGTACTATCCATCTTTTTAAGTTTTTAGAATTTTAAAAATGGTTAAACATTGTCATATTTATTTCTTTTCAATCAGTCTAAATGACTTAAAACTATATTTTATTTGATTTGTATATCAAAGTGATCAAGTACTATTTTAGTTTAATTTTGTGTATACTATTTTGTAAATACTAATGAAGTGAATAAACACGGAATAATTTATACTTTTATGTTTGTTATCAGGATATGGTGGATAAAATGTGAAATAGTAATATATCTTTACTAGAAAGAAGCATATAGGCTGTAGTCATCCATATTTTAAAAGACCAGTACTGATTGTAAGAGTATTGATGAAGTGGTCCAGGGTGATTTTATGGATAGATTTTTGTTTAAAAAATCACTTGTTTGTCAAAGCGAAAATTAAAAAAAAATCTTTTTGTCATCCTATAATAGGTTATTGGAAGAAGACTAATTCATTGTTATACATTGTACATTTTTCTATGCATTTTCAAAAGGAAGTAGATATTTTTTTTAGGGGGGGGGGATTATGAAAATATTAAAAAAAAATTAAAGTATTTTATGCGTCAATAATATTTGGTAGACAGAAATTTGTTGTTTTGACAAGACTCTATTGCATAATTAGTGTTGGAAGGCAGGAAGCACAGCCATCTACAGCTAATGAAAGCCTCTGTGCACACAAAAACCTTTGAAAGGAAGTCAATATTTATACTCGGATATATTCAAGAGGCAAGCATCGGTCAGTAGTGGCAATACCTCTAATTACACCGAGGAAGAAAATTATTGTACGTTTATGCCTTGAGACTAATTATATAAATATGTGTTTAATTATGGTAAAAATCTACATCTGGTGGTGCGAGATTAACCTTTTCAAGGATCCTTTAATGAATATATGTATTAAAGTACTGTTTTAGATCACCGAGAGCAGGAAAATACATTGCCATTCGGGTCGTTTCAGTTCGTGCCCGTGGGAAGCAATTTCATTTGGGGGATGGGGACCGTGGGGTTTACAGAACTCACTCACTCATGGATTTAGAGTGTCCCCCTTGTGTTCAAATGACACACATACGTTTTAATGAATCAATTTTTAGGGTGTGGCTGTGGGTCCCACCCTGATTCGAAACTGGTCGGAGCCCCCCTTTTTAAGATTTCTGGACCAGGCAGTGTCTCTTGACGTAATTTAACTTTTTTTTCTTTTTGCTTATATTATATATGGACTGGCAAAAAATTAACCCCTGTCCCCTTCTGCTCCTACGGGCTCGGATTTCAGTTGCTTAACATTTTCTTCGTTTCATTCGGTCCACATTATTTCTTCAACTCTATGAGTGTTACTCTAAGTTTCGAACTTTTTTGTTTAAGTATTTCAACCCCTGATTACAATTTTGGCACCTGCATGGATAATCTCTTAATCTAATTAATCTAGTAATTCTAATTATTTACAAATACATGGTTTATTAATTGGCAAAGAAGGTTTCCATCGACTTTCGACCTGCGCGTTTCTTATCATATTACATTAGTCAACATTTGTCCGTGTATTTACCAACAAATCAAGATCTTAAAGAGAATGTCACCACGAATTCTCTTTCTTGCGAAAACAAAGACATTAAACCTTTCATGCAAATGAAGGAGTGATCCATAAAATTGCTTTGTTTTCCCGCTTTATTAAAATTTTCACTTGATCTGAGTAACTTTGTCAAATTTACTGAGACATGATCTTGTACTTAAGGGTCGGAAATTGAACCCTTTAAATTGAAAAACTATTTATTTGTATGAATTATCTTTTGCATATATAAAACCTTCAATAGTTTCAGCGATATGTTTTCTTCGTTTAAAGATCTCAAATTGACTAGGCGTAGCCTAATTCTGTGTATCAATATTTCTGTCTTATTTGTCCCGGGTCATCTGTTCTATTCTGTAGTTTCGTATGAGCATTAAGTTTAATCAGATTGTTAAATTCTTTTCACATCTAAATGAAGCATAGTAGCAATTATTTACTTGCTAATGGATATTAAAGGCGTTTTTATTGAGACTGCGTATTCAAAAATTTTGTGTGGAAAGTGAAGGAATAGATAATAATATATTCATTGATAGAGCGGAGTTCTGAGATGCTTCAAAACAGGACATGTTTGGATTTTTATAATAAACACATGTATATATTACTGGATTAAGGCTTAATGAACCACAACGCTGAAGATCGGAAGTGGCTTGGAAAATTTTACTTTCTACACTGATTGCATGATTGTTAAATACATCTTAAATATGTGCTACCAGAGCGTGCCTTGCCATTGATGAATCAGATAATGAAAAAGTGTACCTGTTTATGTTTTTTATGGAAAATAATAAGGATGTGACACACATATATATACCAGGTGTATACAGCATTGACAGTGATTACAGCTCGCAATGGATCGTCATTCTCAATTCGATGTGTTGCCTAGTTACCCAAGATATTCAAAGCGCGAGATTGTGAGAAACCATAATAAGTCAGGGGATCCTAATGATTCAACGTATGCGAATATCAGAAAGCGTCTAAATACCACCGTACTCTCAGTGCCTTATGAACATAAATTGGATCAGTTTAATGTTCTTGGAAAAAAATCGCACTTTGGTGACGAAACTCCATCACCAAAGATTTTCAGAGGTGGTGAAATTGATGGAAGGAAGCCACGCTCTCGTGTAAATTCGGAGTCTGATTCTCACTCCCAAGAAAGTCATTCTCCAATTAAGGTAGTTCGGACAAGGGATTTAGGTGGTTCCCAAATGTCAGATAAAGCCTTGTCTACAACATCTTCAACATCCACCACCAAACTTCCCTGTGTAAAAAAAGATCGAGCACCCTCCGAAACTAGTACTACTTCTACTGTAAGCCGCCCATTCTCATTCTCAAGATATGATATAGATGATTCTTTTTGGATGCAAAATATTCATGAGATAGAAGAAATCAAGGAAAGATATGCAGAAAATAGTGAATTTGTGGCATCTCTCCATGGATTTTTGGAGGAGACCACCAGAAAAGCCAAGAAAAAGGTGGCGGCCATGGAATCCCCGCAACTCCACCATCCTAAGCATTCAAAAAGTATAAAATCTTCTTCAAGAGACAGCTCTATTAACTCGAAAGAGATTGTGGAGCGTTATAATGGTCATATTGATCATGAAAAGCATAAACATTTCGAGTCCCACGAGAGGCACCACTTGGAGCCACACACTTACCACCACAAACAGCACCACCCCCACCACCGAAATGATGCTACGCAACAAAATCGTGGTCACGGTCGTGTGATTTTACCCGCCATCCATCGACCGGAAGAAGACACGATTAGCTTAGCTAGTACGCTAACACAAGGTTCCATGAGTAGCAATGCATCTACTCTCAAAAACTATAACCATGCCAAACAACACAAAAAATCAAAATATCGTAAAGTAGAGTTTAATCTCTTTCCAAAGAATCAAAGACCTGTTCTACTTCCAGCATTGAAGAACACATTTACATCACGCGAGGATCATTCAAAGACTCCAAGATCTATATTAAAGAAGCACGGGAGTTTGGAAAGCATTGACTCACTTTCAATTCATCAAAATGAAGAACATGGAGATTCGAAAGAGGAAAAACAGAATACAGAACGCACCAACGGAAACTGGGAGAGACATATACCACGCCTTCTTTCACCCATTCCAGCTTCAGCGACTAGACGAAACCCAGTGGTGTTCAAAAACGCATCAAATTTTCATTTCAATTGTAGTAAAGAATTTAAGGCAGTAATGGGTGATTTTGAAGACGAATAGGCCTATATCACATTTTTAATATCAATATATTTGTTTTAGTTTACATGTTTTATATATTTATAAGTATATACTTGTTGCTGGTAAACATTTTTAACAAAAATTGTTATATCTATATTGATTAACACTTTATAATGTTGTTCTGTTTAAAATGAACATTGACACTCTAGTTAGCAAACATACACTAACATCAGAGCAGAAAATCAATATGATGATAGTTTACAATCACAGAACCTCTTGGCGAACAATAAAATTTTTGGCAATTAATGGACATTGTTGTGAACTCTTTTTCGAATTGTTTTGCTATGTTGTCATGAATTTTTGCATGTCATGCCTAATCGATGAAATGGTTGCAGAAGATAGAAAGTATACATCCCCTGATCAGATGTAATTACTCACTACCTTGAATGAGTTCTTACCGATGTCGCATGCTTATTAGTTTCTTTATTGATTTTAATATCTGGAGCAGAAGTTTAGCTTGGAAAGTCTCGCAAGAGTCCGGAAATTGATAATTTCACTTTCAGAGAGTTGTTGATTTCTGAAATTTAATATTGAGTGATGTTGAGATCTTAACATTTTCGGTCTTAACTTTTTTTTTTAACTTCTACCAAATGTATGCATAAAGTTTTTAAACTGTTTGCGAGATTGCAAGATTTTAATTTCAGATTTCAGAATGATTTCTGATCGAGAACCTTGCTTATATTGTAAGTCATGGCTTTGGTCATGCAATTCTCGTCAATGGCATTCCAGTATATCAAAATACTTATGTATATCGTGTCAAAGACCAAACCTGTTTATCCCAAATTCTAAGCTGTCGGTTCATATGTGTACAAATCGGTATTACTCAAAAGCTCAAGTTCACACCAACTTCTAGTTCCACCATTCAATAAAATGACCTTGTGTCAAAACGTCTTTTGGTAAAGAATTTGTTTACCAAAAATTAGCGTGCCATGAAGATGCTTCTATTTATCATTAGTACTTCATCGGACATTGATCCTTTGATTGTGCTTTAACGCATAAACCTTCTATTGTCTTTATGCATTACCAAATTCTGTCTTCGATGTGCAAAGTTCAATGCGTCCCCCAAAGTACTGGGGATAAAATTTCCTTTTCTATTCACAATACTCTATCTAGTCGGACATATACGTTTCGGTCTGTGGCGATCTGTTTTCAGAGGCCGCCCCTTGTTTGTTGGAGGGGAGAACAATGGTTTTAGGACCTTTAATCTAATAAGCTTTTTTGTAGTTCTTTATCAAATCAGAACTTTGGCATATAAATAAAATTCTTATCTGGTGCATTCAGGAAACTTAATTAAAGAAGCATTTGTTGTAAGACAAATTCTTTTAGGCCAAAGCAAATGATTTTTTGTGACTGAACTTGTAGATATTGTGACGTTCTCTGTTTATG